ATCAACATAAAATGTCAGAACCCTCACCTCCAGGCTGCATCTTTACCCGACCCAGACTACACTAATAACAGCACTGCTTACTACAACATTAATGTGACAAAGCCATACCCAGGAACAAGTGCAGCCTTTCTAAAAAATATCATATAAATGTCTAAAAGTACCTGCTGTTGCTCCTTCAATGCTTTAAGACAGGTAGGTCCAGTGGTCCCAGTTCAGCAGCTGCAGGAAGGTCTATTGTACAATAAAGAAATAATGCTTATCTGCTTACTGTGAATCTTATGTTCTACCAATCAGGGACAGAGACAGTTTGGCTTGCAGCAAATGTTACGACATAATCACTGGGCGTCCAGAAAGCAAAACAGCTGCCTTCTTTCAGCAGCAATGGAACTAATAAGGTCAAAGTAGAAATAAGAAAGAAATGGAAGTAAATAAAAACAGTTGAAATAAATACTGAAAAAAGCATGTTAATGAAAAAATATTTTAGCAATACAGGAAGCAAATATTTGATATAAATGAACTGATAAATAAATGATTATGAAAAGTAATTTGAAAGGTGAAAGAAAATTAACAGTGAGCAGTGTGGCGTTGGTGAAAAACTTTGCATTAAAGTAAAGCAGATTAGATGGAACATGGTCCGAATGAAGGAAGGCCAGATCAATCCTGAAACACAGCTGTCCCCATGTTGGTCTGTTATACTAATATATATTAAATAAAACAGCTGCCTGGACTACGGGCCAGTTGAAAAAAAAAGTTAACTGATTTTTACATTTTATTTCAGTTTAGTATGGGAAAGAAGTCAGAATTCTGACTTTTTTCTCAGAATTCTGACTTTAATCTCAGAATTCTGACTTTTTTCTCAGAATTCTGACTTTAATCTCAGAATTCTGACGTTTTTTCAGAATTCTGACTTTTTTATTGTCAGAATTCAGTCAGAATTCTGAGATTAAAGTCAGAATTCTGAGAAAAAAGTCAGAATTCTGACTTTAATCTCAGAATCCTGACTGAATTCTGACTTTAATCTCAGAATCCTGACTGAATTCTGACTTTAATCTCAGAATCCTGACTGAATTCTGACTTTAATCTCAGAATCCTGACTGAATTCTGACTTTTTATTGTCAGAATTCAGTCAGGATTCTGAGATTAAAGTCAAAAGGTGATACAAATCCTCTGTTGTGCATTGCTTCTGTCTATATCTAAACAATATTTTACAAGTTGTTTCAACATAACAAGAACAAACCTTTGCCCTTCTTTTCTTTTTATTAGCCTTCATTTAAAAGAAAAGAAACACATTTAGGTTAACCATTAAAGCTTTTTATCAGCAGATATGATAAAGGAACAGTTAAACAATAGCCAGTACATTTTTTTCTCCAGCTGCATTCTTCATCAGATTTGAATTATTTGAATAAATTATTATACTTGCGTGCATTTAGGGACATCATGCAATAAGAAACCAGATTGTAGGGCATAAGTGTTACCTTCTTTACTAACTAACCCATTTAACAGGCTTAATTGACTTAATTGCATGTTTAAACAAATTGCTACTCAACCAAACAAAGGGATGACATTCAATTTAATGGAATATTTAACATGTAATAAGACATTGCTCCACGTTTACAATCAAGTTTACAACTATATTTAATCTCAACATATCTTTTTGTAATCAGCAAGGACTCAGAGACAGATGCAGAGTCAGACTCACAGGTGAGATGCACTTAAAATTGAAATAGAATAAACCTACAAGAATTAAAGCAGAAATAAAAGAGTAAAAATGATTGAAATATAACTTTCAATACATAGACTTTGGCTGTCAACGATACGTGAGACAAATCTGTAAATTAGATTTTGCTGCTTGTGAAGAAGGATAATCACTAATGCAACTTCTGGGGGGGTTTACCATTCGGCAATACTAGGCAGTTGCCCACAAAGCTCTATTTACATGTATGGTCAATACAATAATTGCTTATTTTTGCACATTAAATATATTTTTGATAAAATTACTTTCAATAAAATGCCATAAGTATATATATATATATATATATATATATATATATATATATATATATATATATATATATATATATATATATATATATATATATATATATATATATATATATATATATATATATATATATATATATAACATATATAAAAATATTATATATAATCTTAAGTGTGTTTCACCCCCCTCTATCTGTATAGTGGGTCTATTTTATGTGTTGTCTTCTCAGTTCAGAAGTCCCGCTGCATCTCTTTGCCTAGGGACCCAAATTTCCTAAATCCGCCCCTGTGGAGCTTAAAGGGGAAACGATCCATCCATCCATCCATCCATCCATCCATCCATCCATCCATCCATCCATCCATCCATCCATCCATCCATCCATCCATCCATCCATCCATCCATCCATCCATCCATCCATCCATCCATCCATCCATCCATCCATGCCTGGATAGGACCACTTTTAAAGATGAAACTTTAACTATTATTTCATGATTTTGAAGGTAAGTTTGTCTTTTAATAAAATAATTAAATCAGAATTAATATTAACCCAAGTTCGATTTATGTATACTTCTATATTTAATTACACAAGTGAAATATTGACTTCCAACAGATGTTCATGAGGCTGTAGATGTGTGTAAATAGCTTTTTCCCTTGAACCTCCGAGCTGTTTTTTTTATTATATGTTGGAGGAATAAATATAGTTGTGAATTTTATTATACTTAAGATTTTAATAATAAACATTTGAATTGAGAAAGCTTCCTGGAGAGGTGGCGAAACGTCTTCAAATCTTGAAAACCAAGTCCAGTGGATATTTTTTGAATTTTTACGGGATGACTATGACCTGGATGACTGAGAACCTTCATCAGCATATTTTAATAATAAAATATGAAAACAGCCTGTTGTCTTACAGAAGCTGTAGAGACAAACATTATGGAGAGAATAATGAAACCAGTTGATTGCATCAACTCATTGACTCATCAGCAATCCCTCACACTAAGCATGCTTGTAGCGACAGTGGAGAGGAAAAACTCCCTTTGAACAGGAAGAAACCTCCAGCAGAACCAGGCTCAGTGTGAGCGGCCATCTGCTGAGGCCGACTGGGGTTCAAGGAGACAGAAGCAGACATAGAAAAAGAAGCATAGATAAAAAAAAAGGCAACTGTAAACAGCCAGGCAGACGAGCTCTGAGCCAGCTCCCAGTTAGTCACAGTCAGAGAAACAACACTCTAGGTTTCTAGTTTTTATCATCATCTTGGCTTGGTATTAGTTCCATAATGTTCCTTAACAAGTCCAGATAAATCTGGACTTGGAAAACTTTTTTCCAGCTTTTTTAACACAACAATTAATAACAAGTCAGGGAACATCTTTAGGTTATTGGGTGCATAGGGTTTTTATCCAATGCTTAGAGTGCTAAAAAGTGGCAGTAGATTTGATTTTGACCAACATTTACCGTAGTTGATTTTGGTTTAAAAGTCGTGAATTCATTTTTATTTTTGGTCCTAATTATTTTACTTGGTATAATTGAAAAAAAAAGGAATTATAAAGGCTTATTTGCTCTGTTGATGTTGTGTTCAGGTCTTCGTTAGCTGTAGTTTGTCACCCGCTGAGACATAACTTTAAAGCAGAAGTCCGCTCATATTCAGAATTCAAACTTCTGAAAGTAATTTAAATATGAAATCATTAAATTACCATTCAATAAATGATTAGTCTTATTGATTAAGAGTAATTTTCATTTAAATGTGCTTTACTGGAGGCATCCATGTTTGTCAAAGAACACTACTGCCATCTACTGGTTTGTGACGTCACGGTGCGGTATCGGCTGTTGATCAAGTCCCAGTGCTGTATCTGGTGTTTGTCACAACGCGCTATTTTCCAAGTCATCTTGAAAACATTCTTCTTCCAAATGTTGGCTACATAATACGGGTTTTTTCTCTCGCCAGAAGTTCGATGGCAAATCCTCCCTCTTCAAGTTGACAACGACAAACCCGTCCGTGGAGGATCAGGAATCGGAAAGCTGAAAGAACAAATTTTTTTTTCACTTTTACCCAATGTATTACAAAATCCTACTGCTTTTTTTTATTTATTAATGCTAAATCTATCAAATCACCACGAACGTATTAGTTTTAGGTATAGATAATGATCCATTGATTATTCCTTTCTGACCGGACTTTTCCTTTAAAGATAATCGACATAATCATTTTTATCGGGTTTAATGCGGGCCTTAATCAAATGGATAAATGGTATTCCGTGAGAATGGAAATGCTCTGTATTTTATTAGATAAAATCCCAATAGAATATACACTTCAGTGGCAAAATGTGAAACGTTGAAGTGATGTTTTGTAAGGTACTGAAGCTCTAAACGAATATATATGCTTTTAATTAGCGTAGCTAATGTCAACCTTAGCAGCATGTGCTAAAAACATCCTCATCCTCATAACGGCAACTCCAATCACAAATCTTCCCAGAAATGATGATGAAGACCACACACTGACTCAGCTTGTTACAATATCTCCATCAATATACTGTCTGTTACATGTAGGAGTCAATTGGTCAATCTGTACACAATTCCTTGGCCAACTGAGCCTCTAAAGAAAACTACCAGTAACAAGATTACTGCAGTTTCTCTTTTCTTTCATTACTGTGGTCACAGCTGTGTTTGAGCCTCCTTTGTCTCCCATCAGGAGGTCCTACTTAGGATATCGGGTGACTTTAGAGGGTTTTTAGATCTCATGTCTCTGGACATGCTTGACTAAATTCATGTCATCATCATCCTTCCCGAAAACGCTTTCCCTCAGAGGATTAAGCTCAAACAAATATCCCTTTGTCCCAGAGCCGAGGCTGCGCTGCCACACCAACATCGGCGTCACATAACGCTGGTTGGAGATAATTCAGATGCGTTTACTGTAGGTCACAGGTTCAGTGTCCAATACCTGTGTCTGCAGCTGTTACACTGACCCTTACATCCAATGGCAGCAGGCTAAAGTGCCATTGTTTGTCCCGTCTATTACCCCCAAACTTAAACCCCCCAACAACTTCAGCTCCGCCACCTCTAACAGTATCTCTCACTTCTCTTAGGGAAATAAGTTGATAGAACCACTTATTAAAGGTGAAACTTTAACTATCATCTCATGATTTTGAAGGTAAGTGTGTCTTTTTAATAAATGAAGGCAGGATTAAAAATAACTAACCCAAGTTTGATTTAATGTATACTTCTATATTTGATCACACAAGTGAAATATTGACTGACAGATGTTCGTGAGGCTGTAGACCTGTGTGAAAAGCTTTTTCCCTTGAACCTCCGACCTGTTTTTTTATTCTATGTTGGAGTAAGAAATATAGTTGTGAATTTTATTAAACTTAAGAATGTAATAATAGAATATTCAAACACTCATGTTTTTCAGAAGCTGTAAAGACAAAGATTATGGAGAGAATTATGAAACTAGGTCTTCTGATCCTGTTGGGTTTACAGCCTGTGGTTGGAGCTGGGTGAGTTCTACGAAACATTAGTAAAGTTACAACAAATGCTCCATTTTTCACCTGATTTTACCTCAGCTCAAAGTAAATGCAACAGAAGATAGCTAGATTTAAAATAGTAATTCATGATGTCATCAAAGGGATAGCATTTTTAATCAGAGAGAGACGGAGGCTTTTAAAGTCAGAACCTAAAGTCGGAGCTAAAAAAATTAAATTTTTATTTACGTAATAAATCTAATGAAAAATCTGTCTTCGAAAACCACAAAGGGATCGTAAATTTTTACTTTTAAGAATAAAGTATTCTATTATAAGTAAAAAACACAGCTCTGTATCATTGATAAGATTATGTTTTTTCTTTATTATTATTTCATATTTTCTGCTTTGTGTTGTCAGATGCATCTATATCCATGGTTGATTGGTGCTTAGTGGTTTAGGCTTTAGTTTTTACGACAGTAGTTCCCAAATATTTTAGGGTGTGACTCAAAAATATAACAATGAAAAAGGCTGGCCTCCCCCTAACAATACATATTCACTTAATAACTTCACTCTATATTTACTTTACATGTAAGGGGAAGTATTTATATCCAGTTTTAAAATAAGATACAAATCTTTTTAGATGCTTAAGTAGCCTATTTAGTTAATCATTTATTTAATTCAGCATTTTTTATGTTTGTTTTTATTCATTCATTCAGACATCTAATTATTTAAGTTTTATAATTGATAATTATCTAATTATTTAATATTTTATAATTTAATAATATTGCTAACAGCTAACAAAAAGGTCATTGTTACATCGACCCTTTTAGTGTTAATTTTTTTTTTTTCATGGGACATCGACATTTATTTAATTCCCAATATATGTTGTTTGTTTGTGTACCTCACCGATCACATCACAATGATGTGATCGGTGTGAAAACTTGGTGTCACTTGGTGTCTCATGACCTCCCGGGAAGTCCTGAGCCCCACTTTGGGAACCCCTGTTTTAAGAGAAGTTGTGTATTATAACTTTTTTTTTTTTTTTCTTCTTCAAACTACATCTTTTTCTTTTCTATGTCAGCATGTGAGTTTTGATATAGAAACTATAAATGACATAATAAATAAATAAATAAATAAATAAATAAATAAATAAATAAATAAATAAATAAATAAATAAATAAATAAAAAACATATTCCAATGTAAACATTTTCCTACAGAACAAACTATTGTCAATAAACTTTGCAACTTTTGTTTTAAAGATTTATATGGGATTATAACTGTGTAAATTCTCAACCATCCAGGTCATTGCAACCATAAAACAGACTTACACTGGAAGCTAACTGGACTTTTGCTTAGTTTTTTGAAGCTATCACGGTCTTGGTTTTGTTAAGTTTTCTTTTGAGTACCGTATTTAGTTTCACTTTGATCCATGTTTTTCTTTGTTTTTATAATTTTATTGGTTTAAATCTTATTTTGTGGTGATTTCTGGACATATTTGAGTCCTTAGGTTTACCTTGGTTGCCCTCTGTTGCCCTCTTGTGTTGGTCTCCTTTTCCCTAGCATCCTTCTAGAAGCCTCTGTTCACACCTGCTCCCAATCAGCTAATTAGTCCTGTCTTTGTTCAGTCTCCCATATATACTCTCCCTGTGCAGTTCCTCAGTGCTGGTTCCTCATCTTTTCTTGGCTCCCAACAGGAGTTTAATCCCATGAAGTTGTCTGTTTTTTGGTTCCATGTATTTTGTTGTTTGGTTTTTAGATTTTTGCCTCAGTTATTCAATTAAATCCTCAAAAATTCACCTGTGCCTCCTTGTCTCTGCATTTGGGTCCTCAAAACCTCAACCAAACCTTGACAGAAGCTTTTTCAACACCTATCCAGGATTCTTTTGGGTTCAACCAGAGCAAATTCTAGTTGCATAGTTGCTGTATTTGAGCAGCATGGAGGTCCATCCTCCAGCACACATTAATAAGTTAGATGCAAGTCCAATAGCCACGCCATTGTCTTCTGAATTGCTGTAGTCTTTTGTTGTGTATGGGCTATGTAATTTGCCCTTTTGAATTATGATGGGAGGTCTTATGTAATTTCTTTGGAACGAGTTCCAAGAATGAATTGTAAATGCTTGGAAGTTGAACCCGCAATCCTCCCCCTCTGTTCACTGATGGGCTATTGGGATTCTGTTTTCACAAAGCTAGCTTCCTTCACCTCCCTTTCAAACCATCTGTCCTCTTTGACCAAAGTCGGAACATTTTGGTCTTCAATAGTTAGTCATTTGTTCTTCAGGTATACAGCTGAATCTTATCCAGAGTTATTGGCTCTCCTATGCTATGCCATGTGTCTGTTGTTTGGTTCTCCAATACAGGAGACTATACAGTTCTTACTGCACAGGATTGCATAAACAACTAAGCACAGCTTAGGTTGGGGTGTTCTGTCTTTAGGATGAACATCTTTTTCTTGGAGTGTCTTGTTGGGTATATAATTCACCAGTATGTTGTGTTTGGAGAAAATTCTGGGTTTCTCAGAAATTCCTGACACATATGGAATTACAATGTTTTTGCATCCCTATCTTTTCTCCTCTGTTTTTCTTCCTGCTATTTGTTTTGGCCAGCTTAAAAAACGCCCAGTATGAATAACCAGATGATTCAAGTGATTTCCTAACATCTTTTTGTTCCTTTAGTTTCTTCTCTGCAACTGAAGGAATATTGTTAGCTGGTAACTCAGAATTCTGATCACAGAAAGTTTATGGTCCAGTGGTTAATAAAAGCCAAAATGCTAGTATTGGTCTATATGTGTAGGTTTCCAGTAAACCTCAGTATTAAGACTACCATTGTCCTTAATTTTGCCACAGCACAGTCCACAAAGGGCAACATGTTGTTCTTGACATCCTTTCTAGTGAACTTGATATTTCTGTCCTTAGAGTTGTTGTAATTGGTGAATGCCTCAACTTCCTAAGTGGTATAAATCAGCGGTCGGCAACCCAAACTTTTCAAAGAGCCATATTGGACCAAAAAAACAAAAAAAAACAAATCTTTCCGGAAGAAAACATTAAAAGCCATTCCTGTTTTGATGCTCGTCCCATTGTTGCTCAGCTAATGCACCTGTTGCTAATTTCATTAACACCAAAGCAGCTGAAATTGATTAACAACCCCCTCTGCTACTTACCTGACCAAATCAATATCCCAGAAGTTTAATAAACTTGATGCTATGCTCTAATTACAAAGTGTTACCTTAATTTTGTTGAGTAACGTATATAATAAGCATTCATAATTTAATGTTCATCCTGGAGCAAATGTCGCATATTCTTTTTTATTTTTTGACAACCTCTCATTACAAAGCAAAAATGCAGGCAATCCTTCCACATTGATAATGACGGCAAATTATTCGGTCCATTCTTCTTTGAAACCTCTGTTCTCATCAGGCATCTTCCTTTTTCTCCCCTTGGGATCCATGGTCGGTGACACACCCGCTGCTTTGTTTGCTCGGCACCACGCCATGCCGAAACATGTGTTGCAGGCTATGATGCAAATTTTTATTTAAAGACCCCACCTCCCAAGAGCAAAATAAACACACTTGCATGTATGTTAAACTCCAGTAAAGCACATTCAAATGTAAATTATTCCTAACTAAAAACACTTATCATTTATTGAACAGTGTGTAAAGTAAAGTAGGCTACTTTCAGAAATTTGAATTCTGAATATGACCGGACCTCTCCTTAAAAGTGTTTCACACTGTTCCAAACAACTGTTTATGCCCTTAAACTGCTCACACGCTCGTTCTACTTTAATAACAGTCTACACGCAACCTTTTCCCCCTCATTCATAGAACGGTAAATTCAGGAACATTTCCCGGATCGGCTTTAGCTAGGGGACGGGGACATCTGGTCACCGTATCCTAGGCCGATTCTCAATTCTCAAAAACATGGGAGTGTATGGACTCGGGGAGAACGAACACACAGCACACACAGCATAAACATGGGTCGATTGGAATAGAAGCGTACTCATGACATCACCACCCGCTCGGCTCCTCTGTAGCTGCATCTCACCTTCCTGTTATTAATAGTCACTAGATAATAATAAAAAGTGATGAAGTGATGATGTAGATGTTATATACGTGTATTGATTACATTGTTATGGTAATTACATATTATATATAATTTCAAGATTTTACATCAAGACTGAATTACAAGTCTTTAGTTCTATAGTAATTTTCTATTTGCAACTTATGCATGCATGATGCCATATACTTTTATGCTCTGTCTGTGCATTAGCCTTTAAATCTGACATAGATTTACAATAGAGCCAAATGAATGAACCAATTTGATAAAGCCAAAGATTTTCAGTTTCTACACTAGTAAAATCACATAAAAAAAAAAAAAAAAAAACAAGAAAAAAAACAAAATTTTTCTTAGTTTTACTATATTTGAAAACATGCCTCTTATGTTCCATAATATACCAGCTCCTTGGTTTAATGATAAACTTTATAATTAAACAACCTGCCATTATTTATGTACCATAAATGTCCCATTGCAGACATTGGTGTGAACAGACGGTGGAGGAGAAAGTAGAGTGGGTTTTGTCGCCACGTCTGCAGCTTGAAGTCAGCTGTTCTGAAGTGTATCAGTACAACACCCAGGGATGGAGACTGGATGTGGACAGGCTGCGAACCAAGCATGGTGGAGATGATGGCATCGCACAATATTACAAACAACACGGACGAAAGGCATCCTGTTTCTTATACAAGTAAGGGGATGGTTTCTTCAAAAACCCAATTGTTTATGAAATTATAATTTTAAAATGGTTGCATATGTTAATTTCTTTATCTTTTAAGTTTCATTTTGTCACATGATTGCGTACATCTCGTATAAAGAAAACTAAAGCTTTATTTGGAGTAATGGCTGGTGATCAGCTCCATGACTGTTATGGTTCTCCCCATTTGGTAGTTTTTAGTTTTCAGTTGTTCTGTTTTGTTGATCTTTGGTTTATTTTCCATTGTATTTACGCAGTCTTTAGTTACTCTCTGTTGCCCCCTTGTGATTGTTTCCTTTCCCCCAGGCTTCCTTCTTCAAGTTAGTTCCACTTTCACCTGCTCCATATTCAGCTCATTAGCCCATCCTTTGTTCAGTTCCCCTTATATACTCCACTGTCTGCCTCTGTTCGTCATTAAATCTTCAAGATTCAACTCTGCCTCCTGGTCTCTGAATTTGGGTCTTCAAATCCTCCTCCCCATTGTGACAATGACAGTAAATTGCTTCTTTTCTAAACAGATGGGTGGCTTTTTAGATTTTTATAAAAATCAAACACATATGGAACCCATAAAAAGTTAACTGACCAAAGCAAAATGCTTAATCTCAATTTAACAGTAACTGACTCCTTCCATTTACCCTGGTAAGTGCGGTCGGCATCCTGTACCTTAACCCTTTAACTGCCTTTTCAACTTCCAACCTTCATTTCCCTGAGCAAATGGTCAACCATTTGGTTGACCAGGCAGTTAAAGAGTTTGACAAACAGCTACAAGGCGTTATTTATTGGCATCTTTTTCTGAACCAGAGAGATTGTATCTGCAGTAATTCTTGCTACTTTGGTGTGATTATTAATAGCCCTCCTGGGTATCCTTGACACAGGGAAGACATCACTCATACACCATTATTTTGTGTGATGAAGCAATGGTCATGTAGGAAATTCATATTTGAGAAATGTTGAGCTTCCACGCGTAGACATGCGTATGCAACGTGTTACAATTCAAGCAGATTGCTTAATGACGTAGTCTACATCCACTTTCAGCTTGGAGAAAACATTGTTTTAGCTCCGTCTGCTTCTCCTTTGATAAATGATGATTGATTTTTGCCACTTCCAGCCAAATCTGTTGACTTATCATCCTTTATACCTTGTCTTACACCAACAGCCTTAAAAACATTACAATATTTTCAATTTTATAATCAATCTTATTTCTTGAAGACAAGTAAGAGAGCATGAGCATGAACTGAGAGGATGATTACCATACCCTGCCGTTGCCATTATGTGCTATATGTTTGGTTTGGACAGCCATTTGTCTTTGTCATTTCCAGTGAACCCTACCAGGAATTATGGACCCAGCAGAATTACTCCAAAATTAACTACTTAATTTTAATCAACTATTCTCGCAAAAGAACATCAGACTCCTAAAGCTCTGAAGGCCTCACTTATCTCAAATAACTTCAGCCTAGATGGTGTGGTTGTAAAATTTAGATTTCTCTTATTTCATATATTGATTTATGCTGTTTACTCACTGATAAAAGATTTTAACTCAGTTTGTATCACTTGCAATCCACACAATGCCTGAGTGAGAGGTGTTTGTAGACAAGACATACTTATTTCCATTGCAAGCCAGATTCTTTTTCAAGGTTTATTCATAACATGTTAATGTTTAACCAAAGTGTCTGTAATTTGTTTCGACTCTGACTACTTTCCAATATTGTAAGTAAGGGGATCAGAACAGGGCTGATAACCATGCCATAAGGGCTGTATGATAAATTGTTCTCTCTTTGCAAAGATATAACAAAAGGCCAACTGAGTGAAATCGATCAATCTCTGTTTATTTAACTGGAGTAAATAGTTAAACAGACATTCTCAAGTTAAACAGTCAGGTCCTAATCTACTCAACATTTGCAAGTAAAAAAAGGTGCAAAGTTGATCTCCTAACCTTGCACAGCTTTAATTGTTATTCTCATTTCATAAAAAAAACAGAAAAGCTCATATTTTCTCTCCTCTGCATCTTCTCTATCTTAGTCATTCTATTTGTGTGCAGTGCTGTTGCAAACTGTTGGAAAATATATTGAAAAAAAGTCCACTCTGCTGTCTCAAAGTATCCATGATTAAAGGAACTGGCAAATACAAAATCCTCCACCTGTTAGTAGCAACATTCCCTCTAACTGCATATGAAAATTGTGTTCAAACATTTTTGTTAGCTCTGCATATTTCTAGTCTGTGTACATTAGGACCCATATCGAGAGAAAAATACAGGTGCTGGTCATAAAATTAGAATATCATGAAAAAGTAGATTGATTTCAGTAATTCCATTTAAAAAGTGAAACTTGTATATTATATTCATACATTACATACAAACTCATATATTTCAGATGTTTATTTTGTTTAATTTTGATGATTACAAATGACAACAAATGAAAATCTCAAATTCATCATATCAGAAAATTAGAATATTACTGAAGACCAATAAAAACAAAGGATTTATAGAAATGTTGGCCAACTGAAAAGTATGAACATGAAAAGTATGAGCATGTACAGCACTCAGTATTTAGTTGGGCCCCCTTTGGCCTGTATTACTGCAGCAATGCGGCGTGGCATGGAGTCGATCAGTCTGTGGCACTGCTCAGGTGTTATGATAGCCCAGGTTGCTCTAATAGTGGCTTTTAGCTCTTCTGAATTGTTGGGTCTGGTGTATTGCATCTTCTTCTTCACAATACCCCATAGATTTTCTATGGGGTTAAGGTCAGGAGAGTTTGCTGGCCAATTAAGAACAGGGATACCATGGTCCTTCAACCAGGTACTGGTAGCTTTGGCACTGTGTGCAGGTGCCAAGTCCTGTTGGAAAATGAAATCTGCATCTCCAAAAAGTTGGTCAGCTGCAGGAAGCATGAAGTGCTCTAAAACGTCCTGGTATGTGGCTGCGTTGACCCTGGACCTCAGAAAACACAATGGACCAACACCAGCAGATGACATGGCACCCCAAACCATCACTGACTGTGGAAACTTTACACTGGACTTCAAGCAACGTGGATGAAGTGCCTCTCTTCTTTTCCTCCAGACTCTGGGACCTTGATTTCCAAAGGAAATGCAAAATTTACTTTCATCAGAGAACATGACTTTGGACCACTCACCAGCAGTCCAGTCCTGTTTCTCTTTAGCCCAGGCAAGACGCTTCTGACGCTGTCTGTGGTTCAAGAGTGGCTTGACACAAGGAATGCGACAGCAGAAACCCATGTCTTTCATACGTCTGTGTGTGGTGGTTCTTGAAGCACTCACTCCAGCTGCAGTCCACTCTTTGTGAATCTCCCCCACATTTTTGAAGGGGTTTTGTTTCACAATCCTCTCCAGGGTGCGGTTATCTCTCTTGCTTGTACACTTTTTTCGACCACATCTTTTCCTTCCCTTCGCCTCTCTATTAATGTGCTTGGACACTGAGCTCTGTGAACAGCCAGCCTCTTTAGCGATGACCTTTTGTGTCTTGCCCTCCTTGTGCAAGGTGTCGATGGTCGTCTTTTGGACAACTGTCAAGTCAGCAGTCTTCCCCATGATTGTGTAGCCTATAGAACTAGACTGAAAGACCATTTAAAGGCTTTTGCAGGTGGTTTGAGTTAATTAGCTGATTAGAGTGTGGCACCAGGGGCCATCAATTTTGAACCTTTTCACAATATTCTAATTTTCTGATATGATGAATTTGAGATTTTCATTTGTTGTCATTTGTAATCATCAAAATTAAACAAAATAAACATCTGAAATATATGAGTTTGTATGTAATGTATGAATATAATATACAAGTTTCACTTTTTAAATGGAATTACTGAAATCAATCTACTTTTTCATGATATTCTAATTTTATGACCAGCACCTGTATGGTGGTAGGTTATGTGATTTTTGTTTTTGCTTTGCTGCTGGATAACTACCTGCTATTGGTTAGTTCTGAGTTTTGCTGTTGGTGAAAAATCCAAGGGAGACCTCTATCAGTTTATGACTGTAGACTTTGGCACCACAGAGTTATTCATTATGGCAGTGATCTGATGTCCAACATTAACCCCTTAAGCCCTGAGGGTCTTAGGAGCAAATTACACCTGAAAATATATATTAAAACAAGTACACCTCCCAAACATATTAAAGAAATTACAGCTCCCAAACTATTAATTGGAAACACAGTTGTTTGAATTTTTATGACAGAAAGGCATTGAGTAATAATTTTCTGGTGGAACCACTATTTTAAATATCGCCATGCCTGATTTATAGGTCATAAACAAAGACAAAATGAAACCTAATTAGCCTTGCCAAATTATTTTCCACATCTTGACTATAACTCAAGTTAATTTTGACTGAATATGTTGAAGTATGTATGTTCCTCAAAGGTTTTAGTGGGCAGTGCCAAAAGTACAAAAATGCATTTTTCCACTCATAAAAGGGAATCTGCTCAGACAAATATGCTGATTTACATTATTGGAGACCTTATGCATAAGGCAAAGCCTTTGCTCCTAAAATTTAGCCATTGTTTCATTGAAATCCACCAATAATACCAAACTGAATAAAAAATAAGAATAACAGAGTAAGCTTATGTAATGCCGGTTACATCACCTAAAATGGTCACATAATCACCTCTGACCCCTCCTTGGAAAGTTCTGAGCCTCTAGTTTCCAATGATGCCAGCAATTAGGGGATGGAGCTAAAATTGCTTTTACTCCCGCTGAGTCAGACATGTCAGGTGGAATTTTAAATCTCATTTTATTTGATTAACCTATGATTAATCTATAGAAGAAAAATAATTGGTTAAAAAAAATATTTTGAAACATGTTTAAGAAAATGTAAAGCCCTAATTGAAAGGTGTGTGGATGAAACACCATGTGACTGTGTCTTGGCCATTTCTATAAATAGATAAACATCAGCTGGTGTCAGCTGGGCCAGCGGGGCTCAAGGGGTTAACTGAATTGCTTAAAAGGGATAATGAAAAAGAAATCAGCCAAACAAACAATGTTATTAAGTAAATCTCGGCCTCAATACAACTGAGATGCTGTGGTGTTAAACATTCTCTAAAAGCCACCATGTTACTGAAGTGGAGGTTGCTGAAGCAATACCTAGCACCAATAGAGAACGAAGTGAGGTAGCTATGATAATTGGAAATGTTCTTTGTTTAACATGGGAGTTAGTTTGATCATCTGAGGTATTAAAAGTGACAGAAATGCAAAATCAAAAAATGAAATTAGAGTCGACACCGGTGAACATTTGTAATGAGGGGTACCTGGGTTCCTCTCCAATAACACAAAACTACCAACACATTTAGAGACTGACTGTTTCTTTCTTAGTTACAATTAATTATTTCTTGACGTAGACATGAACCCAAAGACAACTTGGATAGTTTCAAAGTTTAGTTCTCACATTTCTCTGTCCTTTTTAGACCCCCAGAGATGGAGAGCCGAGCAGTTAATAAGACCGTAAGGACCTGCTGTGAGGGGTGGGGAGGACTTCATTGCTCTCAGGGTAAGAGCACGAAACCAGGGGTTGATTGTGCATCTATAAAAATGTTGGTCAAAAATATTTAAAATCTAGTAAAATTTAATGAACTGCAATTAGACTTAAACTGTAGTGATAAAGAATCCTTCACATTTAGGTCCACAAAAAAATAGTTACTAAGTTTTGCATTAAAATGTAAACAAAAGACACATTTTCATCCTTCTGTGTGATTTAATGTCATGTTCAATTCAACTCAATTTAAAAATACTTTATTAATCCCATTGGAAAATTATTACATTTAGGCATAAGCAGGATTTTTGAATGTAACTCAGTATGAGGTGGTATATCCCAAGTAAAGTTAGAACAGCTGAGCAAAGACATTTCTTGGTGCAGCAAGTTTATTGTTTTCTGTTCCTTCTAGGTGTTGGGGTACGTGGGCAGTGCTATTCCACCTGGAACTGTGAAGAATTTCCTGGCATTCATAACGCCTCACTCATGCCGATGGAGCAATGCTGCAGCACCCTTTGGGGACTAAGCTGGAGGAACGCTTCGGACCAAACGTGTTTGACTTGCACCTATACTCTGCTGCCAGGTCTAAAAACACCTTAATGTGTGATAGAATGTATTATTAGATGCTTCCTCTGGCTGGAAAACCATTCCACGTGAAGGATGTCTCACAAGCACTGCCTCTCCGTCTCCCCTCCAGACTCCCAGTCCTCTCCTCTGGTCCGGAGCGGCCTGTTAGGTACTGCCAGGGTCCCTCAAGGCTCCGCCACATGCATGTCCTGGGGTGGAGCCCATTATCGCACTTTTGACAGGAAGCACTTTCACTTCCAGGGAAGCTGTACGTACCTTCTTGCTTCCTCTACTGATGGCACCTGGGCCGTCTACATCAGTACAGTCTGTGACCAAAGAGGAGACTGTAGTAAGGTAATGTTTCCAGCCCTAACTCTTAACACCGATCCTCGCACTGATCTGCTTCCTGCCAGCATCTGTAAATCCTGACAAAACATCTGTACATTATTGCTAATTTGCTTCCAGGCCCTGAGGATGATGCTGGGTCTGGATTTGGTTTCTATTCATCAAAAAAACATAACACTGAACAGCATACCTGTTCCAAAACAGGAGCCGCTTTTTCAAAACGGTGAGAAATTCTAAGCAGAGAAAGACATAGTTCTTATAACTTTTGTTTATGATTAAAGTAAATGTTTTTGGAGTATTTCAGTAATGGTTGCATTGTTCTGAATGTTAGAACTGGTTGAGCCATAAGCGATAAAATGCATATCTGGCATAAAACAAACACTCTGACCTCATCATTCTCTACCATTAAGCTTGGCATAACCTTTGATGCTGGTTTTACTTAAATCCATATGTTAAGTCTCTTTTCTTTGTTCTCACAATCCTAATCAAGCTCTGATATGTCCTAAAATGTAAATAATCGATCATGGTTTCCACCTCCATATCTGTGTGCTTATAAAACCTCCCTAGAACACCTGTAGAGGTAGATCATCGTGGAGAGAACCAATGCATGCTCAGGGAGAAGATGCAAACTCCATGCAGTAAAACTCTGAGACGGGAATCGAACCCGTGACCTTCATGCTGCCAGGTAAGACTCTCCAGTGGCTACCCAGTGTGCCACTGGAGAGTCTTAACATCTTTGTGGAGGACCTCTCACTGGGTTTTCTTTCAAAAATCAGTTTGGCTAGAGTACACCAAACAGCCAACACCCTGGCATCGAGGTAGTGGCAGTCAGCAGCTTAAGAGTCCTCAGGTAATGAGGCAACGAGCTGCAGGTGTGCAGGGAGGCCCAATGAGAACGGGGAACCACCTGGTGGAGGAGAAAAGGAAACACAAAAACAGACCACACAAACTGGATTTCTGACATCAGTGGAATGACCCTCAAAACAAATCCCCTTTTTTCTAACATGGGGTCTAGTTTGCTCTGTTTATAAAAAATAAGAATAATGTGTTTTAAAAGTTCTGACAGGTTTGGCTTTTATATACCGTTTTTTTCTTATTGCCCCAAGGAGTGAGTGTCCATTGGCTCGGGGACTTTGTGTTTGTGGAGAGTGGAGTGGGAGTTAGGGTGAAGTTCGACATGGTCAACACAGTGTATGTGACGGTAACCTCTGAGCACCTGGGAACCACCAGGGGACTCTGTGGCGTCTTTAACAACAACGCAGATGGTAGGTGTCTCAGTGTTCTGCTTCTCTGTTATTAGTGAGTCAGACATGATCTCTAACCTTCCTTTGTTATAAACATAGATGATTTCACCACGATGGCCGGAATCGTGTCTCCATACGCTGCAAGTTTTGGCAACTCGTGGAAAGTTCCGGACCAACATAATGAGGCACTGTGACTTGCTAAATCCTTTTTGAATGTCTTTGTATTTAAAAGAACATTAATTCTTTTTCCTCCACCAATTTGTATTATTCTACAAGGTATACAAAATCCTTTTGTTTAGATCCACATTTTAAGAAAATCTCTTATAGTAGAGGGATCTTAGCTGTCAACACTGCTCTATTGATGTTTCTCTGATTCCTTTAGTTTTATATTAAGTTACTAATTTAGTTCCTTGCTCCGTCCATCAGGACTGCAGCGATGCCGCCGAGCTCGGCCACAGATGTGAAGTTTCTGGAGAGCCCACTCTACGCAGAGAGGCAGAATCAGTGTGTCATCAGCTGCTGGAGAACCCCTTTGCGCAGTGCCACCGCCAGGTCAGAATATCTTTAGACATTAAGGGAAGTTGCATACAATGAAAGAGGTGCTGGTCAGAACATCATCTCCAATGTTCAAGTTATAGAAATCTTTGACCTGGTGATATCATGATGAATAAATGAAATTGAGGTTGCCTGAGCTCCTCTTAACCATGCCGCTTACTTTTCACTTTTGGTTTTCAGTTAGGCTTGGATTTGTTCTGTTTTTACTGTTAAGAGTTATATAATTTTTTACTTCTTAGCTTGCACTTTTCTTGAGTTATCGCTAGTTTACCCTTGGTCAATCTTAATTTTCTTCTTATTGGTCTTTCTTCCATTTTGCTTCATTTAAGTTCTTTTCTAGTTTTCGTTCTGTTTACTCCCTGTTGCCCCTCTTGTTTCCCCTTAGCGTCTTCCGTCTGCACCTTCTCCCAGTTAGCTAATCACCATTGATTGGGTGCGTTCTATTTCATAGGCTGCATCCTCTAAGGACCCGGTCTACCTGGACTGGAGTTTTGGCTAGCAACCATGACAGTTGACACACAAAACAGTCAAAGAATGAATAGCCTATAAAATTTCTCACTGATGTTCTGGTGCTAATAACATTTTCGAGGAGTTTCAACAGTAGTACCGTATCAGATTTATCGTCCCCACACTACAGATATATTAGAATCTGAGCTAAAATGACATCCAAACCTGATTGCACAGAGACAAATAATACCTTTCAATACCCTCTCAAACCAAATATTATGCACCACATATCTGACTCAATAACAATTTGAAATAATTATTTTAATTCATTTCAGATGGAACTATTCACATACTTATACAACATTCACCACTAACACCAATCACAGCAGCTGCTCACAATGAATGATAGGATACTCAAAGCTTAGTAGGATACATTGGAACTGTTCTTCAAAAGAGGCAAATAATGAGGAGTCTTACAATCTGAACAGACCACAGCGCCGCGCTATGACGAATCTGGCCTTTGGGGGATGCATTCAAACTCAGCAATTGTTCTCTCCCATATCTTCACTCCTCATGTATGTTTTTCCCTCGCGTCTCCTAGTTTTGAACCCTGAGTTCCTTCTATAATATTTCTGGATTTCTGCTTCTGTTAACATCTACCTCTACATTAAATCAACAAGAAATCACCTCTGGATTTAGGTCCTCAAATAGCATCCTCTAAACTTGGGTGCCAGGCAGGAAAAAGTCCATGTAGAAATCAACCTACAGTAGTAGCCATTCAAAATTTCCCCAATTTCTTTGATGGCCTCTTGGCTGGTCCCCTACAATTCCTTTTTTAAGCATCCATCTTTGTACTACAATATTCTTTCTGTCATGATTTGTGGACATTAAGATCTAAAGAGAAGCGTAATCTCCTAATGAGACCCTGTAATTCAGTGAAAGGGTGGCGTAAGTGTACAAAAATATGTACGCCAAGGAGAAGGCCAGTGGCTGGAAGTTGGAGGGAATTTTGCTGGGAGTTGTAGGGAAGTGGGCTGCCGTTTAACTGGGAAGGGTAATTTTGAATGGCAGCTACTGTATGCTAACCTAAATTGCAGAAAGATAAAACAGAAATATAGGGTTATTAAGCAATGAAAAGGAATGTTTACATGCAGCAATGACTGGTTTTGCGCAACACCGACTAGAATTCTGTACGTGTGACTTTCTGCTCCCACAGCTCCACAGCGTTAGGTGTAAGCCCAGTGTTATAGTAATTACATCCAGAAAAAAAGATTTTTCAATTAAGACATTGCTTTGCTCCTTAATGAGCCAGGGAAATCAATAACATTGGGCTTAAATGTGCTTTATTACAATACTGGTAATTTCAAGATAGATAATCAAAGGTTGTGTCTGTCTCCAATGTAGGTTGACCCAGTCCCATACATAGACACCTGTCATTATCTGTACTGTAGCCTCTCACCCAAAGAGAGGCAGGATGCAGTGTGTGACACCCTGGCCAGCTACACCAGGGAGTGTGCTCAGCAACACATCATCATAATGTGGAGGACAGCAGCATTATGTGGTAAAGAAATACAACAGTTTATAAATGTTATCGTTATTGCATCCCATACCCTATGTTTGGTTCTTTGTTTCCTCAAATGTTATCTGTCTTACCAGGTCGCGTCTGCCCCAGAGGACAGGTCTTCTCTGACTGTGTGTCCTCCTGTCCTCCAAGCTGTACTTCCCCTCAGCTTCCAGGACCTGCTGCAGCCATGGGTCAGTGCAGAGAGGAGTGCGTGGGGGGCTGTGAGTGTCCTCCTGGTCTCTACCTTCACCAGGGCCACTGCTTGAAAAGAGAAGACTGTCCCTGTTTCCATCGCAGACGTAGCTACCAACCCGGGGACACGATCCAGATAAAATGCAACACCTGGTGAGCTTAAATCTCCAGAACCATGCTTAACAGTCTTTATCAGATATTTGGTCTTTCTAATTCCCCTTCATGGTGTCCCTATTGACCCAGTGTGTGCAGGGCAGGTTGGTGGGAATGTACAGGTGAGAGATGCGCAGGCCAATGCACTCTGATGGGAGCACTGCAGGTGACCACATTCGACAAAAAACGCTATGCACTGTCTGGTGGAAACTGTCCTTTCGTTGTTGTAGAGGTAAGACTAAAGCCCCATCTACACTACCCTCTGAAAACTGATTTGTGCCGAGTTTGGACCGAGCTTCGATCAGTTAACCGTGCCGAGCATGTTTCCTTACGACCATTTACACACCACGGTAGCACGGTTCCTCACCTCCTAATGACAATCTATGGTACTACTGCTCTCTATAGGTAAACAAGCAAATCAACATGACGGCGCCTAGAACATTCAGGAAGGTTGCGGAGAATGCAGCCTTTGTTGAATTTGCTAGTAACCTACAGTAAGCTAGTATTTTGTATGAATGTCGGAAATTTCATGATTATGGAGGCTTACTGTAAGGAGAAGAGGCGGTCTGTTCACGCGCTCTTTGTTATCTAAGAATCGAGCCAGAACTGAACCGAGACCTACTGATAAACTAGTACCAGTTTAGAGTGGTTCGGTTGTGTCTGGCACAGTCCGGTTCAGTTGTGCGTGCCATTTACACTCAACAGTGATTTCGGTTACCATGTTCGGACCGATCTCGGCACTGTTTCAGAGGGTTAGGAGTAAATGGGGCTACAACATTGCCCACAGTGTAACGCGCTCCGGAGTTGTGGGTGTGTGTTATTTATTCCATTTTTGCTTCTAGGACTTTGTTGACAGAAAGCTAGAGGTGGTAGTGCGGTGTGGAGAGTGCACAGCAGGGGACAGGGGAGGGGGAGGAGAAATAAGTTGTCTAAAGGAGATGTCCGTGACAGCCCTGCACACAACAGTCACCATCACAGACACTGGTGAGTAGCTTTAACTGCCGGCAGTCTATAGGTGAAAGGTGAGATACACCCTGGACAGATTGCCAGTCTGTCGCAGAGATACACAAAGGCACACAACCATGCAAACACTTACTCATACCTAAGGTGGTTTAGAGAAGGCAATTAACCTAACAGTCATGTTTTTGGACTGTGGGAGGAAGCTGGGGTACCTGGAGAGAACCCACTCATGCTCAGGGAGAACATGCAAACTCCATGCAGAAAGTACCCGCTCCAGGAATCGAACCCGGAACCTTTTTGCTGCAAGGCAACAGTGCTACCTACTATATCACCATGCAGCCCTACTGGAATTTATGTTATTCTTTTCATAAAGATAAGTGTCATCTCCTGGTTTCCTGGAGTTTAGATTAAGCCAAAACAACAATATCACAACAAATATTAACAGACTGAACATTGAAAGAAGCAAAGGTCATGTATGCTACAGGCATGCTGTTTGAAAATGTCAACATTTTCAACATATTCCCACTTCTAATAAGATAAAATTATATAAATGTACTTAAAATGTTGCTTTTTTTTATGTCTGCTCAAAGTTATAGCATTTATCACCCTGGTAACTAAGATCGTAACTGTTTGTTGCAGGCACTGTGACTCTGAATGGCCAACGGGAGACTCTGCCTGTGGTGACCGGGGATCTGGTGTTGCGTAAGGCGTCCTCTTCATTCATCATTATCCAGACATTTGGAGCTCAACTTCTCTGGTATTTAGATGGATCCTTTGCTCTCATCAACCTGCAACCTGGCTTTGCAAACAAGGTGACTCTGAGTCTAAATGTGGTTCATTCACTTCTAAGAAAATCAAACCCCAGTACGCCTATTGGCTAACTAAACTGCTAAAAACCCGTCATGCTGTGGGCCTGAAAATATTTAGTCTGATTGCACAGATTCTGATTAGAAAGATGAGAGAGTTCTATAATTTTCATCATCGCTACACTTTCATTATTAGAGACAAAATTAGAATAAAAAGTCACATTGAAGGATTTTTAAAAGAATTTATTTGTAAATTATGGGGCTTGTAATCCACAAACAAGCCAGACTGTTAAACAAGCCAGACTTCTATATATATATATATATATATATATATATATATATATATATATATATATATATATATATATATATATATATATATATATATATATATATATATATACATATAATATATATACATTTTTTTTTACCTGGGTCTTTACCCCAAAATAAACATTATGCTATGTTTTGTGAGCTGGAAAGAAATACAATGTTGATAGTTAAACAAAGGGATTTTTTTATGCTTGGCAGAGGATGATCAGCCACATATAGTTTATTAAGTAGCTAGAGCAGATGGGCAGCATGACCAAACACGACGCAGGACCACCGCTGATACTGCTTAACTGATTACAGCAAAATGATGCATTTTAAACCTCTAACCAACCACCCTCTACTTTTTATTTAGTCTCGTCTCGTTGATGAAAACTCAAACTTATGACTAGTCATGTTTTAGTCCTCAAAGATCCATGTTTAATTTGTCAGTTATCGTTACTGTCATGAAAGAAAGGAGCGTCAACAAAATCATTTCGTCATCATCATCGTTGACGAAAACAACACTGGTTACAAAGACAAACAATTGATGCTAATTTTCCAGGGAGTTGTCTAGTTTTCCAGGCGTGGACATTCTGTGATGGGTTTAAAGTTCTTCATCTGGTCCGATTTGTCACTAGCATTGTGAATATTTGTGCTGTTTGAACATGAGCCCTGTTGCATTCCTAGCTGACAGCCAGTGCCTTTGCATGTATAACAATAAAAATACTATTAACTGCATAGATTAGGTTAAACTCAATATAAATAATTAACGCATTTAAGTGTAGCTTAAGCTTTAAGCTTTTGTTAATGACCAAACACGTTTTCCACAATACTTTGCAAACAAATTCTTTAAAAAATACTGTAATGTTATTTCCAGATTTATCAAATTTTTTTCTGTTATTCTTGAAGTGTACCTTTGATAAAAACTTAAAGACCTCTCATCTTGCAATATCATTGCTGAATAAATACTTTCCCACCATTTTGAAGATTTAGGACTAATTGTTTCAGAGATGAAACGCCTTCTTGTTTTAATGCTTTACCGATGGTCGCTGGATACATGTGATACATTTAAGGTGCGTGGTTTGTGTGGAACGTTTACTTGGAGCCAAAACGATGACTTTACCACCCCGGAGGGAGATGTAGAGAACAACATCTTATCCTTTGCTGAGAAGTTCACAAGTGAGCCTTGCACGCTGCCAGGTGGCGCTCCGCCTGATCCCTGCTCCACGTACACCCAGAGGAGAATCTATGCTGAAACAGTGTGTGGTATCATACATAGTCCCGTCTTTCAGGTCAGTGTTTTTAAAGAGAGCTTTGGCTCCTTACGTCTCTCTGCTCCATCACGCATACGTCACACATTCACCTTGCAGGAGTGCCATGATGTGGTGGACAGGGAGCCATATTTCCGTCTCTGTCTATCAGAGATGTGTGGCTGTGTTCCAGAGAGGGCCTGTCACTGCACCGTTCTCACTGCCTTCGCTCGACACTGTGCTCAGGAGGGGGTGACAGTCCGCTGGCGCAACCAAACATTCTGCCGTAAGACCCCTCCTCCCATGAATGTTCACTTCTTTATTCATTCATTTAGCAGTTAGAACAGAAATACACACAACTGGGACCTTTAGCTTATTTATTAAGTTGTCCAACTTTAACACACAGAAGTATTAAAACAAGTTTCTCCCCCCACTTTTTCCCTTCCTGCCCAGCGGTCCACTGCACAGGGGGTCAGGTGTACCAGGAATGTGGTCGTGCCTGCGGTGGTTCCTGCTCAGACCTGAGTCAGGGCTGGAACTGCGATGATTTCAGTGCCGAAACGGGTCACGGCATGTGTGTTCCAGGCTGTCAGTGCCCAGCAGGACTGGTGCAGGACCAGCAAGGCCAGTGTGTCCCCATCTCATTGTGCCCTTGTATGGAAGGAGACAAGCTGTACCCAGCAGGCGCTGTGGTTCAGAACAACTGTAACACCTGGTATGTCAAGAAATCTAATCTAATTATCATAACACTGCATATTAACCTGCTGACAACATTTTAGGATAATCAAATATGTCCTTATTTTAGTAAAATTAAATATATATATCAAAACATAAAGTTAAAACTAAGCTTGTTTCCTTATTTGATCAGAGGATGATGAGCTTTGGTTGGGTACCCAACTCTCAAACTTAATAAAGGACAAAAATAACATTTCAAACTTTTAAAAAAAGTTTACAAAAAAGAAAACAAAAACACTGGAATTTGTTTCCAAAAAATTGAAGCTATTTCGTTTCCCAGCCAGGAACCTTTACTATTCAAAATGTCAGAAATGGCGATTAGTTTGAGGCTTTGTAGAGTGGACCAAAAACAAAGCCTTGTTTTGCTTTAGAAAACATGCAAATTAAATCTGACAAATGGACAAACTGGTTTTAGTCCACTCTGTAAAGCTTCGAACTCAATGCTAATTCTGACATTTTTCATTGAAAAATCTTCCAGGATGGGCGTTCTTATGTGGCGCTGTAGTTGGCGTACACGATACATGTACAGAGGCCTTAGTCCTTGATGCAGGTGACCCAGGTTCGAATTTAACCTGTGGTCCTTTACTGCATGTCTCTCCCCCTCTCTCATACCCATTTTCCTTTCAGCTTACTGTCCAAAAAAAAAAAGCCACTAGTGCCATAAAATAAAAAATAAATAAATAAAAAAAAGCTTTCAGGATGGGAAGCGAAACGTCTTCCCATCCTGAAAAATAAAGTCCATTGGATTGTTTTATGACTTAGACAGACTTTATTGTTATTTTGTACACACAGTGTCTACAAAAATAAATTTCGTTTATTACAGCTGTCAAGACATTTTCATTTTTAAAGTGCATCAGTGATAAAATGTAAACATATGACTGTATATGATTTGCAGTTTCCAACATTCAGGTTTTTTTTTGTTTTGTTTTTTGAGCTGGATGACTGAGAATCTTCAACAGAACATTTTAAAGATGCATTTAGAAATGTAGTTCTGTTGAAGCTCTCCATTGTAAAACCCAAACCATATGAAGATGTTGACATTAGCATGTTTCACACAGAGTGCAAAAAAATAATTAATATGTTGTCAAACTCCTTGAGTTGAGCTGTTCCTATAAAAAGGATTGAAGACAACTATATAGTTCCTAGCTGGAGATAGAAGTGCTAGAAGGTCCCTTTGCCCATTGATAGGAAGCCTCCAGGTTTCTCTTGCGGCCTCCTTCCACATAAGACTGACCATGGCGTTTGCTGAGGCACCTCTGCTTTTGCGTGATTCGGGTTGATCGCGTCTCTATAAAATGTGAGGGTGTAAAACTACAGTAGCAGCCATTAAAAATGGCCCTTCCCAGTCAAACACCAGCCAAATGGTAGCCCACTTCCCTCCAACTCCCAGCGAAATCCCCTCCAACTTCCAGCCACTGGAATGACCCCCCTCCTTCTCCTGGGCATGCATATTTTTTTTACTCTGACTCATTAATCCATCTTAATGTCCAAATCATGAGAGAATATTTTAGTACAAAGATTGATGTTTAAATAGGAATTGAAGGGGATCCAGCCAAGGGCCCATCAAGGAAAATGGGGAAATTCTGAATGGCTACTACTGTAGTATGTAGGTTAGGGCGGGACTTGTTTATGAGTTTAGTGGAGAGAAGCTGTTCCATCCAAGAGGAAAAAAATATTCCTGGAAGCACAGTAATGCTACAGTAATGATCATGATTGGTTTCTGTTTAAAAGATCAAATTGTGTCATCTATGTCACTCAAAGTTGTCTTCTAGGATTGTTTTGACTCAGGAAATAAACAGACAGCTTTACACAAAAAAGCCGACTTAAAATGTTACATCACCTTGTTGAAAAAAGCCTGATACGTAAAATATATGTATAGGAAGCAGAAAACAATGAAACAATTGTGTCACTGGCTGAGCTGACCTTTTTTTTCTGGCTTATGTTTAACTGCACATCATAAAGTTAATGGCTGAAACTTTATATGTTTTTGTGTTTAGCTAACTTTCTACAGTTGAAAATTATGCAGGAAATATGTTTAAGATGTTAACTTAAACCTCAGTCTATCATGATAGGATTGACGTATGTAATCCCTTCATCGCTGACTTTTAAAGCTAAATGTTTTCTCTGTCATGGAGACCTTGTGGTGAAAGAGGTCTGATGAAATCACTCTATGACCCTGCTCACTCAAACAGGATAGGTTGATTTCATTGCATTTCTTCACCACATCTCAACACCTTCAGTGTCCTGAACTGATCTTCAAAGACAAGCAGGACAAGATGTCTTTCACTACGCTTTATGTGCAGACGTCCTTTGCTTTGTGCTGCCTATAGAGCTGACTCTCTCTACTGCAACATGGCTAATTATCATACTGCTAAACACCGCCACATACATTTAGCAGCCTTAATACAATCCTTGCCAAAGTTTTAAGGGAAACAGTTATCATAAATCCATCCATTATCTAACACACTTGTCCCAATTGGGGTTGCAAGGGGTGCTGATGCCTATCTCCAGCAGTCAATGGGCGAGAGGCGGGGTACACCCTGGACAGGTCACCAGTCCATTGCAGGGCAATGGACACAAAGGACAAACAACCATTCATGCACACACTCACACCTAAGGACAGCTTAGAGAAGCCAATTAACCTAACAGTCATCTTTTTGGACTGTGGGAGGAAGCCGGAGTACCCGGAGAGATCCAACACATGCTCAGGGAGAACATGCAAACTCCATGCTGAAAGACCCCAGGCCGGGGATCGACCCAGAACATTCTTGCCCCACTGAGCAGCCATATCTGTCATGAGTTTATCTAAAGCTCGGACCCACATGCAGTGAAACCAATTCAGAGAGACACAGATGAAAAGTTTAACAGGTTTTATTGAAGAGATTAAGCACAGTGCAGTGTTGCTCTGAACTCTGCTCAGCGGAACTGGAAGGTGAGGGGAAGACAGACTATTAGTTCAGGGTCAGTGGGAAATTTTATTCGTTGATTTGAAGAAGAGGATCTGATTGTTGACTCACGTTTCCAGAGAAGTGAAGGATCTTTGACTCCAATCTGTGTGTTGGTTTCCAGATTTTGTCTGATTTGGTGGAGGGCGGAACAGGGTTTATCCAGAACTCGGACGGTGTAGGTGAACAGAGATGCTGATTGCCACTCAGATTTCCTGCTGTACTTGAAGGGTTCGTAGTGAATATGATTCCCTTGCTCAGAGAGTAATTTCAACGTCCTTTCAAGGAGACTGGATCCAAACCCCCTGTTTAAATCCCTGGCTCAGTTTAAGGCTCAGTTGATCCCTCCTGGGAGAGGAGGTCCGAAAAGGTCCAGTTTGCAGGATGATTTCCTGCCGAGAGGCAAAGACAAAAACAAAGTTAAAACTCAGGGACACAAGAACTCAGTCTTACTCGGCAAAAACTCAGCTTGGCTAGAGTACCCAAAACTGGCAAACACTCTGGCGTCGAGCTAGTGGCAATCAGCAGCTTAAGAGCACTCCACTAACGAGCCAACCATCATCAGGTGTGTGAGGAGGCGAACCAGGACCAGGCGCCTCCTGCTGGTGGAAGGGAGAACAACACAAAAAGACAAACACAGACTGGAGTCCTTCCATTAAAATATATTTTGTTGACTCAAGCATTTATGGACGTATGGGGCAAAAAATGTTTTACCAAGCAGAGATTTTTTAATGTACCAAACCATCATTAAATATTGTGATGTTTTATGGAGAAACCTGCCTTACCATGAACACAACTCACTGCATCTGTAATGATTATAGTTTTTGATATTTTCTTGGTGTTTCTCAAATGTCTAACAAATATCTGCCTTGACTTTCCAGTGTCTGTGAGCAGGGAGTATTTAACTGCACTCAGGAACAGTGTGAGGAGGTACAACAGTGCCCCCATTCCCTGGTCTACTCCCCCCGTTCTTGCCTCCTCACTTGCTCCAGTCTGGACCCTCCTGGCCATCCGCATGTGTCCAGTGTCTTACAATCAAGCTGCAGAGAGCCGTTGTCTGGCTGCGTCTGTCCTCAGGGAACTGTCTTACTGGTGGGTAAAAACTCCAAGCACTTTCTAAATGGGACACGTATACCTGTAAGCAGCTTTTACAAATGGAAAATGTGGAGTTTCACCTTTTCAGAGAAACTGAACCATGTACTACTGGAGCTGAACTAAAAAACAAATTTTTACTGTTTTCTTCCAGTATAAATATTTTTTGCCACTCTTCCATTAAATGTGCTTCTGTCGATTTACAGAAGTTTGCGCGTGGAACTGAGAGGGACTAATAGGTGTGCAAAAAGCAGGTTTTCCTTTGTTTAGAAAAGTTCCCAAACATACACACACACATTACAATCCAGCACCCTATCACAAAGCAGGATAATTGTCCTTAAACATTAAACAATAGTTCATTTAAAAAAAGGAATATTTTTGCATCTAGACTGTGTGAGGTCCTCGATCAACACCTGTCGTAAAATAATTAAAGCCACGCTGTAACTTTTACAGAAATATTAGCTTAATTTAGAATCATCAAAACCTTCTTTATTAAGATGATTATATCACATTAGCTCAATGGTTTCTTTTTCATCGATATGTTATCATGATTAGTTTGCTAAGATTTGTAACAGTGTTTTTTACCGTTTTATACCTTGAATCCATTTTAAAACAATATAAGAATCACATGAGAATAGAAACTTTAATCTAACAAGGCTGGGAAAATAATACACAAAATAAGCATTGAGGCTCTTACACATAATAAGAAAGATTTATATTGTCATTTTGTATACACAAGTGTAAACAAAAATAAATTTCGTTAAAGCTACAGTGTGTAATTTTCAGCGACATCTAGCGGTCAGACTGCAGACCGCAGCAACATGAACATCTCCCCCCCACCGCTTCTCCCCCCCAACAGTACGGCGAGCGTTACGGGACAAAATTTCTTCCACGACGTCCACATCACCTACCTTCTCAAGTGATGAGGTTTGTTTACATAGATAATTTTACAGATAGTATTTCATTAGTCTGAGTAGGGTATAGATTTCATGTAGACTTAAGATAATAAATATACCCGTTATTTTTTCTACGTCGTTGTGACGTTTTGGTGAGCTGCTTTGCATGGTGATATAAACAGACGAAGTAATTGTAGTCATTAGTTTAACAGCGAGATTGTGTTCGCTGGAAGAATATATATTCCCCGTTTACAGAGTCCAAGTCATTTTGGTGGCACGGGGGTTACAAGGCAAGGAAGAGGGAGAGGACGAGGGCGAGGGCAGGGAGGCCGTGCAGCTAGGGCCAGGCGAGAGAGGGGAGCCAGCGGGGTGAGAGCAGAGGAGGAAAGGCTTGAAGATCTCCAAAGGAGCTGGAGAGAAGTAACCGAGGTATATATCCAGAAAATTATTTTACAGAAAATTACTGAATCATTACCTGTGAAACGTCAGGGACGTTGCTGAATAAATATACTGGAGAGTAACAGCATCATCACGCAGCATGTTATTGTTTTAGACAGGTCTGAGCATCCTGTACTCCAAAAACTGCAGTGATATTAGACAATTGTGTGTGTAGGATTAATTACCTGTCCAAGAGAAAACTGGCAACTTGAGCGTCACTTTGAAAACCTTTTTCCTCCATCAGTGACTTCCATCGTGTAAATGCCGTGCCAATGTTGATCCGTGTTTTTTGCCGTTTCTTGTCACGCTTGCGTTTATTCTCGTCGTGTTTCCGCTTCTTAGATGACGGGGGTTCGGTGTCCGCCGCTTTTCGTTGTGATACAGAGTAGGCATGATCCTCCATTCGTCTGATGTTTGGCCACACAGTGCCAAACAGTTTGCAAAGTCACTCACGCCTGCCGCCTTGTTCACCTTTCTTGTTACTGAGGCGCAGTATACCTGCTTCTTCTTCTTCTTCTTTGGTTTCAGGCAGACTAAACGCTTCTCAGGCATAATACTGCCATCTACTGTTCAGTACCGTCTCAGTTCATCTCTCTCAACTTGCCGTAGTTATTTTTGAGCGTCATGGGAGATCTCGCAATCGCTAGTTTGTTGCCTCTGCGCTTGCCGTAGCGCAAAGATGTCAGCCTCCATGGCTGCGAGACCCGCTCCTATGTAATTATAAATAACGAATTCTAAGGCAACGCAAATATCATGGTTAAAAGGCTGAGCTCATAGGTGATGATAAATAACATAGTTATGTATAATATATTAAATTTCTGACTTTATATCCCTGTAATTATTACACACTGTAGCTTTAAGTACAGTTCTCTAGACAATTTCATTTTTAAAGCGCAGCCTTGATAAGGTAAGCAGCAGTGATAAAAAATCATTGTGAATAAAAACAGTAGTGTAAACATATGACTGTATAGTTACAGTTCTAAAATTCATTTTTTTTTGTTTTTTTTTAATAACCCATTTTACATGACATTCAGCGGTCTAGTGGCAATTAATCACAACACTATGAGAGATCAAAGTCCAAGACCCCGCTCCTTGAGATGCTCCAGCTTTTAAACTAACTAGACTCCATTCTTGTGAATTAGTGAAACGAAAATTGTGTGTTTAGCGCCAAGGGTCTTATCTGTTAACATTAGATTTAAGTGTACCTATTATTATTATTATGAGAATTTTGTTTTTCAAATTTCCACCACCTCCAGCATGTTCATTAAAGAAATTACAGCAACTTATGTCAACAAATGCAGCTCACTATGAGGTCATGGTAATCTTTTTTATACAAGGAGGTCCAAGGCTTGACAAGAATTAAATGCATACATCATACACTGTACGATTTTTTTGCCCTTTTTCGATCGGGCCGAGTTTCACCCTCATGGTACGTCCTGTGTCGTGTAGTATACAGGGAGTGACGAGGGGTGCTCAGCCTCTAACGACCACGTCCTGATCAGGAATCATAAGGTCGGGTGAAAATCAGACATGTTTGAAATTCAGTCGGACATCACAAGGTGTTCGTGGACTAATCCTGCCATTGAAGCAGAGCTATGAGCTGATTTACCAGAACCTCAAGCACTGCGCATGTGCAAACAAGGGAGTTCATCTTCCAGATTGACGAGTCTGACCAGCGCCATCTCTCGGCGTTGAGTCTGACATGTGGTTTTTGGAGGTGCAGTGTGAGAAGGTAGATCGCATCAGAGCGTTGGGCGTCATCGTGAGCTGTGAACTTTAAACCCTGCGGTTACGTCGTTTTAGCTGTAGCTGCGTGCAACGATTTAAAATATCGTACAATGTATGCCCAGCTTAACAGATCTTTGCTCCTTGCTCAGCATCTTCATGTGTTTCAGGATGATCGCTGTGTACCCCCAGATGAGTGTCCATGTCACCATAATGGTCAACTTTATTACACCAATGACACCATCACCAAAGACTGCAACACATGGTAACATCTACATCTGCTGATTAGTATCCCCATCCTCTAACTTCACTAATCAAATCGGTATAACTGTCTCCCAAAGTGTGTGTAAGGAGCGGCGGTGGCACTGCACCCACACCATCTGTGCAGGAGTTTGTGTTGCAACAGGAGATCCACACTATGTGACCTTTGACGGCCGCTGCTACTCGTTTCTGGGGGACTGCCAGTATGTTCTGGCCCGGGAGAACAGCGGTTTGTTCAGCGTGACGGCGGAGAACGTGCCGTGCGGCAGTACCGGCGTCACCTGCACCAAGTCTGTCACCCTCAGCCTTGGGAACACGGTCATACACCTGCTGAGAGGTGGGAACCAAAAGAGCTCTTATTGGGAAGATTTTAATGAATGATTGCTAGAGGTAGTTAACATCCGATGGAGATTCTCGCATGAATGACAAACAATTAGAGCAAGAAAATAGGCAGTACTATTCTCCGCATAGGGAACACATAGAAAAGAAATATCATTCGGGGCAAAAGTTACACATGAATTACATTTTTTTGACCCTTTTTTTACATTATGCTTTGTAACTTGTAATTTCTACCAATTAGTTTTCTTCTTTTGGTAGTTAGAATATATATTTAAGTTAATTTAGAACCAACATTTTTTATCTTTTTATACTTGGAGTTGTTTAGATTACTTTGTTAATGTTTAACCCTCCCATTAATTTGAGTAATTGAGAACACACCGGGTGCTGGGTGGTTTTTTGGTAAATCTCCGGTGTGGACAGGACGTTTTGTAAAATTATATTTTTACCATTTTTTAGAGCTTTAAACATTAAATCAACATACTTTTTAGTTACCAAAGTTGCAATAAGTTTTTTTTTTTATTATTTTGTCTTTGCTTTTACAATAAATAAGTCAAGTTAGACGTGCATACAAAGCCAAAAACCACCTGTTACCACCTACGGCCTTTGTTGGAAATTTTTGTCTTTTTTGGAACAGAAGGCTGCGACACCCCTTTCTTATGCTCCTATGGGCCATACTGTTGTAAAATTATCAATAACCACCTCAAACATCCCAGGATTGGCTCTATGTTCATAGATTGGTAAAATAACCAAGGTTTTTCTTTGCTTGATTTTAGATTTAAAAGTTGAGTTAAAGGATAGTTTTGTTTAAACAAGTCTGCAAACTACAGCTTTTTAAAAGTGCAAAGTGCAAGTCTTTTCAGATTTATATATATATTTATAATGCATTTATTTCAGCAACTATATGAAGCAATAAAGCATTTGATAACATTAGCTGTCTCATCTGTGGCTTTCAGGTAAAGCAGTTACAGTAAACGGGATGCCAGTTACTCTACCAAAGTCCTACAGCGGCAACGGCCTGACCTTGGAAAGAGTTGGCATATTCGTTGCACTCTCTTCTCGACTAGGAATCACCTTGCTTTGGGATGGAGGTTAGGCAGCTTCTTAACCTGATTTTTTTATTTACATCAGAAAATCAAAATATTTTCATTTGAAGCATTTATTTTTACTGATTTTGTGTTTTTACATAGGTATGCGTGTGTATTTGCGCTTGGCCCCCCACCTGCAGGGTCAGGTTGGAGGACTTTGTGGTAACTTCGATGGAGACACAGAGAATGACTTCACTACACGGCAAGGAATCGTCGAATCGACGCCTGAGCTCTTTGGAAATTCCTGGAAGGTCAGTCCTTCTTGCCCTGATGTGGAAAACCAGGACCTCAGAGATCCCTGTGCTGTAAGTTCGACATGGAAATCTATGCATAACCATCCCTCTAGTCCCACAGATCAGTACTGATTATCGGTGTGCTCAAACCTTTGTCTTTTTAGCGGAACCCCCACAGACTGACGTGGGCCAGGAAAAGGTGTGCTGTGCTGACTCAGGAGCTGTTTTCAAGATGCCACCCAGAGGTGTCTTTCCAGCAGTATTACGACTGGTGTGTCTTTGATGCCTGTGGGTGAGTGACATCACAAATTTAAGCATTCGTTTTTTTTTATCTTAGCAAGTTTAGCAGTTTAGCACTTTTAACCTGGCAGTTGGCTTCAATATCCACTCTAAAGTATCTCTGCATGCAGTTTTCATTTTCTTCCTCTACATGCGTTAACTATCAGCAGCATCTATTGATCATTATTATTTTTTCATCAAATTAAAGGAATAAAATGATAAAAGAAAGTGGTTTTCCCCCCAAAAAAAATAAAAAATAAAATCATGCAGAAAAAGTGAGGATATATGGAGTTAAATTGGTCTCATAAACTAGAGGTCTTGGTCTAATAAACCAAACAAAAAATAATCTCAATCAAAAAGTTAGTTGTGCTTAAAAGTTTTGGAATTTTAATGGAATATTTATTGTTAATGGTATACTTTGATAAAAAGAAATAATAGGTTTTTCTAAGAACTACTTTTTAAATTCAAATGACTAATTTATTCTCACTGTTAGGATAATTATTATTGATGATACGTGAGTTTATTACACCTTATTATTAGCCGCATGTCAGAACTGATGTTTTCCCCAGTATTTTATCTAATTAAGACAGTTCCTCTGTGCGGATATACAGTTATAATCTTCATTCTGTATGCGGCAAAGATTTGGGAATCAAATGAGAGCGGCGTCCTTCAGCTAAGAACAAATTGTAGTATTTTGATAAGGCTGGAACCATGGATATCTAATCATCTGCTACGTGTTCTATTTAAAATAAGATGATGTGGCAGACTGGAGATGTATAAAATGCTTCTTTAACTGTTAATCGGGGCCACTTCCTGAGAAGTGAGCCAGGTTGGTAAGCAGCTGCCTTCTGTTCATTCTAAGCAACTTCTCTGATCTGAGTAAGATTACAATTTTCATCAAAATCTGTTGTCATGTCTCATGTTTTTTTAATATAAGTTATGAAGTGTTGTTTAAAGAGTTTGTGTCGATGGATCTATTTTCAGGAAAAAGAACCGGTGAGAGAAGCTTTAAGTTGCAAATAAAGCGCTTTCCTTTAACATCAAGAAACAAAGCTGTTGTTACAATTCTATATGGATTTTAGGGGCAGAGTTGGCTGATGGTACCTCGCTCTGGAGCAAAGAGAACGAGCAGTAGGAGTTTTTAAACCGAAGATTCTCGGTCGATAGTTCAGCTGGGCAGAGGTGGACAGTGTGTTTTGCAAATAACGTTTTCTCTTCATGAAGAAAAATGCTCTCATCTAAATAAAAAAAGGAAATTATTTTTTGTATAATATTCCATATAAAATGTTTTGTTTTCTTCTTTCTTTTTCCATTACTGATTTTCCAGGAGAGGCAGGGGATGTTGCACAGAGAGCAGAGTTCATGAGGATTACGTAGACGTGCATGAATCAAGTTAAATAGCACAACAAACATAAATGTTTAGACAAGTCGATGTTTCATGATGCAATGTAAATTCTGATATAGTTTAAATCAACTTCATTCGGCTCAGCCACTAGAGAGGTTGAGCAACGGTTGGTGGCTGTACCTCAGCAGCTCATTTTGATGGAAACAGCAAACAAATGATATTTTAATAACATTTGTTTGCTGTTTTAAAGTGTATTTTTTTCCACTTTAGAATAACCCTTGTTCTAACATCTCAGGACGTAAAATTGACAAGATTAGTTGACCATTAATTTGTTCCAATTGACGGAAACATCTCTAATTAACATTTTATATTCAACATTTTAAAAGTTTTCACACATTTTGCATGACTTTTGAATAGTAACACAACTACTGACATTGGATCTGATATAACACCACCTTACAATCAGATGAACTTGTATGTATTCCATTTTATTTCAGCCACTCTGCCAAAGTCAGCTTGTTTTATTTGGGAGACTGTTTCCTAAGATAGAAACAATCTGTTGACATTCTCATCTAGAAGTACGGTAACTCATCCATCAGCAGTCCCCACTTCCAAAGATGTAGAAGTTGATCCAAATAACTTTTGACTTTCGTTCTCTGTAGAAAGGAATGTCTGAGCTCATCCTCTGTTATTTGTCTTGTGGATTTCTGCAGCTGTGACTCTGGGGGGGATTGCGAGTGTCTCTGCACAGCTATTGCGTCCTACGCTGAGGAGTGCAACCGGAGAGGGATTTACATTCGCTGGAGGTCCCAGGAGCTCTGCCGTATGTCACATTTTTATACACACCCAAATTTCCAATTTTAAAATGTATCTTTATGGATTAAAGTATGGAGGGGAAAAGTCTACACAGTCCTATAAAATGCTTACATTTGGAGGACAAATATGGTGGGAGTGGCGGCCTTGTCACGTCTGGGTTATGGTTTAGAGAACCCAAATGCAGAGGCAGAGAGGATGAGGTGAATTCTTGTAGTTTTAATGGTAACACAAACAATAGGGGACAAAAATCCAACTTAAAATTTTACACAGACCAGAATCATGGAGACATCAGGGGAAAACAAGCACAAGGAGCCAGGGAGAGAGGAGCTGAGAAGACAACAGCGACGACAGGACCAGCAACAACAAGGAACCAACAAGGAGTGACAGCAGAGGGAGAGTATATGTAGCTGACTAAGACAATGGCAGGGCTAACGAGCAGGGCTAACATAAATCTAGAAACTACAATAAAATAAGAATTAAACCAATAAAACTAGGAAACATGGAGCAAAGTAAAGCACAACATAACCAAAACCATGACAGGCCTTGCGTTAATGGCATTGCGTTTAGATTCCAGAGGTTCTGAGTTCAAGCCCCACTCCCACAGACTGCTACTCTCCCAGCAGCCCACTGCTCCCAAATGCAGAGAGTTCATTCCGTTGCTCTGTACTTGTGACAGTGGAATGACGGTAAATTGATGGAAAAGGTAAAAAAAGAAAATGTTTTTTCCCACCTTTAGTGTGACACACCCCAATCACCCTTATCCTCCCAATTTCGATCAGGCTATATTACAGGAAAATTTAGCTCAAATTTGCACATATGTTTCCCTTATCTGATATTTTTATGTCATTCTAAACAACCCACATTATGTCTTTTGACCTCTAATAATCAGAATATTGCCATCTTCGTATATGGTACTTTTAAAGGTGTCTGAACAGTCATGTCTCACCTTTTTTCAGTAGGATGCAATCAAAAAATCTAGGTTTATTTACCTACAGCAAACCAAGATGATGATGCTGCTTCCTCATGATCATGGCTGCAAACAACGACCCGCTAATGGATGCTAACTTAGACGATTGCAGGAGTTGCAGCCATGGATCAAAGGCTGTTCAAAATCCCTTGCTCTTAAGGAGATGCTTTCTCAAATATATCTACTCAGCTCCCTTGGATATTATGTAAACATCTCGCTCTGCTCCTTCCTTCCCTGAGGACATCTGTGAAACTGGTCCATTCGGGGCCGGTTGATGACCAGCGTATTACTTAACATAGTACTATCAAGGACAATGCACACATGAGCAGTGCTTCATCAACTTTCTTTGCACACATTCAAAGCCCACAGATACATGCATGCTCAGATGTAAACATACACACCCTTCATAAATATTTTAGTGACTGTGATCCTCTTCACATGTTGGAAAGTGGACCTCTCCTTTTGTTTTATATCAGCCGCGTTAGCTTTATTTACTGTAGCAGCAGCTTCTGACATCGTTAATCTTTGTGCATGCAATGCTGCGTTCATGCTCACCGTGGAAAATAGACCACTCTTCCACTTCCTCTCTGTCATAATGATCCGTTTTACGAATCTGACCCACATGCATGGGAAAAGTTTAACAGGCTTATTGAGGCAAGAGTACAGGGGTTGGATCTGGAACTCGGTGAGCTGGTGAACCGGAACTGGAAGTAAGTAGGGAAGTTCAGAGGTCAGTTCAGGGACCCTGCATCTAGGATGTTGATAGGTAGTGCTGGTGAGGGACTCACGTTTGAGGGGGCCTTGTCAGTTCTTGAATCCAGTCTGTGTGGGATAATCCAGAGAATAGTAAACACGTTGGAGGGCGAACAGGTAAACAAAGGTTGGACACAGATGAGTAATGGAGCGGACTGTCACTCGGATTTCCAATGGGAACTTGAACGGATCATCTGGAGGTTTTCCCATGCTCGGTGTGAACTCGGCTTCTCCTTCCAAGGGGAGAAGGTCCAGGTATTCCAGTTAAACAGGAATTCTTCCTGCAGAAGAAACAAAGACAAAAGAACATAAGTCTCAGAGAAACACCTCTTAGGTTAGACTCAGCTAATCTCAGCTTTGCTAGAGTACCCAAAGCTGGCAAACACTCTGGCGTCGAGGTAGTGACAGCCCACTGCTCAAATACTCCTCCAGATAATGATCCAATGAGCCGCAGGTGTGCAGGGAGGCCCAACGAAGACAGGGCACCTCCTGGTGGTGGAGAAAAGGAAACACAAAAACAGACCACACAAACTGGATTCCTAACAGATTTTACATAAATTGGTACTGTGTAGTACCGATGGATTTTAGTCAATACCAAATTCAGTACCCATCCCCAGGAATGTCTGATTTCTCCTTCTGCCCATGAAGGTCTAGCCTCTTGAGACCATCCTGATCTCGCGAGCTTTCAAGGTTTCACTCGCTAATCAGTCTGGAGACTCTCCAATAAAGAACATTTTGAGCCGTTCACCAAACGAACGTCCAATCAGCATTGGCTTTGAGGCGGGTTGAGGTGTGACGCAACGAGAAGCGCGACAGTTCAGTCTAAAGAACATGGCGGCTTTAGCCGATGAAACTAGCGTTAGCGTGGCGAGCAAGTTTTATCGGAATTACAGAGTATTTCTTCACTGAAAGAAGAGCAAAACACTGCTCTGGAGGCTTTTCTCAGAGGAAAATATGTTTTTGCTCTTCTCCCGACTGGTTTCGGCAAGAGTAGCCTGGCTTGTGGTTGTGTTTTCATCGTCGCTCTGTTAGTACATCATATGCTTCGTTGATCTGATTGGTTTATTTGGCCCGTCTATCACCAACATAGGCCAATCAGCTAACCAGTATTTTCGCCCCTTCCCAAAATTACTTCAACGGAAGGTTTCCAGATGGATATGCGGAGCTTTCTTAAATTATTTTTACATTTTTCTCCCTTTCAGTTTAAAAAAATATTAAAGGTGTAAAAAAAAAATCTTAAAATCATCTATATCAACCTAATATTTTAACCTTGCAAACAAGTGTCAGTTTTAGGGGTGTGAGGACCATTTCAAACTATCAATGCATCTCTTTCATAATAACCTGCTTCTTTTCTTTGCAGCTCTTCAGTGTGATAAAGGGTTGGTCTACGATCCTTGCGGGCCGGCTTGCTCTCTGTCATGCCCAAGCGTTCAGCAGAGTCCATACTCTAGATGTGGAGAGCTTTCCTGTGTGGAGGGCTGTTTCTGCCCTGCTGGCACAGTCAGACATGGTAAAACAAATATGCTACACAGCTGCTAATTCATTAGCTATGAATAGTTTAAGTAATGAAAGATGGTACTGATTTTGTCCACTGTGGTTGATGCATTTGTTGATTTTGTTTGTTTACCCCATAAAGCAAATATGAGGCGTTTTTATTTTCAAAATGACCTCACTGTAACATCAAACCCATACACATTTATAAAGAGAATGAAAAGGATCTTTGAATTTAAAGATAAACTTTCAGAGCAGCATGCTTTAATTGTTTTCCTCCACAGGTGACGGCTGTATAGAACCCACCCAGTGCCCCTGTGAATGGGAAGGCTCCATGTTTCCACCTGGAAGTACCATCACCAAACTCTGTCAGAACTGGTCTGTCGATCTAAAAACACTGGAAAATCACATGCGTTTTAATGTTAGAAAATAATGTATTTTTATTAATTTATTTTATCCAGTTCTTGTGAAGAGGGTGTTTGGCACTGTGAGGGAATGCCATGCCCTCCTCCGCCGCCTCCTTGCCTGGAGTCAGAGTTTTCCTGTGCCAGCGGGCGCTGCATTTCCTCCCAGTGGGTGTGTGACAGCGATGACGACTGTGGAGATGGTTCAGATGAGATCTGCCCGTCTACCTGCTCCCCAAACCAGTTCCGATGCATGAGCACCCCAAGGTGATTCCACACTAACTTGTCTTTATCTGTTGGCTCCTCCTGGGTTACCATCGGCATCATGGCTGCTATCTAGTTTGCAGTTGAGTCCACGGGCAGAGCTAGAAGGCGGCCAGGATTAGTTCTTCCTATGTGGAGTTAAATTTTCATCTCCTGAACAAGCAGTTCCCCTCTCTACCAATGGGTGGCAGCACTGATGCTCTCCACTAGAATATCATAACTAATATGACATTTTTAACTGTTAATACTTTAACCAAAGTAAAAATACAATAACTCATTACCATCAATACAGTAACATAATGGAGGAAAATTTCAGAATTAATATCTTTTTAATCTGTTTTAATTATACACTTTTGTATTTAATGGTAGAGAAGAAAAAGTTACATATCTCTGCAGTCATCTAACACAGAGTTTTCCCAGAATGGGTATCTGGAACCTCTGGAGGTTGTGTGACACCAAGCTGGGGGTCACAAGATGGGTTTTTCAATTATTATGATGCAATCCCGATGGAGAGCATCATAATAATTGCTGCTTAAAATCTGCTGCACTTTATGAAATGGAAATGTTCATTTCGCAGCTAAGCTGCTCATTCAATGTCTGAAAGCTGTATAAAACAAAATCTTAAACCCATTTTCATATTTATCATTGTGTATACATATTGACCGAGCTTCTCACCCCATCTCTAAGGGAGAGCCCAGCCACCCTTTGGAGGAAATCCATTTCGGCCGCTTGTATCCGCGATCTCGTTCTTCCGGTCATGACCCAGAGTTCATAACCATAGATGAGAGTAGGAATGTAGATCGACCTGTAAATCGAGAGCTTCGCTTGTTGACTCAGCTGTCTCTCGGTACAGCGCCCGCCTCACGGCAGACGCTGCGCCAATTCGCCTGTCGATCTCCCGCTCCCTTCTTCCCTACACACAATATTAAAACATAAAAAACATTAAAAAAAAAATCCATCTAGTTCCATTTCCATAAATTTTTGAAAAAGCTCCAAGAAGCCGCGGGTTGCCGACCCCTGATGTAAAGTGATGTAGTTATATGCATTTTGGGGGCTCCCCAAGCTGATGAATTGTTATTTTTGTGGTTTAGAGGCTAAAATTCTTAAAACTAAAAACAGGAATTATCTGAGTATAGTTGTATAACAGGTCAATTAAATGCATTTATTTTCATCATGCAAAACTGATTTTAAAGATAGATTAAAATTATATAAAAAAAGATAAATTAATAATAGATTGTATGACTTTTAGCATTATACAAAATGTATTAATCAAAAAAGATTAGAAAAATTATTCTAGTTCTATCCAGTAAAATAGTTTTGGTAACACTTAATATAATAATAATAACTATAATATATGAATGGTAAAGAGGGTATTTATTAACATTTTGTTTATTATTGTTTATAATCTGCATCTAAATCATTCATAAAAGGTAAATAGATCGTATTGCCCTGCAAACACAATTAATACAATTGTTTGGACAACTGAATATAAATCATGCAATTTGAGATTCCTGCTATGTACTAAACATGCTTACAAATGTGTTTTGTGGCTTTTTGAATGTTTGCCTGTATGATTATATCACAATACTTTAAAAGATCTTCATAAATCATAACTTTGTTAAGTCAATCTTTGTGCAGGACTACTGTAAAATCCTTGAATTAAATTAAGAGAGATAACCCCAACCTTGCAGCGGACCGTGTTTGAACCTGGCTCTGCGTTGTGATGGCCACCCAGACTGTGCCGACCAATCAGATGAGGAGTTCTGTGGACCCGCCACCACCATGCCCTTGTGTCCTCCTGGAGAGTTTCAGTGCGCCAATGGGAAGTGTCTACCAGCCAGTCGACTGTGTGATGGACGGCTGGACTGTGGCTTTGCTGATGGATCTGATGAGCAAGGTAAACCTCAACAGAGAAATTGAGGTCCGCTGCTTGTATGAATAAAAAAAATGAAAAGTTTTAAGCTTTTGGCAGTCATCCTGTCCTGTAATGTAGTAATTTTTCATACTATTTTTCTGTTAGCTGATATGTTCTATTACACCGCTCCTTTTTTTTCCTCGTAAGCTACTTATGCTGCTATAGGCTTAGGCTGCTGGAGGACATAGGAACCCCTTTTCCCTCACTTTGCTTCATTCTACTTCTCATTCTGCATTTTTTTTGTTAGTTCAGGTTCGGACTTCATGTTCTTACTGCTTTTTTCTTATCATAGTAGCTCCCTCTAGCCCGGCTCACCACCTCCATATGTAGATAATAGAGTTGGGCCTTTTTTTAAGAGCTTATTTCTGTCTTTTCAAGACACCTATGGGCTCAGCTTGTACTGTGAATAACTGTGTCTGCTCTCTTTCATCCCTTTTAACATGAAAACTGGCTCAAAGCTTGTCAGTTTCTTTAACATAGAAAAATATATTGAGCTAAGTTATCGTCACTATTTTCTGAAATACATGGTAACATATTCAAGCATCAATGTTTCTATTTTTCTTTTGCATGTCTGCTCATGTCTCTTTGAACCATGCTAACACCAAACCTGGTTCTGCTGCAGGTTTCTTCCTCTTAAAATGGAGTATTTCTGCTCCACTGTTACTGCATGCATGCTCAGTCTGAGGGAATTGCTGTGGAGTCAACAACAAAATGCAAACAGAAATCTACTGTCATGCTCATCTAGGGAGGAGGAAATTGTGTGTCAGTGACTGGATGCTATCACCCGTTTTTTGCTGGATAGAAACCTTTTGAGTAATCTGGCTGGATGATTTCACTGAATTGTCTCAAAGAGCCTTGATTGGAAATTTTTTGAATTGCTGCTACATGAATAAATTTAATTTGAAAGAATCTCTATATAATGTAATGTGATCTGTGCTTTTGTTATACCAGACTGTGGTGTGGTATGTGATGAAGGGGAGTTCCTGTGTCCTGGGGGGCGCTGCATCCTTTATATCCACCGCTGTGATGGCCACAATGACTGCGGAGACCTCAGCGATGAAAGGGGGTGTGTTTAATTATTTTTCTTCATTATGCTACGTTTTTTTTCTGTTTCCTGTATTGCAAATATAGTCCTTAATTGAAAATTATTCAGGACGTAAAATTGTATACAACAGACTAAAAAGGGGATAAAAACTAACGGGGGAGAGAGAAAGAGACACAGAAATGAATTCATGAAACAAGAGAAAATAATACAAAACAGCAAAAATAGACAACACAGAAGATATACAGTAACTGCTGGAAGTCTTCCATTCCATGAGACGAGAGGATCAGAAAACAGAGAGTATAATGGAAAAAAAAAATAAAATTAAAGACAACTGTCTGTTGTTTTATGTTAAAAAAATTTAAATAGCAGTTTAAGAGCATCTGTCTACATTACATTTTCCCGACTGACTCTAAACCCTTGTTTTCTGGTAGCTAGCGGGACTTTATCTTGTTTTTTTTCTTTTTAAGATTTAATAACAGTTGTGTTAGCATGTGTTGTAAATAAGCATTTCATCAAATCTCTCTGGTTTATAGGTGTGTGTGCTCACTAGGAGAGTTCCAGTGTCCAGATGATCAGTGTGTCCCTGCAGATAGACTCTGCGATGGACACAGAGACTGTCCTGCAGGAACAGATGAAGCTGTCTGCCCAAGGAAAGGTGAACAACACGAGCCTAACGATACAGTCTGTGATGAGAGACGGTACTCACCTCTGGGCCTATTAGAATCACATAAGAAGAGATTAGCAAAAGGAAATGTATTATGTATGCAATAATGCACATCTGGCTTGTTCATAAAAAACAGTTTTTCACTTTGAGTGTCCAACGTTTTGGGCACTCATGTCTTTATTGCACTGGATAAAGCCAACAATCAACTAAATTTACTGGGAGCTCTTTAAAATAAATAGCAAAAGATTTTTCAAAACCAAACAGATAAAATATTATTAGATTTATTACAAAAGGATTGGGCCTGATATTAAAAGAAAACACCCAGGAACTCATCTACAGAAGGTCTGCACCTTTTAAAATAGGTTGCAAACGTTTTTCTAACCCACAGAGCAGATCTTTAAAGTAGATGCTAAGTGAGATGTGTTTCTCATTTAGCAAGCAGTGTGTACAGAGCTTTTTTTTTTTACTTGTGTTCCTTCATTATTGTTAGGTTTCTGTTTCTGTTATGTTTTTCTTTTGCTCCTTGATTTCTAGTGTTTAGTTTTCTTTTCACCATGTTTCTTTATCCTAGTTATTTAATAATTATTTTGTTGTTGTTTTCTTATTAGTTCCTGTCTTCCAGGTTTTCCATTTGTTGTCCTCTGCTGCCCTCTTGTGTCCTCTTTCTCTTGCTCTGTTCTCTGTTCAGCCCTCACCTGTTTTCAATTTCCTCGTTAGCCCTCTCTCTGTTTCTGTCCCCTTTAAAAGCCCTTCCTCTTCAGTTCCTGTTTGCTGGATCCTAGTCTAACCTTTCGTCATCGTCTGTCTGCCTTCCTCGTCTCTCCCTGGTTCCTAGATTTTGGTTTTCCCCTGATGTCACCTTGGTTCTGGTTCGTTAGTTATTTTGTTGGATTTTTGATTCCTGCCTCAGTGCCTGAAAACCTTATTAAACCACTTAAATTCACCTCTGCCAACTCGTCTCAGCATTCGGGTCCTCCAAACCAACACCGCCTCATGACAATTATTACAGTAGCAGCCATTCAGAATGGCCCTTCCTAGTCAAACACCAGCTGAATGGCAGCCCACTTCCCTGCAACTCCCAGCAAAATCCCTTCCAACTTCCAGCAAATGGAGTGATCCCCTCCTTCTCCTGGGCGTGCATATTGTTTTTACTGTGACTCCACAGTTTCACTAAATTACAGGGAAATATTGTTTCTCTTTTGATCTTAATGTCCACAAATCTTGACAGAAAGAATATTTTAGTACAAAAATGTATCTTTAAAGAGGAATTGTAGGGGATCAGCCAGGGGCCCATCAAGGAAAGTGGGGAAATTTTGAATGGCTACAACTGTATGCAGATCGTATTTTAACGTCTAACTCACACAAATGCATAGATGGAGGATATGAAAATGTAAAAGTTTATGCTGTGTAAAGTGATTTTCCTAATTTGAAACTCAACACCAGCTTTAGTTTTTGTGTCTTCTGAAAGTACGTCTTAAAGTCAAAAAGCAACGAGCAAAGATTGCTGCAGTAATTGTTGCCACAAAGGAGGCATTGGAACAAGGACAGATGATGGAGAGAGATATTCTTTGCACATCTAAACATATTTGACTTGCATCCTCATTAATTATCTATTTCCATTGGTAGAGATGGTGACGGTTTAAGAATTTCACTATTTCACTATGTCTTTGCGCAGTTTGTAGGGCCTATGAGTTCCCATGTACCAGTGGGGCACAGTGTGTGCCTCAGGCGTGGCGTTGTGATGGGGAAACAGACTGCATGGATGCCAGTGACGAGCAGCAGTGCGCTGCTCCCTGTGGACCAGGCCAAGTGCCCTGCCTCAGTGGGGATCAGTGTGTGGATTACTATCAACTCTGTGATGGTACTCCACACTGCAGAGATGCATCTGACGAGAGCATCAACACCTGTGGTGAGTGCTTTATTAAAGGACATAGCTAAAAGCTTAACTCCTCCCAGCCAATAGGGGGCTCTCTCCTGCTCGGCAGCTCTAATTTCAAACTTCAATTGTTCTGTTTGCCAGCCGGTTGTGAGGTTATAGATGTTCTGTGAATTTTGCTTTTATTTGTCATTTTGATGGAAAGGTTGTTTCTATGTCCTTGAGTAATCAAGTAAACTTGGTAACTCTTTAGAGGTGATGCTACAGATTATATTTTGATGTGAATGAAAACATTTTGTTTTAGTAGTAAATAATCATCTTTCATCTTTCAGGCTCTTCTCGGATCCCATCCTGTCCAGGAAGCTTTCCTTGTGACAACCGCACCTGTGTGAACATGTCACAAGTCTGCAACGGCATCCTGGACTGTCCACGCGGAGATGATGAGTTGGTGTGTGGTGAGTTCCCATAAGATAAGGAGGGAGGGATAAGAGTGTAAAATGAGGATAAGATAAGATAAGATAACATTTTTTTTATTTTAAAGTATTTATAGAATTCAAACTCATTACTTTTTCATATTACCACCAAAAAACTTGCTTTAATTTATAGGATTTTTGTACAAACACAAATGCAAGGTAAAGACTAATTATTAAGTTGAAGGAAAGGCTGAAATTGGTAAAAGAAAAAAATTGCTTTTATAATCTAATAAGTCTGCCATTAGCTTGTATTCTGCCCATCAGACTTATAAGTGCATATATATAAAAAGAAGAAAATTGTATTTTTGCTATAACCTCATTTGAAAGTATTGAGGATCATATAGACTTAGAGACTTAGACTTGACTTTATTAATCCCTTGGGATTACTCCCTTCGGGAAATTGTATTTCCAGTAGCAGGAAAAATTGCACATACAAGAAAAAAGAGGATGTTTAGACACAGTATATACAATAGAAAAAATAGAATCAATTAAATAAGGTGTAGGAAGATGTATTGGGGGATGAGGATAGACAAATAAATACAGAGGGCTATAGCAAAAACAATGACTTAAATTAACAGTTATGTAGTGTATTGCACTTGAATGGTTGAGAAAAAAGAGTGTCCAGATTATAAAAAACCACAGCGAGTAACTACAACTCCTTCACTTCTGTTCTCTTAACTCTATTTCCTACTCCCCCCCAGAGAGGAGTTATAGAGCCTGATGGCATGAGGGACAAAGGAGTTCCTGAGTCTGTTGGTCCTACCTTTGGGAAGGAGCAGCCTCCCACTGAACAGGCTCCTCTGGTTGCTGATGACGGTGTGCAGGGGATGACTGACATTGTCAATAATGTCCAGCAGTTTGTCCAGTGTCCTCCTCTCTGCTACCGTCACCAGTGAGTCCAGTTTCATGCCGACCACAGAGCCGGCCCGCCTGATCAGTTTATCCAGCCTGGAGGTGTCCTTCTTAGATGTGCTGCCCCCCAGCACACCACAGTGTAAAAAAGGACGCTGGCAACCACAGACTGGTAGAACATCCACAGCAGTTTGCTGCAGATGTTAAAAGATCGCAGCCTCCTGAGGAAGTACATCCTACTCTGTGTCTTGCCATACAGGTGGCTGGTGTGTGTTGTCCAGTCCAGTTTATTGTCCAGCCACAGCCCGAGGTATTTGTAGGAGTCCACAACCTCCACCTCAGCTCCCCCTAACAGAATTGGTCGTGGTCTTGGTCTGGACCTCCCAAAGTCGATGACCAGCTCCTTCGTCTTAGAGGTGTTGAGCTGTAGGTGGTTGGTGTGGCACCATGCAGTGAAGTCCCTCACGAGACTCCGATACTCCTCCTCTCTGTCATCCCTGATGCACCCAACGATGGCTGTGTCATCGGCGTACTTCTGGATGTAACACAGCTCCGAATCATAACAGAAGTCCGCGGTGTACAGGGTGAAGAGAGCAGGGGCTAGCACTGTGCCATGGGGGGCTCCTGTGCTGCTGACCACAGTGTCAGACGTGATGTCCTTCAGCCTGACATACTGTGGCCTGTCAGTGAGGTAGTCCGAAATCCAGTGCACCAGGTGGGGGTCCACACCCATCTTACTCAGTTTGTCATGGAGCAAGGGGGGCTGGATGGTATTAAAGGCACTGGAGAAGTCCAAAAATAGAATCCTCACAGTGCCACTTCCCTTATCCAGATGGGAGTGGACTCGATGTAACATGTAGAGGATAGCATCCTCCACACCAACACCTGGCTGGTATGCAAACTGCAGGCGGTCCTGGGCGTGTTGCACCTGGGGTCTGAGGAGGCCGAGGAAGAGCCGCTCCAACGTCTTCATCAGGTGTGAAGTGAGTGCCACCGGTCGGAAGTCATTCAGCTCGTTGGGCCTGCTCTTCTTTGGTACCGGCACGATGCAGGATGTCTTCCAGAGGGTGGGCACTCTCCCTAGCTGCAGGCTAAGGTTGAAGATCTGCCCACCTGTTGGGACTGAAATGTGTACCCCTTTTTTAAAAGTTGTTTAAAATCAGTCCAATTCGTTCACAACTTTGGTTAGAGATTCTAAGTAGAGTAGATCTATACTTTTCAACGTTTTCAACGTTTTCCAGGCCAAGCGGCCCCAAACTGATGGCTAGATGGAGCGGGATATATTGTATGAAATTGAGTTATATCAAACTGGTCCTATAGTCACTCTATTACAGATGTAGTAATGTAAGTAAAGTAATCCCTCCCTGGGATTATTAAAGTATTTTTGATTCCTGGTTGATGGGACAGGTGTTGTGAATGAAACGGTGCCCAGCTTGAAAGAGCTCCTGTGTGTCGCTGAATGTGAGCATTGATGACTGAATGACATCTTCTGCCTCCATTTATCTGTTTACTACAGTCTGTGGAATTCATGTTAATGTGGATTTAAAGACATTTCAATTAGTGGAAAAAATTGAAACAACCAAAACTTTCATGACCCCCATACAGTACCTTTGTGGACCACAAGGGGTCGCAGACCCCCTATTAAAGACCTCTGCCTTAAATAACCATTTTTAACAAAATATACCTTGATATATTTATTTATTATACCTTATTATACCTTTATTTATTATACCTATTTCCTCACAACCCTGTCCTCTCTGACCACTTTCTAATAACCTTCAGGATTACTTTAACAGAGTTCTCCTCCCCCAAAAGAAGGTTCAATTTTAGTAGATCTTTATCAGATAGTGCAGTTATAAATTTTAAAGAATCTGCTTCACTTTCTCTCTGCTCTGTGTCACTGAGCAGTGCTACAGAGTGCAAAAGCTTAGCTTATTCCCCTTCACAGGTTGATGATTTTGTTGAGGGGGTTGCTAGTTCTCTGCGTATTGCCTTAGACAACGCAGCTCCTTTGAAAATGAAAACCGTTAAAAATAGAAAGCTTGCTCCTTGGTTTAATGCAGAGCTGCGTACTTTGAAGCAAAATGCTAGGAAACTGGAGAGAAAATATCGCTCCACAGGCCTGCGAGAGTCCTTCCTAGTCTGGAAAAATTGTTTACTGCTGTATAAGAGGACCCTTTGTAAAGCAAGAGCAGCATACTTCTCCTCATTAATAGAGGAGAATAAGAATAATCCTAGATTTCTTTTTAATACAGTTGCCAAACTCACCCAGAGCCATAGCTCTGTTGAACCGTCCATTCCACCTGCTCTTAGCAGCAATGATTTTATGGGATTCTTTATAAATAAGATTGATCTTATTAAAAATAAGATCATAAGCACTCCTCTATCCGCGATTGTACCTGAGGTAGTCATGGAATCTGAACCGGGTTTAGACTGCTTTGATCCAGTTGAACTCTCTGAATTAGCAAAATTATTGTCTTCATCTAAGCCTTCAACTTGTATGTTAGATCCAGTTCCAACCAGGTTATTTAAGGAGGTATTCCCTTTGATCTCCTCCTCCATTTTAGATGTGATTAATCTATCTCTGTTACAGGGATATGTACCTAAAGCTTTTAAGTTTGCTGTAATTAAACCTCTGCTTAAGAAACCGTCTCTTGACCCAGATGACTTGGTCAATTATAGACCTATATCCAATCTTCCTTTCTTATCCAAAATTCTTGAGAAAGTAGTTGCCAAACAAGTTTGCGATCACTTCCACCATAATGAACTTTTTGAAGAGTTTCAGTCTGGCTTTAGAGCTCATCATAGCACTGAAACAGCTCTGGTGAAAGTCACTAATGATATTCTCATGGCCTCAGATAATGGACTTGTATCTGTGCTCGTCCTGTTGGATCTTAGTGCTGCATTTGATACAGTTGACCATAATATTCTTTTAGAAAGACTTGAATATTTTGTTGGAATTAAAGGAACAGCACTAGACTGGTTTAAATCTTATCTATCTGATCGAATTCAGTTTGTTCATGTTAATGATAGATCTTCAACACGCTCAAAGGTTACCTCCTTCTCACATATAAAGCCTTAAATGGCCAAGCTCCATCTGATATCAGAGATCTGATTGTTCCTTATGTTCCTAACAGAGCACTTCGCTCTCAATCTGCAGGTTTACTAGTGGTTCCTAGAATTTCTAAAAGTAGAATGGGAGGCAGATCTTTTAGTTATCAGGCTCCTCTCCTGTGGAACCAACTACCAGTTTTAGTCCGTGAGGCAGACACCCTGTCTACTTTTAAGGCTAGGCTTAAAACTTTCATTTTTGATAAAGCTTATAGTTAGAGTGGCTCAGGTTATCCTGAGCTATCTCTATAGTTATGCTGCTATAGGCTTAGACTTTTGGAGGACATAGGGACCCCCATTTCATCATTCTGCTTCATTCTCTCTCTGTTCTCCTATTCTGCAGAATCTGTTAGTTCAATCTCTAACCTTCTGCTCTCTCTGCTTTTCCTCAGAGTAGCTTTGCCTCGTCTGTTCCTGTTTGGCTGTGACGTCATCCTGGAAAAAAACATCAGCTGTGCTGCTTCTATCAACACCCTTGTTAATAGATGTTGGAGATCGGCCTGTTTTCCAGTGTGGTCCTGTTTCTCTGACCGTGACTGAGTGGATGTGCTCTCTTCGTCCTCTGGCATGGGAGCTGCCTTGGAGCTCGTCTGCCTGGCTGCGTGTTTCCTGGACGGGGCCGCCTTTTACAGCTGCTTTTTGTATCTCTGCTTCTGTCTCCTTGAACCCCAGTCGGCCTCGGCAGATGGCCGCTCACACTGAGCCTGGTTCTGCTGGAGGTTTCTTCCTGTTAAAAGGGAGTTTTTCCTCTCCACTGTCGCTACAAGCATGCTTAGTGTGGGGGATTGTATTTGAGTCAATGAGTCAATGCAATCAACTGGTTTTCCTTAGATAGAAAACTTTGTATCAATTTGACTGTATGATCTGGTTGAACTGTAAAGTGCCTTGAGATGACATGTGTTGTGAATTTGGCGCTATATAAATAAACTGAATTGAATTGAATTGAATATACACAGGGGCACCTCTAGAAATGTTTCATAGGGGTGGCCAGATGGGAGCTCTTAAATTCTTGGGGTGGTCCACAGAAACATAATTTCAGGGTTTTATTCTACTGCTGTCTCAGCAGAGGAATCCTCACTTCTTGCGTTCACTCAATGTCTGTGATGCCTCATCAAGTTAAGGATATTATCATAGCTTTTATAAGAAATCGCATCTCAGATATTTCCTGAATTCCATTCATATATTATGAAATGACACTCAACTTTACTGAAATTTCCATACGTATAAAGTACAATATGCTATCAAAGAAATGAACTAGTAAAACTATAGAAAGGTCCAGTTCAGCGGTCATTAATTTCATTATTTCGCCCACATGGTAATAACCAGAGATGGGAAATAACGAAGTACAAATACTTCGTTACTGTACTCAAGTAGATTTTTCTGATATTTTTACTTTACTTTACTACTTATTTTTATGGCAACTTTTTACTTCTACTCCTTACATTTTTACACAAGAATCTGTACTTTCTACTCCTTAAATTTAAAAAAATTGGCTCGTTACTTTAGTTTTATAATAATTTCAATGGAGTTACCGTTATTATTTTTCACGTCGTCAATACCAAATTCAATCTAATTGGATGGGAATCTACGTTGCATTTGACGCACCACTACAAGATGAATCGACAGATTCGGCGGTATTCATTGGCGGCAAATCATTGCAGCTTGGTGGCGGTGGCGTTAGCATAGTAGCATGGATGACGAGATGATTGAAAATGAACACAACGGAGATCTAGTCCTATTGGCAGACATCCATTTAAAATGTAGGCAACGGCATGAAAAAAGTGGTTTCTACTTTTACTTTTATACTTTAAGGAAATTTACAAGCCTGTACTTTGTTACTTTTACTTGAGTAAAGAAGTTTAATCAGTACTTCCACTTTTACCAGAGTATTTTTTACCACAAGTATCTGTACTTTTACTCAAGTACGGAAAGTGAGTAGTTTTGCCATCTCTGGTAATAACTTCACCTGCCGGTCCAGGAACAGGTGGAACACCTGCTTTCACTGAGTTCTGCCATGCTTCTGTCATCAAAGGTGCTGACTGTCCCTGGTCCCTGGTGGCGCCCTTGGATATACACCAAAAAAATGGGCTTAAGAGCCAACCTGACTTTCATTCTTTTTTTCATAATTTTCAACACCTATCCAGGAGTCTTTGAGATTTCTGTTGGCTCACACTAGGGCAATCTGTAGTTGGACTGGTGATGTATTTAAACAACATGAAGGCCCATTCTTTTATGCACATTCAAAGTCAGATATAAATCAAACACCCAACCATTCTTCTCGTGGGTCATTGAGTCTGTTGTCTTGTAGGTTTTATGTTTGGCCATTTCAATTATGCTACTGTGGGACTGCCTGCTCAGCCTTTGCAGAATGAGTTCTGGAACAAAACTGTAGATGCTTGGAATCTGAAATCCTGTTTCTTACGCTTTGTGCAGTGATGGCTTTTCTCTTTTAACAAAGATGGCTTCCTTCACCCCTCTTTCAAACCTTCTATCCTCTCTGTTCTAGATCTGAAAGTTTTGGTCTTCAAAGGTGTTTACTGTCATCTGGAGGTAGATGTGTTCATCTGAATCTTGCTTGGGGCTGGTGTCCGGGCATTGCTGCTTAGCTTTTATTGGGTTTAATAAAGACCCCTGCTTTCAGAGCTGAACATCATTGCTGGTGGGACAAAGCAGAAAGCCTGAAACCTCTTGTTTTGCCTTGATTATTATTTTTTTTTCTTTGTTTCTTTTATTTCCTTTCACTGAGCAAAGACTATAAATAGTCCTCAATTTCTGCAGAAAGTAGCAGAACAAACACAGTCTTTCCATGTTTTAAACTCCTTCCTCAATAACAATAAGCTATATACAGGTAAAACAAGTAAGGCTGTACCGTTTGTCATCTTTCAACTATAAAAATTCAAAGATTGCGATAAAACATGGCTATAGGAACTTTTATTACTGGCCCAATCAATATTAAACATTGGCAGACTATGTATTTATGAAAGTAACACTTGATTTTTGCTAATAAATAGCCCAATTAGTTACAAATTGTCCCTTTAACGCAATGAACATGTTTCCATTTCTAGATAAAACCATTTCACCAGCGCCCCCTGGCAGAGGAAACATCTCTACGCCCTGCCCTGAGTTCACCTGTAAGGATGGATCCTGTTTGCCATTTGACAAGGTGGGTATCTAACAGGTCTGTTGTTCACCACAAGCAGAAAAAAACGTCACTTATTGCTTCATATTAGATGATCTGAAAATGAAAAATCACGTCAGATTATATATTTATTGGGCGTTTAAGACAAACGTCTGTCCTAAAATACACACATTTATCAGTATTTTTATTTTTTTTTTACATAAGAATCTTTTTTTTTTTTTTACAGTTTTCACTTTCAGAATAACTAAAAACAAACCCGAAAGCATCTTAACAATGTTTTTCTCCGGTCATCGACTCTCTCAGGTGTGTAATGGCATTGCAGACTGTCCTGACTCCTCCATAACAGCATCTGGAGGACCAACAGATGAGCACGGCTGTAGGACCTGGAGCGCTTGGGGCCCCTGGAGCCCCTGCAGCACCTCCTGTGGAACAGGAACCATGAGTCGGCAGAGATCCTGCCCTCCAGGTGACCCGCTTCACCACTGCCTGGGACAACATAACCAGAAGCAGCAGTGCTTCAACATCACCTGCCCTGGTAAATAGATTAGAAGTCATATTTAGCTGTTTGCTCATCAGCTAGCTTGAGACATACATACAATACACAGAAAGGTTGTAAATATTACATCCTGATTGTTCTCTTCCTTAGTGGATGGGGAGTGGTTGCCATGGTCAGGCTGGTCCAACTGTTCTGGTGGCTGTGGGGGGGTGCAAGTGCGACATAGAGACTGCATTCCTCCTCGCTACGGAGGTCGACACTGTTCCCAGCTCCCTGGACCGTCCAACCTCTCCATGGAGATTAGTAAGGACTGAGCTCTAAACATTCACATCGAGTTGTTAGTTTTCTGCAGGGTTTAGGTCAAAGACCACATATGTTAACTGTTTAAATGCAGTTTGTAGGAATTAAATGATTTCAAATAGCCCTGTATGCTGATGAGCTACACATTTATATATGTTTATTTCATAGCATGGAATATTGAAAGGTAATGGCTACAAATTGAACACACACTTCACAAATCACACACACTTTTCAAATGTTCTAATTGTTTATATCAGCATTGGGAAACCTTTGTCAACTGGTGGGTAGAGTACCCAAAATGTTTACTAAAGTAAGAGCAGCACTACTCTATTAAGCTTTTACTTTAAGCAAAAGAAGAAAGTTTTTATGCAAGAAATTACCCATGAAGGATGAAAAGAAAGTTCTTGGTAAAATGGCTTTTAGAGTACTGAGTAACTCTTGGTTCGTAGCATCATTTTTTCTACATAAACATATTAAAACTTATCAAAAGAGTATCTTATGTACATATTTTTAAAAAGGATAAACTACTTCCAGCTACAATTTCCAAAGTTTACTGTATTCTCACCTGAACGTCAAATAGCTAAAGTTTTTCATGGTGAGACGAGTAAACAGGAAATGTATTCAAGCAAGAGTAGTGATAATTTGACAAGAATAATACTGAGGTAATAGTAATAAGTACAGCTAAGTACACTACTACAAAACTGGTTTTTTTTATTTAAGTAAATAACTCCATTAAAGTAAAAGTATCCAATAACAGTCAACATGAGCGCAGAGACACAGCTCAACACGTAAGAGAATATACAGGAGCATAAAAAGAAAGAGAAGGAGCAATGGCTTATGATTGTGACATATTGGGGGCCTCATGGTATAAAGTACAAAATACGCATACAAATTAGTTCATGTACTTGTACCTTAAATAAATCTACTCGTATTAGTATTTTTTATTTTTTTTATAAGTGTGCACTGTTTCCAGAACGTAATCCCGGGCATACACTGTACTATATTTTCAATCTTGGTACTCAGCTACAGCTCAAACTGTACGATGACACTGCAGGGTTTAAATGTTCCAAACTCATGATGCATGTTCTTATACTGTACGGCCCAACGATCTGATGTGATCTACACTCACACTGCATGTCCAAAAACCACAGGTCGGACTCAGCGCAGAGAGATGCCGCTTGTTGGACTTGGAAGAAGAAGAACTCCCTTATTTCCACAAGGCCTGATCGAATAATTGTTTGTACGAGTGGATAATAGGCCCAAAAAGGGCAAAAAATCGTACAATGTTTGCCCGGCCTAAGTGGCAACCTCCATGTGGTTCAGTTTATTCTCATTATTAGTTTGTATGAAATCGTACGAAAAGTTATGCCCAGTAATTTCGTACGTTTTTGACGTTTTTTTCGTTTTTCAAAAAAATTGTAGTTATGACCTTTAAGCATCTTTAATATTTCATATTCAGTTGTAATAATTTGGTCTAAAGTAAAAACAAAACGGCTATTAGATAATAGTATTAATGTTCTACCTTACTTTGTGTTCATCAGAGCCCTGTCCTGATGATGGTTGTGCTAACGCCAGCTGTTCCCCCGGCCTCCTGAGACACAGCTGTGTTCCATGTCCTTTCTCCTGTGCTCACATCAGCAGCGGGGTCACCTGTGACCCTGGGACACCCTGCGTTTCTGGTCCGTTTAAAAATAATGCAGCCTTCAGGTCATCTGGAGCTTTAGATCCCCATGAATCGTTAGATTCCTGTGACTCCTCTCTGCCTGTAGGTTGCTGGTGTCCTGAAGGCCGGGTGATGAGCCATACGCAGCAGTGCGTCTCACCTGAAGAGTGTGTGTGTGAGGTGGCCGGTGTTCGATACGGGCCCGGCCAGCAAATAAAAAAGGACTGTGACCTTTGCGTTTGTGAGAGGGGAAAGCCTCAGCGGTGTCAACCCAACCCCGACTGCTCAGGTGGGATACAGGCTCTGTGATGCATCAATAAGATCATTTATTCTGCTCCACATGAACCGTTCACCTTTGACCTCCTTCAGTGCACTGTGGCTGGTCATCGTGGTCGGAGTGGGGGGAGTGTTTGGGACCCTGCGGAGTCCAGAGCGTCCAGTGGTCGTTCCGAAGCCCGAATAATCCCACTAAGCATGGAGATGGAAGGGTGTGCAGAGGGATTTACAGAAAAGCCCGTCGGTAAGAACGAATAACTTTATTTTTAAATAGAATTTTCAGATAAAAATCATTGCATAAAAGGACTAGTCAGTGTCTGCACTGAGTTTTTGTCATCCATCTGGGCTTTAATCCCTATCTGTGTGTGTGTGTGTGTGTGTGTGTCTGTTTTCAGGTGTCAGACAGACCCCTGCGATCAGTGTCGTTATCAGAGTCGGTCGCGTGCCGTTGGAGAAAGATGGAGGGCAGAGCCCTGCCAGCTATGCCACTGTCTTCCCAACCTCACAGTGCAGTGTGCCCCCTACTGTCCATATGCCGTCAGTGGATGCCCTACTGTAAGAAGGCATCATTTAATCCTAAACTAAACAGTTCAACATTATTATATATAGTTTTTTCTTCATGCACAAATTCAATTAATTTTCAATTTCCATACATTTTTAATAACCTGTTAGTGATCCTGGGTCACTGACACTTTGTCCGTGACTCATAAAGACCAGAATGTTTCTTTCTACTGTCGTGGTCTTTGTTTCTGTTATGATGCCTGTGTCATGATGGGATTAGGTTCCTAACCCATATGCAGAACACACACGGAGTCAGATGAAAAGTTTGACTGTTTATTAAAACAAAGACAATATTAATGTACAGATGCTGGGAAACAGATCCGGGACTGGTCACAGGTTTCTCTGTAGAGAGGGACAGTTTGGTTAGCCAGGATGCGGTTGATCTTGTCAGAGGAATTGAGCAGGTCTGTACCTGTGACGTGATTCAGGCTTAGCAGCTGAGGGAGGGAACCAGGAGGGTCCAGAGGCTAGTAGTTGGCAGAGGGCTAAGCAACGGCAGGGCTCGACTTCAGACTTATCAGTGTTCATGTCAGGGGCGTCTCTAGGTTTAAGAGACAAGGGTGGCTGAGCCCCTAGAAGATATTGCACGCACTGTGCGCGCGCCGAATTTTTTCAGTGCACCTGCTAAGGCGTTGTCTAAGACAAGGGTGTAACTTTGTGTTGAAAGTTGGTGGGGACGGCTCATAAGGAAAGGGAGCTACCTGCGCGACGCCTTTTTTTTTTGTTGGAAAGGATAAAGCCAAAAAAATGCGAATAACATTTATCAATTTAATGCTTACAGTTGAAAACATAACTGTTACAATATTCACGTATATATTTTGTGCAAAAAATATCACATAAATCTAAACAGACAGTACAAATCAAAGAAATCAAATAAATATATCAATTTTGTAGAACATTTATTGACAGTCAATTTTGGGTCACTTTTTAAAATGTATTTACTTTTAAACCAGGACTCGGACAAGATCTTATGGGACCTTAAGCAGAATATGATTAAGCAACTCCGTCTTTCTGTCAAGAACATCCACCAGCAGGGTATCCAGGGGGGGATTTACCATCAGGCAATACTAGGCAGTTGCCTAGGGCCCCAAGTTCCTGGGGGCCCCATAAAACTCTGTTTCCATGTATGGTTAATACAACTAATCCTTATTTGTGCACATTAATTATGTTTTTGATAAAAATCCTTTGGCTAAATTGCCGTCAGAACGCTGATAAATAGAGAGGAAAAAGGGACAAGAAGAGAGGGACAAAACCTAGAACAAATAATGGATGTCTATTCTATTAACATTTCTCTATCTGTAGAATGGGTCTGTTTTATGGGTTTACTTCTCAGGGGGCCCCCTGCCTGTCTTGGCCTAGGGCCCCAAATTTCCTAAATCAGCCCCTGAGGGTATCAATACTGATTTGATAGAATCTGGGAGAGCGGACTATGTTCAACCATCCATTTTCTTTAACCTTATCCCTCAGTGGGATCAGGAGGTGCTGGTGCATATCTCTAGCCACGTTCTGGGTGAGAGGTGGGATCACCCTGGACAGGTCACCAGTCTGTCGCAGTATGTTCAACCAGCTTAAAAGTAATGGGTAATCAGATTTATTATTTGCACTTTTACAAAGTGAACTTTCTAACTCCCTTAAATCTGAAATTCCAATGCCAAAATTGTTTAAATCTTTTATCTTTGGACCCCCTGCAGAGTGACGTCACACCTGCAAGATCCTATCCTTACCTTGCTAGATTGCAAAAAGCAGCTTGCTCATGAGTTGTCAACATAACACGCTAAATTTTAAATGTACGTGTACATGTAAAAGAAAAAGGGGCGCAGTGCTTGCAACTGAATGGCAACACTATCAAAGTCAGGAAAAAGTTTTAAGTAAAGCCGGGATTAAAACAGTAGCTCCAAGAAGCTTCAAATAAAAGGTGTTCTTTATGTTCAACCTAAACACCAACTCCGATAGACCATCAGTAGAGCAGGTGTTTAAATTAATCAATCACTGCTGCGAAAGCTTATAGCAGTGAAAGCTAATATACCACAGCCATCACTTAATAAACGCAAAATAAACAACCCTCTAAAAACGGAAAACTGTCATGGACTGAAAGTCCTGTTTTTTATGTGGGAAATTATTTGCGTGTGTTTTAGTATAATTCTGATATATTGGCGCTGTTGTCTGTTTCTATGGCAACGATACTGAATGTAGTGTAGCTTAGAGACCTGCATGGGTCGAGTTTTACCAACCCGCACCCGCCCGAACCCGTTAGGATGACTACCGAACCCGACCCGTCACCCGCGGATATCTTCAATTCAAATGTTATGGGGAGAGGTTGGAGGGGGGTGATGGGGAGAAAGCGAGAGGCAACAGATTCTTTTTTCTGAGTTTTTGTCGGGGTTTGTGGACGGTGAGCAGCGGGGAGAACTTTTTTTATTTTCTTTCTGAGGAGCGGCATGAATGGGGTTTTAATCAGATATACACAGCACCGAAAGCAAAATACGTGTACAAAATATTGGTGGGGACATGTCCACACCAGTCCTTAAGGAAGTTACGCCTATGATTGTTCAGATTAACTTGTCTTCTTTATGGCTTTTATTCGGTGCTTTACTGCATTTGTTTTGGGAAAATATGAGGAAAAAATAAATACAGAAAAAAAAATATTTTTTTTTAAATCGCAAAATAATTATAGGGTGGCTAATGCCAAAGAAAGGGTGACTGAAGCCACCCTTAAATAGGTCTAACGACGCTTATGGTTCAGGTCCAGGGTTTCCTCCGATTCTCTTCTTGAGAGCGGGCAGGCAGGTTCAGACAGTTAGATTCTTCAGATGAGCTCCTGAGAGCTGGCAGGCAGGTTTCAGCTGAGAACTCTTCCAGAGTTCCAGGGTTCAGTCAGGTTTCTTCCTAAGAAGCAGAGAAGACAAAAACTGATTAGATTCAAGTTCAGGTTTTCAGGGGGGTCAGAGACTCAGACAGGCTGGTTGGCTCAGGCTTGCTAACCATAACTGGCTTAACACTCTGGCGCTGGAGTGTAGTCCTGCCACTGCTTATATCCTGGTCTCCTGATGAGCAGATGAGAAACAGCTGGTGAAGTCAGTTCCAACTTCAGGAGACCCAGAACGCCCTCTGGAGGAGAAAGGCAGACAGAACCCAGAAGCCAACAGAAAAACAAATCCCCAGGAAGGGATCCTTGTCGCCCTCTGGTGGGCAAGCCTCCGGATCCCAACAGCCTGTGGTGCTGTGAAAAAGGCATTTGAAATTATTTAAAAATAAATTTTAAAAAATTAATAAAATACTCTATATTTATAAGAATATACAGAGTCAAGAAATTTTATGGGGTCATCAGTCTGATGCATTGTTATTTTGGGGGTAAAGGGCTGAAATGCTTTGAAACCCCTGATCTAGCATTTAGTTATCTGAGAAATGCGATCGCCACTGTTGACCTCAATCGATAAAGGAGTTAGTTTCGCTTGTAAAAAAGAACAGAAAAAAAATCCCAGTTATCATCATCTTTCCTACAGTTTGAGAATTTACTTGTGGTGGTGGGTGGTTCCAGCTGACAGCAGCTGGGCAAAACAACAGGATATGGACCCCCACCTTATCCTGAAATTCACTAATTTAATCAGAACCGTTTTATTTAATTATTTATATGACATTGGAATTGGTCTGGATGGACTAATCAATGTTGTAATTAAATTGGGGAATGCAATAAACATTAAATTCAAATAACTAATGGAATCATACTATTAAAATAACAGCTTTTTTCTTCCTGTGCTAAAGAAAAGAAACAGAATCAGCTGCAGATCATCAATTCATTCTTAATGACTTCTTCAAATGAGCATTGAGTAAAAATAGACATTTAATAATTACTCATTTAATTAATTCATTGTTGCAAGCAAAGAACATGATTTGTAAATCCACATTAGAAAAAAAAAAATTATCCAGAAAGGAAATTTGAATAATCAAAAAAACTTTTACTTGTTTTTAAAATTTCAATTTGAAAACATATTTTTTTTTTCTAAAACTCTTCAGAAAAATTCAAAATTTCACGTTTCATTAAAAAATATTTTGCATAATTAATTTTTTTTCTTATTTGGATTTTTCACTTATAATTTTATGAAATTATTTTTTTTTTTTGCCTTTAAACCCGTTACAAACACTTGCTGTTGTTGACCAACAAAAATGTTGTTGCTAACATCCAGGAGACCAACAAATATGCATCGTCGCTCCTTAAACCAAAGGAAACCACAGATATGAAGGGAATAAGATCGGAATGGCAATTTGATAGAAAATGCTAATTATAGATATAAAATTAAAAAATTCCAACAAAAAATCGACAAAACAAAGCAAAAGATCTGTTAAAATACTTGAAAATAAAATAGGTAAAAATAAAATGCGAAAATATAAAATCTGCCCCCATTGAGATACTTCTGGAAAATGAATTAAACCCGACTGAACTGATCTGACCTTTCCTGACCTGAGTAGAAGTTTGGCATCTGCTGACAAACCATCATAGATTAGACAACAGCAGAACGATCCAAGGTACTCTAGAAGGTTCCCGTCTGGAGGGTTTTAAAAAGTAAAATGAAGGTTTTATAACATTAACCAAAGAGCTCTGATGTAAATATTTATTCCCAGTTATCACAAGCAAAAAACAATAGTAATTACCTTAAAATGTGCCGCTACTGGTTATTGGTTTTATGGACACGAATGTTTCCTCATAAGGCCAGTTTATTTTAGAAAGTTGTTAAGTTTCTGTTTCAGTGATAAATTAGATCAGAATGAGATGATTCTTAAGATAAAATGTGTCTTTTACACTCCAGTTATCTTTAATATTCTAATTTTTTTTTATCACAAGAGAACATTAAAAAAGCAAAGAAACAAAGAAATCTGTAAGGGCCAAATACTTTTTAATGGCCTTATATAAAGAGCAGCTGTCTACATGAGTTTTGTCTTTTCTGTGTTTTTAGGGCCAAAGCCTCGTCCCTGGAGAGGGAAGCAGGTGCTGTTATTGTCAAGGTAATATGATGACATTTTTTGTTTTCTTTTACTTAGCTTTTCTATTAAATGTAGATAAAGCATAATTTTCTGCATAGTTTTCTGTCTCTTTTGATTTAAGCTCCGTTTATTTTATGTCCAGCAACTGAAAAAGCTCTAAATCCATCAATGTTTCATTTGGTTTTCACATTTCTACTGCTATGACTGGTAAAAAGCCGGTGTTTGGAAAGCTGCTTTAAAAAATGTATATATAATATATTACAGGTTACTTTTGTTAGAAATTAAAAGGTTTCTTTACGTTACCATCCGTGCAAAATAATAAGTTACTGATTGCTTTTTAGCTACTTTTGCCAAAATAAACATTAAGGAAAAGGCATTCAAAAATGAAGGTGCACAATAATTTATCATGAATAGCTGAATCAGAAAAATAAAGTTATAGAGAATAAATAAACAGAAAAAAACTTTACAAGATATCAGACAAGCTTTCTTTCTAGGCCTTATTTGTTAGCTCCTCAGTAAAGTGTAGCCAGATAAGGTTCAACAAAAAAACTCACATTTCCATTCAAATAAAAAATGACAGTAGCTTATACTATTTCAGAATAAACATCAATTTTAACATCATTGAACATTAATGCCAGTATACCAACTTGAAAAACTAACAGAGAACTAATTGTTGTAGCCATCTTGACGTCTTCTTCAATTTTTTAAAACAGTCCGCTCCTGATAAAAAAAAAAACAAGTCAGTCTTCTAAAATAAAAATTTCTTATTGAAGCTGTTGGCTGTCTTTTTTTTTTTTTTTTTTTTTTATAAAAAAACCCCAGCCTGTATTGCAATGCGGTACACACCTTAATAACTAATTACCAAAATGACTGTGTAATGCACAATTTTGTAACAAATGGAAAGAGTACTTGAGACTTTAGCAGAATTTATCAACTTCTTTCTAAAAAAAATTTTTGATAGAATAGAACATTTGTTGTCACAAACCTTAGTTTTAACCTAGATGGGCATATATTTTTCACCTGTGGCATCCAGGTAAAATACACCTTGAGAAAAGGTGATTTCAAAAAAGTAATCCATGCCCAGAGATGGGCATCATTGCAGCTTGGTGGCGGTGGCGTTAGCATAGTAGCATGGACGACGAGATGATTGAAAATGAACACAACAGAGATCTAGTCCTATTGGCAGACATCCATTTAAAATGTAGGCAACGGCATGAAAAAAGTGGTTTCTACTTTTACTTTTATACTTTAAGTAAATTTACAAGCCTGTACTTTGTTACTTTTACTTGAGTAAAGAAGTTTAATCAGTACTTCCACTTTTACCAGAGTATTTTTTAACACAAGTATCTGTATTTTTACTCAAGTACGGAAAGTGAGTACTTTTGCCATCTCTGTCCATGCTTTAGTTACAGCTTGGCTGTATTACTGTTGTTTTTTATACCTTTGAGAGAGCAAGTCATCCTTCAGTCTGTACAGAACACAGATTCACATGTTTAAACTAAAAACCAAACAGGGAGCATATTACAGTAGCAGCCATGCAAAAATGACCCTTCCCAGGCAAACGCCAGTCGAATGGAGCCACCTTCCCTGCAACTTCAAGCAAAATCCCCTCGAACTTCCAGCCCCTGGCCTTCTTCTGGTATTTTTTTTTACTCTGACTCCACCCTTTCACTGAATTACAGGGTCTGACCAGGAGATGATGCTTCTCTTTAGATGTTAATGTCCACAAATCATGACAGAAAGCATATTTTGGTACAAATATTGATGTTTAAAAGGGAATTGTAGGGAACCAGCCAAGGACCCATCAAGGAAAATGGGAAAATTTTGATTGGCTATTACTGTACTCCTGTTTTATCCTTTGTGCTCTGGTTACCTGTCCATTTTAGAGTCATTTTAAAATCATTTTATTTGTCTTTAAATGGTCTTGATCCTCCTTATCTTTCTGAGCTCCTACCCCCTTACTCCCCTACTTGGTCCCTCAGACCAGCTATTGTTGGAGGTACCAAGGACTCAATGGAAGCCTAGGGTAGACCGGTACTCAGCCCTGTTCACCTCTAATGGTGTTTATCCCAGAGCATGGCTGGAAAAATCCAATTCAGTTGAAAATTGTTGGTATGAAATATAACAATACAGTTCAGGTGTGAAGATAAGATTTATCCCGATATACATACCTATACATTAACAAAGATAATATATTGTAATTTTTATAATAATAAAGCTCTAGAAAACTTCAGGAGATCTTGTTGGTGCAGAGTAGCTTAATTATATGCTCTTGTATTTTAAGATCCATTTGAATGTACTTTGAATCATCAATAAATTCTTACACCCCTACCGTTCACTGTTTGCTTTTATCTCTTTAACATGATTTTTCAATGATATGTAGCTGAAAACGACACAGTTGCTGTGACAGAAACCCCTGGAATTATAACATCCAAGCCTGAGGATATAACTCCTCTGGTTCCTACATATCCAGTACCACCTGGAGGTTAGTGTCTCTTTAATATTTATAACACCGTTTAGCGCATAGAACAATTCAGCATATCTCAGTAATTCCTTGTTATTTCTGTTCAGATGAGTGCTGGGTGCCTCTGGGTGTCCAGACCCTCCAAGTATCTAGTTTTACTGCCTCGTCTTACCAGGAGGGCCACCCACCAGAGGCAGCACGTCTTCATGGGTGGGACCCTCATAGAGACCTCCAGGTACCTCCCACTTTTCCTTAAACTCTTACACCCTAAGGGGGTATAAACAAATTTCTGCCTGACAAAAACACACAAAAGTAAATAACTTATAGCCTCAAAGCTATTAGATATAAGAAGAAACTTTTGGTACGTCTGTAAAGGTAAGATGTCATAGAATGGTTTTCTGGTGTCAGCACCATTGTAGCTTTGACCCTGCCTGAAATATTAAGGACAAAATACAAAATATTTTGCATTTTTTGAACCTCGCCAAAATTTTGTTTGAAATAAACATTGTAAAACACTACAAAAATATTATTTATAGCACAAAAAAGTAGTACAGACTTTCAAATCTAAATGTTGTGTAAAAATATACTAAATTTGGACTCAATCAGATGAATCATATTTATTTTAGAATGGTATTAGTGAGAAATTTCTTAGGCGGAGAGGCCATTTTGGCACATTTATCCATAAATGCCACCAAACTGTGCCAAATGTGTTTTTTACATCAATACTGGGGGTTTGGTAAAATTACGAGGTCACGTAGCAGCTGGACCCACCGGTGGGTCTGTAGGGTTCAAGGGGTTAAGGGGCTTCTTTAGTCTATTTAGGCATAGATAGTTGACATCAGTGATGATTTCTCATTGAATACTAGGGAGGTTAAAACTCTCCTGTACATTTTGTAATATTTATGGTAAAATAGGCATTGTAAATCTTCATTAATGTAGTCACTGAACTGCATTAAATATAGTATGTTGTGCATTAATCAGCTGTTTATTCCTCCCTCGGATGGGATCTCCGCTCCGCTCTGAGGTTTTAGCCTCAGTCTATCGCAGTAAGCAATGAGAATGCAGACCTCTGATTGGATAATATGGCAAGATATTCTATGGAGCAGGGGTTGATTGTGAAGCTGGCCGCTTGCCATGATTGGCTAAAACATAATGAAGGATTTTTGACTGACAGTGGCCAGAATGCAAGGAGGTTTACTTCATAGGTCGAGAGGAGGTCATAATGGGCCTTAAAGATCTGACCCACATGCAGAGAACCACTCAGAGACCAAGGGTAAAAGTTAACTGGTTTATAGAGAGTTAGCAAAAACGCAGATGGAGAGAGGTAATCTCCTGGGTAATACTTTTGGACCTCAGCAGGGGAGATCACAATGATCAAATCAGGGACTGTGGGAAAAAAGACAGAGTCTCGTATATTGCTTGAGAGGCACTCACGTTTTGGGGGGCCTCTTGGTTATTCATTGGATCCAGTTTGTGGGATTAAATCCAGAGAAGAAGGAACTCGTTGGAGAGCGGACAGGCAGACTAACGTTGGACCCAGAGGAGTAAAGGGGCGGACTGTCACTTGGTTTTCCAGAAGTGGACTTGAACGGATCACGTGGAGGTTTCCCCTTGCTCAGTGTGACTCAGTTAATCCTTCCGGGGGGGTAGAAGGTCCAGGCTTATCCAGTGATACAGGAAGGCTTCCTGCTGAAGAACAAAGACAAAGCGGACTCAGAGAGACGAGGCTAAGGTTAGACTCTGAAAATCTCAGTTTGGCTAGAGTACCCAATACTGGCAAACACTCTGGCGTTGAGGTAGTGAAAGCCTACTGCTCAAATACTCCTCTGGTAAAGACCCAACTAGCTGCGAGTGTGCAAGGAGGCCCAACTAGAACAGGGACCCATCTGGTGTTGGAGAGAAGAAAAACAAAATAACAACCCACACAAACTGGAATCCTAACAGAGGGAAAAGTGATCATTCAGTCATCTTGTTAATGCAATATGTGACGTTAGGATTAAATTAACACAATTGAACATCTCCTGTTTCAGATATGCCACTTGTTGACATTTTTTTTATCGTCCACTGTAGTGAGATCAACCCTTAAAAATGTACATTGGTTCTCTTCTGCTTATCATTTACTCAAAAGGGCTGGAGTCCACAGCCAGAGGAGTATAAAGACCTACCTCAAAAGAGACCTGAAGGACAGAGTGTCAGCACAGAAAGCCCCTACATACAGATCGACCTGCTTAAACCCTACAACATCACTGGTAAAGATTCCTACAGGTGCTTTTGAACAAGTGGAACTGAAACTGTTGATTTAGTGTTATTGTGCATAATGTGAACTGTTTTGTGTGTGTTATGTGCTGTTGATTAACTAAAAAGTTCTGATGGTTCTGATTCTAGGCGTTCTCACCCAGGGAGGAGGTGTTTTCGGCACATTTGTGTCCAGCTTCTACCTTGAGTTTAGTCACGATGGGAAGCGTTGGTACACTTACCAGGAGGTTCCCTCCAATGCTCCACCAAGAGCTAAGGTCAAAGAACAAGCAACTTCAAGCTTTAATACAACTTTCGTCCAGATTCTATATAAATGCTTTATGCCTTTTTGTTCTCACCTCAGATTTTTCTTGGTAACCATGACGATCGAGGTGTGGCAGAGAGCAGGCTTGACAGAATAGTGTCATCTCAGTTTGTTAGACTGGTTCCCCATGACTTCCAGAATGGCATCTACCTACGGCTGGAGATCATGGGCTGTGGTGATGGTCAGTAGATTGTTGTTAACATGTTTTGATGGCTATGTGGAAACAGGCCCATCTTTTTAAAGCTTTATTCTTACTTCCTCTCAAGGTTATCATTGGTTAACCTCCCCAACCCCTACTTCACCTCTGACTCCGGGTAAACGCTGCAGAGAGAAAGAATTTCTCTGTGACAATGGTCGCTGTGTACCGGCAGGTTCTGTTGGGGTTCTTTGTGACGGAGTCAACGACTGTGGGGATGGATCAGATGAGAAGTACTGTGGTAAGTTGTCTGCTATGATTGGCCTTTGTACAAATTTCACACAGTGCGTTCTCCTTGTATTCTCATTCAGAAAAAGGCTGAATGTTCTCCTTGGGTAGAGGTAAAGTGGCGGTGCATTTTTTATGTTTGAATAGGGGAAACAAAGACATACTGTATACATCTGTGTTTTGGCAAAAAAGCACACTCTGTACGAAGGTAGGAATGTCCCAATCCAACATTAAAATTAGAAATCTGAATCATATTAGCCAACACCATTAAAGTATCTGATATAAATAAGCTGATAGAAACACTCCACTTCTGTTTAAAGTTCATTCAATTGGTTAATTATAGGTCAGTGGTTCTACTACATCTCCATTTGAATAATGTCAATTTCTATGTGAACTTACCTGTTCAAACAGAACTCTAACTTCGCGCCTGGAGTGAACAGTTTACAACTAACTCGACATTACTTTCTACATACTTAAAGCTATTGTGTGTCATGATTTTACTAAGGTTCAGACCCAAATGCAGAAGACCAAACAGGGAGACCAGGGAAAGGGTTTAACAGGTTTTATTGAAGAGATAATTCAGAGAGAAGTGTTGCTCTGAACACTGCTCAACAAGGAACTAAAAGTGAGAGGAAGACACAGCGGTTAGTTCAGGCTCAGTGGGAAATTTGATTCGTGAACTTGGAGAAGAGGATTTGGTTGCAGACTCATGTTTCCAGAGAAGTTGTTGAATCCTTGACTCCAGTCTGTATGCTGTAGTTCCAGTGTTTGTCTGATTCGGTGGAGGGCGGAACAGGGTTTACCCAGAATGCGGTCGTTAATAGGTGAACGGAGAAAACTGACTGCCACTCAGATTTCCTGCGGTACTTGAACGTGTCGTAATGGAGATTAATACCTTTCTCTCTTGAGGAAAGTGGATCCAAACCTCCTGTTTGAACCCCAGCTCAGTTTGTAGCTCAGTTGATCCTTCCAGGGAGAGAAGGTAAAAAAAAATCCAGGTAGCAGGACGACTTCCCAAAACTGGCAAACACTCTGGCGTCAAGTAGTGGCAGTCAGCAGCTTAAGAACACTCCGTTAACGAAGTAACCGTCAGCAGGTGTGTGAGGAGGCGGACCAGAACCCGGTGCCTCCTGGTGGAGGAAGGGAGACAAACACAGAAAACACAAACAGACAGACAGGAGTCTTGACACTGTCTCTCTATCGGGTGGTTTTATTGTAGAAATTGCACAAAGGGATGTACAAAGGGATCAAGAAAAAGGCAAATAAGAACTGCTGTACTTCAAAACTAACATGTAGTCAGGAATGTCTGGAGATACTTGACAATGGAAAGCTCTGAAATCTTACAAAGGACATGACCCCAACTAAGTGAGAACAAAACGGTAAAGTTCCAGGGTAAAGGCATTAAGAAGGAGATTCTGGGTTTCTGTCCTTAACTTTTTAACTCCAAGATATTATCTCCAGTAGGTTGACAATTACATTATTTTTTAATTGCAAATGTAGAACATAATTCCTGCTAATATGAAATATTTCAATTGCCTATACAATGAGTGGGGCCAAAGTCAAACTCATTGTTTGTGTAATGTCCCTTGGTAAGGTGTAGATGAACATTTTAGTTTGACAACTTCCTTTCAGGCTTATAAAACATGTTACCTGCAGGTACTCAACCCTCCTCAACAGCCACCAGTCCACGCAGCTGTCCCACTGGTTACTTCTCTTGCCCACCCCCAGGGGGCTGCATCGAAGCAGAAAGGCGTTGTGATGGTATTCCTAATTGTCCCAAAGGAGAGGATGAAAACGGATGCCACCTACATGACATCACTACACAGTCAGACAGGTGAGGTTTGTTTATCTGCTTTAATGCTGCATCAAATTCTTACATTTGTTTAACTGTGGTTCCTTATTCATTTTTTTTCACCAATTAAAGGCCTCATACCCCGACCCCTTCCCCTCTGAGGACCCCATCAATGGCTGCTGTTACTTTCTCTTCCGTAACACCAACTGTAAGAAACAAGATTAGAAATAATATGACCATACCAACTTTTATTATTTTTCGACATAAATACTCAATAAGATAAATAAAAACTGAGCATAAAAACCTAAAGCGTAGTGTGTAGGATTTACTCCCATCTAGTGGTGTACTAAGAGAATTAAGAATAATTCTCTTGGTACGGTGCCGAATCGTTAACCACAAAATAACTACTATAGAAGCTGCGAAATGTCAACATCCTGAACAAGTTCAGGGTCCTGGCAGGTGATAAGATTCAATTCAGATTCAATTCAGATTTCAATTCAGTTTATTTCTATAGCGCCAATTCACAACATGTCATCTCAAAGCACTTTACAGTTCAGCAGATCATCCAGTCAAATTGATTAAAAGTTTTCTATCTAAGGAAAACCAGTTTATTGCATCGACTCATTGACTCTTCAGCAATCCCTCACACTAAGCATGCTTTTAGTGACAGTGGAGAGGAAAAACTCCCTTTTAACAGGAAGAAACCTCCAGCAGAACCAGGCTCAGTGTGAGCGGCCATCTGCTGAGGCCGACTACTGTTCAAGGAGACAGAAGCAGACATGGAAAAAGAAGCTCTCAGCCAGCTCCCATGTCAGAGGATGAAGAGAGCACACCCAGCCATTCACAGTCAGAGAAACAGGACTACACTGAAAAATAGGCCGATCTCAAACATCAAGAACAAAACTTAATTCAGATTTCAATTATGCCTATAACCTACAAGTATTTCCTTACAGCTAATAGCTAATAACTTTTGCTAATAGCTACATTCAACAGTGAATGATAACTGTTCCAACGTAGCTCTACCAATGTACTGTAGGCTAACAAACAAGCTAGCTGTCTCTTTCAGGAGAGCAGATTGGTTGCTTTGCCCTGTTTCTAATATAACACCATGGTTGACTCCACTATCATATTAAATTAACTGGCCTGTATAACAGAACGCCTGCAAACACTCCATTTAGAAAACCCTTATGTCAGGGAGGGGCATGAAGGAGACATTTTCTTCTCAGTCTGTTAAAAGCTGCATTGCATGTTTTATGCTTCTTCTCCACCGGCTATAATTTATATGCAGGTGAATGTCAATGTCAAATTTATTTATATAGCACTTTATAAACAGGCATAAAACTGCACCAGAGTGCTTTACAGGAAAGACAACAACATCAATTAAAAAAAACAGAATGTGAAACACTGCTTCAATATGGAGGACCAACTCTGCCATATTTAAAAATAAATAGAGAAATAAATAAATGCTCAATAAATAAATAAGCATACAATTAATTGCCACAAAAAATATAATAAACAAATAAATGTAAGTAAAAATTTAATGATACAGTGAGACATAAATGTATATAACTCTTTTAATTAATGCCATAACTCTTCTTTATTTATTTGCCTTTGTAATATTTACCTTATTTATTTTTTTGTTCTTTATAATCTTCAACTTTATTTTTTTATTACTTATACTTTAAAGTATGTATTATGCTGATTTATTTATTTATTTATTGAGCATTTATTTCTGTATTTATTTTTAAATATGGCAGAGTTGGACCTCCATACTTCAATTAAAAGCCGAAGAATAAAAATAAGTTTTAAGAAGGGATTTAAAATGATCCAGGCTGTGGGGGGATATCATTTGAAGAGGTAAATGGTTCCACAGAATTGGAGCAACAACAGAGAAGGCCCGTTTTCCTTTCCTCTTAAGTCGAGTCCGAGGAACTGTCAGTAACAGTTGATTATCAGAGCGTAGACTTCTCGACACAGACTGGAATTTTAAAAGGTCTCTAAGATAAGGAGGAGCTAATCCATTTAAGACTATAAGTTAATAAGAGAATCTTAAAATCTATTCGGCAAAAGACAGGCAGCCAATGTAAAGAGGCCAGTATAGCCCTTATATGGTCACAGAGACCAGGTGAGGTCAGGTCAGGTGAATATATAAGCTTAATAAGTTTGTCCCTTTTTGGCCACTGTAACCAAAGGTGACCATGTGGTGCATCACCACTAATGGATTTATAAACAAATATTCCTAAGCTGTGGGAAAACTTTTATTTTTAATATGATTGCTTTAAGACTTTGGCAAAAAATATATATTTATGAAAGCATTACTTGATTATTGCTAATAAAAACCAAAAACTAGTTACACACTGTCCCTTTAACACTTTACTCTTGAAATTATATTGATTCAGTAAAATAAGAGACGTAAAATGAAGTATCCCAATGTAATTAACTTCATAACATTATTGCATTTATGATGTAAGACAGCAAATATTGTTTTTATAAATCATTACTTCTGTAATTACACTGCTTTTAGACAATAATGGAAATATTGTATGTTTTATTACTGATATCTTTTCTCTGATGTTCTCTAATCTGGTTTAATGTATGAACAGGATGGTGGCCCAGGATATCAAGGTAAATGCTCTTTATGCTCTTAAATACCGTAAATGTATGATGTTTACAATAATAAAGATCATATTTATCAGGCGCTTGCTCCTCTCCTCTTGGACTGGAGGATGGGAGGATTCATTACGGCCAGCTGTCCTCATCTTCACAGCGAGATAACAACCCTGCTGATGCTGGGAGACTGAACATTATCCCAAACATGTGAGTGACTGCTCACTTTTTACAAGGCGTGTTGATAATAAAAATAAAAGTTTCAGGGTGAGGATGTACCTGACTATAAATGCATATATTTTCCTTTATACAGTCCAGTTATGGAGCCTGGTTGGAGCCCCCTACCTTCAGACCCCCAGCCTTATTTCCAGGTGGATTTTCTGGAGCCAACTTGGATATCAGGGTTGGTGACGCAGGGCAACGACCGGATGTGGGGTTACCTCTCCAAATACCGCTTGGCCTTTGCCTCCAACAACGGCTTCTTCTCAGATTTCACAGCGAATGGGAACTTTGACGGCCCTGCTAAGGTGCTGCTTCTATAGTTTGAAGTAGATCATTGAGATAAAATGTTCTCCACTAAGAGATTAATCATCACCTAGGTGTTTGAGGTCCGGATGGTGGGCAGGACCCCTGTGACCCGTTGGTTGGGTCGGTTGGTAAGAGCTCAATACATGCGGATCATCCCGGTGGAGTTCAGGCACACCTTTTACCTGCGTGTGGAGATTCTCGGCTGCAGAGGAGGTAGGGATACTTTCTTCTTCCTGTTTTTTTCATAACAGTACAGATTAACTAAGAGGTCAATGTATTTAATGATGTTTTAATATGACAGATATGACAAATGGTCATGAGGTTGTAAATAGTTTTCTTTTTCAAATATGAATAAAACTGTGATGCGCATTTCCTTTTTAACTGTACTGAATCAACAGGCAGAATCGCTTTTTATTGTACCTAAAGCTCCAACTCTTTGGGCTGTGTCTCCTAGCCTGGCCAAAGGAGCAAGTGCAGTAGCAGACATTTAAAATTTAACTGCAACTCCCAGCAAATCCCCTCCAACTGCTAGCCACTGAAGTGATCCCCTCTTGCATAATTCTTCACTCCGACTCCAACCTTTCAATTACAGGGTCTGACCAGGAAATGAGGTTCTGTTTAGATCTTAATGTCAACAAATCATGACAGAATATTTTAGTACAACGATTGATGTTTAACCCTTTAAAGCCCGATCCAAGAAAAAAACAAAACAGAAAATAACTTTTTTTTGGTTTGAAGTCCTTATTTGGCCTTTTAACTAAATATGTAAAAAGAAAAAAACAGAAATGCATTTTTGATATTAATAATTCATTACTATGCGATAAGTCAAGATTATTTTTTGTGTAGTCTTCTGCCCTCTAAATTATGCAAAAGGTGTCAGACGCAAAACATTTCAGAAACCGTATGTATCAAATACGATACATTTGGCATTATAGGGTTAAAAAGGAATTGTAGGGGACCAGCCAAGGGCCCATCAAAAAAAGTGGGGAAATTTTGAATGGCTACTACTGTAAGAGCCTGATTTTAAATGTAAGATTAACAGAATCAGTATAAACAGGTTATAATGAATCAAATTACGATGGATGTGATGCTAAAACATTTTTTAAATAAAGAAAAACTTCTAGAGCACCCAGGTTTAGACATTTAAAGATATATGCAGCACTTTTTTGACATCATAATCGAGTAGAGAAACACCTCAAAGTTATTTCAGCCCTAGTTCACTTTGTGCTTTGGAGACCAATAGTCTCTTCTCTATAGTCTAAACTTTAAAGGAAGAAGACTTGTCCCACTGGTTTGAAAAACATGCATTATTTTCATGGAGACACTGCTATGATGGTGACGTGTTCAAACATGAAAAAGGTTCTGTCAGACGTTCTTTAAGGATCTGTGGTGGTGAGTGTAAACCCACCGTTATGTTCTCTGTCTACAGACGAGGCGATGACCACATCGCCCTCTGGTGTTGGCAGAGTGACAGCGCAACGCTGTAAGCCAGGCCAGTTTGTATGCCACACCAGTGATGAGTGCATCCCTGTGTCTTTGCTTTGTGACGGTCAACCAAACTGCAAGGACCACTCTGATGAGATAAGCTGTGGTGACTTTTTAGAAACATCTGCCCTATTTCCACATCTAACAGTAAATTGTTTCTTTGTTCTGATTTTCCTTCAATCATCCCCAGGAACCTCTACCACCAGAGGCCTTCCAGGCGTCCGTAATCAGACCAGCTACACTGGTGTAGTATCACCTGGAGTCACAGCTGTATCTCAGCCGCTAACCACAGGTTTGATTCATTACCTGAATATTTTATGTCAAAAGAAATTAATGTGTTTGGTTTCTAACAATCAGGATGATCAGAATTCTGAACTTCTGCTCTAAAAAAAAGTATTTAGATGTACAAAAACATGCATACTGTATACATGTTTCCGCTCACTTTACCTTCATTATTATTACAAGGAAGTGAACCCAACCTCCCCTTCCTTACCCATAAACAATCATGTGAATCCGTAGGGATTTCCTAATCCGGTACTGAGATCAGGAATTGATCAGATATCAGCCAGAAAACTAACATCAGAACATATTTATCTTCATCTAAAATCTCAGATTATTTGAAATTGAAAGAACTTTTGAAGATTTTAAACTTAAATTATTTTTTAAACCAAAAAAAATAAATAATTAAAATATATAAATATTTTTGAAATACACATATTTAAAATTAATTGTTTATGTTGAAACTTAGAAAAGCTGATTTAGAATTAAAAAGAACTTTTGAACACATTTTTAAACTGAAAAATAATTTTTTAAATTATGAAAACAAATTTTTAAAAACGAAAAGTTTTTCTTCATACAAATATTTTTGGAAAAAATATTTTTATTTAATTTAAAAATGGGAAAAGAAAATATTTTTTTTAAAAATAGAATACAAAAATAAAAACAGAAAAGTATTTATGAAAAAACCTTTTGAGACAAAAACTAGTAAAAAAGATTTAAAACTGAAAATTATTTTTGAAACCCAAAAAAATGTATATAAAACTGAAAAATTAAAAACTTCAAACCTGAAATTTAAAACTAAAAATTATTTTTGGAAACTGGAAAAAAATTATTAAAATTCAACATCAGTTTGGAAACTAAACAAAAAAAGATTTGTGATGGAAGATAAATATTTTACAGTCATCCGATGACTTTAGGGACTCTTTAGTTAATTTCCTCATTTAAACATTTATCGTTGAAGGTAAAGTTGGTAGAGTATTAGCAGCAGTTTTTGTTTTGTTTCACAGAACCGTCAGTCTTTAGCAGCACCTCTGATAGCGGTTTACCCAGAGTGCTCTGTGTGGAGGGCCAGTTTACATGCCGGTCCTTTGGCTGTGTGGACGCAGCACAAGTCTGTGATGGAAGGAAGGATTGCTTGGATGGTTCAGATGAAGAACGTTGTGGTATGACTCTCTACCTTCTTTTTCCTATCCTCTAAAATCCTCTTGATGTGCTAAATCATGCCTCCATACTGTTTCAGGCACATTCACCAGTCCAGCAGTAACTCCATGGCGCCCCCCGGTGCCCAAACCTTGCTCTCCTAAGCAGTTTTCCTGTGACACCGGGGAGTGCGTCCACAAAGATCGCAGATGTGACCTGCAGAGGGATTGCATGGATGGATCAGATGAAAAAGACTGCGGTAGATGATATATGCTCCTCCCAACAGCTAAAGTGATCAAAGGGTTTGTTTGTTTTATTCACATCTGTTCTACTGCCCTCTAGTGGACTGCATAATGTCGCCGTGGACAGCCTGGAGTTCCTGCAGTGTGACCTGTGGTCTCGGCTTCTTGTTCCGCCAGAGGGACATTTTAAGAGACGCCCTGCCAGGAGGATCTTGTGGCGGAGCTCAGTTTGACAGTCGAGCCTGCTTTCTTCGAGCATGTCCAGGTCTGTGTGCAGGAGCCCCATCTTTTACTCTACAGAAGGGAACCCTGTATGTAATAGAACTAGTGGTGGCATTAGATTCTTTTTTTAAATCTAGATTAATATCACTGTAATCTTGAAATTAATCTGGATTAAAATGTCTCATTTGAATTCTGTCAAAGGCACTCATGACATGTGTGCGCTACCTAAATAATTAGTAAAAGTAAGTCTTTGAACAGGTTTCTCAAACCAGTTTTTTAGAATGTGAAGTGATGTGAAGTGATGTGATCCAGAGGTTTTTAACCTCTTGACATCCACCTCATTTTGGGTAATCCTCGCCTATTTTGGATACCCAAATGGAAAAGCAAATAACTTAGGAACGGTAACTGCCCAAATTACATGTGCAATACATTATTTGAAAGCTAACACCCTCTAGTTTCTGAACATATAAATTAAAATTGTGTGAATAGAAAACAGACCAAGCTGCATCAGTTCAAACATGACTCAAAGTTGTTTTTTTATTCTCGGAAATGATAGGTCTTATTTGAACAGCAGTAATAAAGACATTCTTGAGAAAAAGCAGGTTTCATTGTATTATATGTGTTCTACATCATGTCAACCACAAATGCAGAAAATTTCAGACCTTTAGCTACAACAGTTCCAGAGCTGTGGGGTATGGAACTTTTGGTTTCAGCTTGGAGCTGCGCGCAATGGCTCCACCTGCTGGTAAAAATTTTACCGGTGGAATTTTATGCATTATGAGTTATTACCCCCACTTAAGGTGGTTTTTAAGAGGTTAAAAATGTATCACGTGAAACTCTAGCTGTAGAAATGAAAAAGGGTAAATCAATACCACAGAAGCTACATTTTCAAAAACCGTCCCATTTAACCCACATTCATCCAAGCAATCATCAAGAAGCAAACATAAAGTTTTGTTAATCATTTATGGTGTTGTGGCAAAATGAAATTTAAAATAACACAACATAACCTACCTAAAGCGAAGGAGTGAACTTCCCAGCTGGTAGTGATGAGGTGTAGAGTAACTCTGAGGTAGTTATCGTTATTGACAGATGTCCACCGTCAGAGATGGGAAGTAACGAAGTACAAATACTTCGTTACTGTACTCAACGAGATTTTTCTGATATTTTTACTTTACTTTACTACTTATTTTTATGGCGACTTTTTACTTCTACGCCTTACATTTTTACACAAATATCTGTACTTTCTACTCCTTACATTTTAAAAAATTGGCTCGTTACTTTAGTTTTATAATCATTTCAATGGAGTTACCGTTATTATTTTTCACGTCATCAATACCAAATTCAATCTAATTGGATGGGAATCTACGTTGCATTTGACGCACCACTACAAGATGAATCGACAGATTCGGCGGTATTCATTGGCGGCAAATCATTGCAGCTTGGTGGCGGTGGCGTTAGCATAGTAGCATGGACGACGAGATGTTTGAAAATGAACACAATGGAGATCTAGTCCTATTGGCAGACATCCATTTAAAATGTAGGCAACGGCATGAAAAAAGTGGTTTCTACTTTTACTTTTATACTTTAAGTAAATTTACAAGCCTGTACTTTGTTACTTTTACTTGAGTAAAGAAGTTTAATCAGTACTTCCACTTTTACCAGAGTATTTTTTAACACAGTATGTCTACTTTTACTCAAGTACGGAAAGTAAGTACTTTTGCCATCTCTGTCCCCCGTTAATAAACACGCCTCTACCAACTTCTCATCTTTTGCAGCTTTCTCCGCGGCGTGTTGGTTATGTGTTCTCCTCATGATAGTTTCGCCTCGCATGTAGTTTATAAAATGGTCCAAAGGCTTGTGTCAATCAACTTAGCGAGAAGATTAGTTGGGTTGACTAGTTGGCTCAGTTGCACTCAAACGTCGTAGTTTGACGAACACGACTCTTCCCCTGTTCTATATGAGGGCTTGGCCCGTCATCTTCCGCATTGGTTAAGGGATGCTTTGCATTTAGGTGGTATTTGAGACTGTAAAGACTCCTATGTAAACTTATTCCGCATTGCACAAGATGCAGCTTTAGTCTTGTTGGGTTTTGATTGGAACGCTTTAAAAAAAAAGATTTCCCTGAAGCAAACCCATCATCTTTATAGCTGCATCCATGTTGGATATGGTTATTTCACATTAGGCCTACACAAGTTGGAAGACTGTTTCATTCTCGCCCTTAGATATACATCTGCACTAAAATATCAAGTTGATAGTCATTGTTAGTATAAACCCAGCTCCCAACCCAACTTTTAGAATAGATTAACGGCAATATTTTTTTATCGCCCGATAAGAGTCTGGCTTAACGCAACACATTAATGGCAATAACAGCACACCACCCGATCAAAATGTTCCTGTTCCTTCTCCCAGTTCATGGTCACTGGTCAGAGTGGACAGAGTGGTCAGAGTGCGATGCTCTGTGTGGAGGAGGAGTTAGGCAGAGGAACCGAACCTGCTCAGCTCCACCTCCTAAAAACGGCGGGCAGGACTGCGAGGGCATGACGCGACAGAGTCAAACCTGCAACCTTCAGCCCTGCGCTGATGAGACGGGCACAGTGAAGGGTGAGTATCAAACCAGCCATTCTAGAAGGTAAAACATATGAGGAAACTTAGATGCAACTAACAGGACTAGTCTGAGTGCTGCTTTGGTCCATAACTAAACTAGTAAGGCGTTAACCAACAGGGTGTGTCAGTGGTATGGTGCTGGTGGCAGAAGAAGACTGCAACGCTGGAAGAGTTGATCCCTGTCCTCCTACTTGCTCTGACCTCAGCATGACCAGCAACTGCTCTGCAACATGTGTCATCGGTAAGGCTCAGCTTGCAGGCTGGGGAGGTGGGGTGGGGAATGGTGGTAGTTAAAGGGCCGGTAAAGATGCACATCTGATGTAAAGTGTGCATCCATCTAATCTTAGTAGATAAAAGAACAAAACATTGATCCTAACTCAAGCCTCAAACTCGACGCTATTTTTGACATTTTGAATCGAAAAAAGCTTCCTGGAAGGGAAGTGAAACTTCTTCAAACTTGGGAACAAAGTCCAGCGCATTGTTTTTTTTTACATTTTTCGGACTGATAGGATCCTTTCTGCTGATGAAAACGAGCAGATTTATGTCTCAATCTGAACATAAACCGTATCATTGCCCAGGCTGTCGCTGTCCCTACGGGTTGTACCTTCAGGACGGGCGCTGCGTGAACTCCAGCCAGTGCGTCTGTCACTGGGATGACGACACCCTGCAGCCTGGACAGGTGATCAGCAGAGACCAGTGCACCACCTGGTGAGAGACGCATCCTTAAGTGTTAAAGGATCCACCATGGAAGACTGGTGCTAAATAACGGTTTAATCCCCCCTCCCTCAGTGTGTGCATAGAAGGGCAGGTGACCTGTGACACTTCTAGATGTGTGAGGACCTGTCAGTGGTCGACCTGGTCTTCATGGTCTCCCTGTGATGTGACGTGTGGCGTGGGGCTGCAGCAGCGCTACAGGTTAGCTGTCGTGGAAACTGTTCTCCCTACGACTTAAAATTGAAGCTAAGTCTTATAAAAATTCAAAGTTCTCAAAAAGCTGTAGAAAAAGTCTTCAAACTATGATCAAAAATTAGGCAGAGGCAACTGAGTCCAGGTCCGGAGAATTTTATTTACAGAACACACATGAGCTGTTCACCGGTGAGCAACTGACTTACATGCAGAAAAGGGCCCCCTTTTATTCACTCCCGGGGCTTGGGGCTCTTTCATCTTGGTGGAAGACCCACCTTCAAACCATATTTTATATTTTTAATTGAAGCCTTTCTTTGATCTATCAAAGCTTTTTCTTCACAAGTCATAGTGACATTTCTTGTAGATCATGATGACATTTAGTGCAGTTAAATCAAAAACACATCATAGTCTTAATCATCAATATGTCAAAACAATGTTTTCATCCAGTGTGACTTATGATCATAACATTACATCAAAAAAGGTCAGCATAAGTTTAAAACTCAAAGTCCCAGTAAAAACCTCACTTTCTGTGTGACCAGCACTGCAGCGCATGCTTTGGAGATGACAACTCAATATATTACAATTAGTTCAGCTTAGCTGTGCAACCCTGAACAACCCATTCTCAATGCGTCTGTCTTACAAACAGGTCTCATTTCTGCACCCTGGTTTTCAAAGGCCTCAAATGGCCTTGGACTCCCTTCAATGCTCCTGTTCTCCCGCTCATTCTCGGTGTGTTCCCACCCTGGTCTTATCTCTCAGACTTCAAGGCTGCGCTCCAAAGCTGCAGCTGCAGAGAGCCTTTACACACACACACACTGCTCTCTATCTCTCCACATTCGTTTGCGCACACTCTTTTGGACTCTGTGACCTGTATAACATAAATGTTTTTAGTGTAAAACATTTATTCAATATGTAAAACATGTATCCAATATATTCTAATCATTGGTGCAGATTAATTTACTTCATCATAGCATCTTGGTCTCTATAAAGTTTGGTTCTGATTTATAAAATCTTTAAATGCGAAAAATGTTGAATCACTTAAGCTAGATAACGTATTTATGTAATTTATGAGATGAGGCATTTTCCTACTATTTTCTTATCCTTTATCTATACAAAGATAGAGGCTCTCATTTTCAAGAAACAACTATATTATTTAAGAAAAAGAACAAAAAAGCATCAGTTTACAAAGCAGGAATGTGAAAAAAACATTTACCTACATTCAATAAGAATTAAAAAGGTGACTTAAAAGTAGAAACAAAATAATTTTAAATGGTCCCAGAGGAACCAGTGCAGATAATTGCAAATCCAACTTTAGAGATGCCTGAGTTTATATCGTATACATGGCACCCTGCAGGGAAGAAAAAGAGATTTTATCTCAAGGGACTTCCTGGTAAAATAAAGGTTAAATAAATAAATAAAAAAATTAAGTTTGTGGCTGGATTGTCTAAGTAACAGCTATGAAGTTACGGCGTAAGGACTCCAAGAACAGCTTTATACAACCATGCAAGAGTCTATGGATCTTCATGCAATTTATTATTTTTCTGATCACCAAATATGTATGAGTGTAAAAGTTTTTGAATTATCAAAATATCGCATTGAAGCTGGGATGTCTTTATAACTTGTGTATCAAAGATGATCTGTTTGATGTTAAAGGGTTAATGAGACCCTATAATGGTCCATTCCCCTCCTCACAGGTCTGTGCTCACAGCAGATGGACCATTCAGAGGTCAGCCCTGTTCAGGGGACTCCTCCGAGTCTCGGCCTTGCTCCATCCCATGTCTTCCTGGTCTGTAAACCCACACCCACTCAACTTTAAAATTTTAACACAACTTCTTACACATTTCTGTTGAATCTTTAATCTCATGCATAAACCATTCTTTCTTTGTAATAGGAGCATTGAATAACATTTTCCCATTCATTTCTCCCAGTCCTAGCAGGTGGTGCGTGGACTAAATGGACCAGCTGGTCAGAGTGCACCAAGACATGTTTCAGTGACGTGGATGATGTGGGAATGAGGCAGCGATTTCGCAGCTGCAACCAAACACTCCCAGCTTCTAACCCGAGGAGCACAGAAGCTGAGTGTGATGGAGATGATGAGGAACAAGAGCCGTGCAACACCGTGCACTGCCCAGGTGATCCAGAAAACATTAAATTAAGCTCCAAATGCAAATATTGAAGGGTGATATTTATATTTCTGTTCTTAAGGATAGTTCAGGATGTTTGAGGTCAAACAATAGAGGCAGTTCATGTGTGCCTGCAGTGGATTTTTGTTATGGACGATCGCTCTCATTATGGTTCACAGGAGCTTCAGAAATGGCTTTATTACCATTATCCATTAAAAATATTGCAATTAAATATTTTTTCATTTGTCCCCTGAATTCATTTTGAGCTTGATCTCACCTTTAGCTTTAGGTCAGCGGTCTTCAAGGTTTTCCAGGCCAAGGACCCCCAAACTGATGGCTAGATGGAGCGGGGACCCCCTAATTATATATATTGTATGAAATAGTGTTCTATCAAACTGGTCCTATAGTCACTCTATTACAGATGGAGTAATGTAACTAAAGTAATATCTCCCTGGGATTACTAAAGTATTTCTGATTCTGATTCCTGGTTGATGGGACAGGTGTTGTGAATGAAACGGTGCCCAGCTTCAAAGAGCTCCTGTGTGTCGCTGCATGTGTGCATTGATGACTGAAAGACATCTTCTGCCTCCATTTATCTGTTTACTACAGTCTGTTGAATTCATGTTAATGTGGATTTAAAGACATTTCAATTAGTGGAAAGAATTGCAGGAGGAATATTTAAACAAAAAGTCTAATTGACCAAAACTTTTGCGACCCCCATGCAGTAGGCTACCTCCGTGGGCCTCCATTAAAGACTTCCGCTTTAGAGGATGCTTTAGTCTTCTTTAGTTTTTCAGACAGATTCTATTGAAGTCATTTCTTTATGAGGACAGATATAGGGCTGAGACAATTTAATGCGGATTAATCTGGTTATTGAAATAATTCTAAACTCATTTGGTTATTTTATCTATTTATTTATACATATATATATATATATATATATATATATATATGAGTTTTTACAGCACTAGTGACTCGTTTTCTCGACAGTAGGCTGAAAGGAAATGGGGAATGAGAGAGGGGGAGAGACATGCAGCAAAGGACTCAAACAAAGGATTCAAACCTAGGGCCTCTGTACGTGGGTCGTACGCACTAACCACTGCGCCTCCTTCACGCCCCTAAATTGGATTTTGAAGAAATTACAAAATTGTGGTTTCTAAACTTGTCAGCTTGTAATCCCAAATATGATAATGTAACAGACTATACATATAATTCATTCATTTTTAAAACAATTTTTTTCAAAAGTAAAATTAAATTATTTATTTTATAATTTTCATTTTTTTAATCATTGAATATTAAATAATTTAATTGTATATTTTACAGTTTCTTGTTATAATAATCCTGATTAATACACAGATTGTACATTGACTGTAAAACATGCCATTTGCAGAAAAATACCCTGCAGCATGAATAAAAACATAACAACAAAACTTATATAAATATACCTACATCTATATCTATGTATAGATAGACCTGAGTTAGATGTATACGTATGTATATTTCTTAGCAGTTTATTATTTGCAATTAATTTCAAATGTAAAATATATATTAAAAAAATATATTACAAATCTCAATGTTCTAGTAAAAGTTTCTCTTTTTAGAATAATTCATTAATTGAAAAAAATCAATCTCTAAAATAATATGTAGGTGCTGCCCTCTGTGTCAGTAATCAGGGCTAAGTTTTGTTAGAGAAATTAAACCTGGTGTGATAAACTATAGTTGGCTGTTACTTGTTTAGAGATATTTTTAGTTTAGTTTAATGTAGGATTTATCTAGAGCCATGAACTCCTTGTCTTTACCAGTAACTTTGCAGTTTGCTGGTCTAGGTGTGGAAGCTACAGGTCTAGCGCCCCCTACCAGTTAAAAGTTACACAGTTCTGCTTTAAAAGCACATTCAAAGCCTTATATATTTTGATTTTGCTTTGTTCTACTTTTATATTAGACATTTAGAAATCCAGAAATTGTCCAAATAATCAGCTGTTTTTTAATGCAAGTTTGGTTTTAGAGTTCATATTTGAGCGTTACCATGAAATGCTCTAGAATTACTGAGAGGTGGTATGCTAACAGTAGCAACTGCAGCCCCTAAGAACGACTAATTGTCATGATTTTATCAAGAGCTCGGACAGAGAAACCAATTTAGAGAGGCCAGGGGAAACGGTTTAACAGGTTTATTGAAGAGATTATGCAGGGTGAAGTGTTGCTATGAACACTGCTCAACCAGAACTGAAAAGTGAGGGGAAGACACAGCGATTACTTCAGGCACAGTGGGAAATTTGATTTGTGAACTTGGAGAAGAGGATTTGGTTGCTGACTCACGTTTCCAGAGAAGTTGTTGAATCTTTGACTCCTGTCTGTATGCTGTTGTTCCAGTGTTTGTCTGATTCGGTGGAGGGCGGAACAGGGTTTACCCAGAATGCGGTTGTTTGTAGGTGAACGGAGAAGCTGACTGCCACTTAGATTTCCTGCGGTACTTGAACGGGCTGTGGTGCAGATGAATCCTAGCCTGACGTAGTCCGACTCAATTCTAGTCAGAATATGAGTCTGATACTGCTCCATAGAGCTGTGATTATGGGGCGTGTTTCGAACGAACCAGGAAAGAAAATGCCTCTGCACTCAATTGGATAGATCTACAACCAATAAGAGCAACGGAGTGCGTGACGTATGTTAAGCGAGGCACAGTTGTTGTCCACAAAAATCAGAGCGTGCAGTTTCACGCCTAGAATAAGATGAGCCTTGATCGCGTTTCTCTGTTCCTCTTTTAAAATTAATTTGCTGTCGATATCTTCTAGAATAGACCTAATAGCAGAATCTACTCACCCAAACTCTCCAGCGGCAGCCATTATTGTTGTCACCCAAGCGCGCTTTGGTCACGTGGTTGATTACGTTACACTTGATCATCCGTCCATCATCGTATAAAGCCCGCCCTGACAATTTGATTGGATCGCCTGACAGTGGGCGATAATACTCGCGCTACTATGGAGCAGAGCCAGACCGAACTTCCCCGAACTCAAACCTTGTGGGCGGGACTAAGTTCGGACTGGCACCCAGGCTAGATGAATCCCTTGGTCAGTGTGAAACTCAAACGACCTCTTGGGGAAAAGTGGATCCAAACCTACTGTTTGAACTGCAGCTCAGTTTGTAGCTCAGTTGATCCTTCCAGGGAGAGAAGGTCAGAAAATCCAGTTTGCAGGATGACTTCCTGCCGAGAGGCAAAGACAGAAACAATGTTAAGATTCAGGTTGACAAAAACTCAGTTTGACTCGGCAAAACTCAGCTTGGCTAGTGTACCCAAAACTGGCAAACACTCTGGCGTCGAGGTAGTGGCAGTCAGCAGCTTAAAGGAATAGTACACCCAAAACATGATTAGCCTTCATTTTCTACTCACCCCCATGCTGAACAACACTCTGGAGTACTTTTTTGATATCTCAAATGCATCTGGAGATCTGGGAGGCTTCTTGCTGTCTGCTGACATTCAAATAATGGAGGTCTATGGCGCCCGAGACAGAAAGGTCCATAAAAGTCCACAAAAAAACGTGTCAATATTCCTCCATACTGCTCGTCCAATGTATTCCAAGTGTCCTGAGTGGGTAGCATCCAGAATTTACTCGAAACGAAGTCATTTAGAATGTTTTTAGAGCATAAACAGTAGTGTATAGGATTTCCTGAAAGCGCGCACATGCGCGTTCACGACGCTACGGAAGCCGGCAGACCAAACCAGATGAAAGTGCGCATTCAGCGTCTGCTCTGCCAATAATGCAAGCGTAGAAGAAGAAATGTGCTGTTTACCTGTGCAAAGAAAGAAACAACGAAAGAAAAATGTCTGAGGACTTCAGTGTTGAGGAAGAGCATGAGTTCTTTGCCGAGCTGAATGCGCACTTTCATCTGGTTTGGTCTGCCGCGGTTTCCGTAGACTCGTGAACGCGCTTTTAGGAAATCCTATACACTACTGTTTATGCTCTAAAAACATTCTAAATGACTTGGTTTCGAGTAAATTCTGGATGCTACCCACTCAGGACACTTGGAATACATTGGACGAGCAGTATGGAGGAATATTGACACGTTTTTTGTGGACTTTTATGGACCTTTCTGCCTCGGGCACCATAGACCTCCATTATTTGAATGTCAGCAGACAGCAAGAAGCCTCCCAGATCTCCAGATGCATTTGAGATATCAAAAAAGTACTCCAGAGTGTTGTTCAGCATGGGGGTGAGTAGAAAATGAAGGCTAATCATGTTTTGGGTGTACTATTCCTTTAAGAACACTCCGTTGACGAGGTAACCATCAGCAGGTGCATGAGGAGGCGAACCAGAACCAGGCGCCTCCTGGTGGAAGAAGGGAGACAAAACACAGAAACACAAAGACAGGAGTCCTGACACTAATGTTAATTCATTTTTGAATGAAGAGGCTGTGACTTAATTTTAAACTGCTAACGACCTTTTAACAAAATGTAAATGATGAGCGGCTCCATTTATGACGCTAACTTTAATGTTGTTCTTCTAGTTAATGGGGGGTGGTCCCTGTGGTCCCAGTGGTCTCAGTGTTCATCTCAGTGTGACTCCGGCATCCAGACCAGAGGGAGGTTCTGCAGTTCACCAACCCCACAGCATAGGGGCAGTAACTGCACTGGGCCCCACATACAAACCAGGGACTGCAACTCCCATCCCTGTTCAGGTACCCTACCAGTTAAGGATGTCTGTAGAGGTTCATCTTTACTTCATCACACATTCATTGTGAGTCTGTGTGATTTTAGGTGTGTGTCCAGAGGGTATGATGTACATGACCGTAGCGGAGTGTGAAGCTCAGGGAGGGGCGTGTCCACGGATCTGCATGGACATGACCTCTACGGAGGTTCAGTGCGCCACCTCCTGTTATGACGGCTGTTATTGCGGCCCGGGCCTCTACCTGTTTAACAGCAGCTGTGTTCCTTTGGCACAATGCCCCTGTTACCACCAGGGAGAGATGCACCCAGCTGGCGCCTCCGTGCCTTCGGATGCCTGTAACAACTGGTATTCCTCTTCAATTATTCTCTTTTTTTATTATTACTGTTTATATAGACCTACCTATTTTCTTTTCATGTGCCATATTGCTTTCCAACAGTACCTGCATTGATGGAGAAATGGAGTGTGGGGCTGTTCCATGCCCAGGTTAGCAGCTTATCACCATTTTTATCCCATTTTATTTTGTGGGGTCCAGTTTTTTGATCTTCAACTAATCCTTATTTTGTGTCCCAGTGGACTGCGGCTGGAGCAGCTGGACGCAGTGGAGCGCGTGCACTCGAACCTGTGACGTAGGTATAAGACGGAGATACCGCTCAGGAACCAATCCGCCACCGGCATTCGGCGGCCGTCCCTGTAAAGGAGACAGAGTCGGGGTGGACACCTGCAGCATCGAGCCATGTCTCGGTGAGACGCGGATCGCTAATGTTTTAAATGTGATGTTGGATGTATGTGTAGAAATAAAAGAGTACAGGTTTTGTGGTTTGTCTAAAGGAATAAGAGAACCATGGAGTATGTGGTCGGAGTGTTCTGCAACATGCGGAGGAGGTTACAGGACCCGGACCCGAGGGCCAATCAGAATCCACGGCACACCCCAGCAGTTCAGCGCCTGTAACCTGCAGCCATGTGGTAACACTGGTTTGGATTAATGTTCATAATCCTTGGAATAAACATCCATTTCTGGATTGTACTTTTTTTTCAAATGTCTATTCAGGAAATTTAATTGAATTCAGTTTATTTATATAGCGCCAATTCACAACACACGTCATCTCAAGGCACTTTACAGTTCCCCAGATCACCCAGTCAGTTTGAATCAAAGTTTTTTATCTAAGGAAAACCAGCTGATTGCATCGACTCATTGACTCGAATGCAATCCCTCACACTAAGCATGCTTGTAGCGACAGTGGAGAGGAAAAACTCCCTTTTAACAGGAAGAAACCTCCAGCAGAATCAGGCTCAGTGTGAGCGGCCATCTGCTGAGGCCCACTGGGGTTCAAGAAATCTGTTCATGTTAACAATGATGGAACAAAATTCACTTCATATTTCTTCCTGGAAGTGATTAAATGAGTGAATGCTTCCTGTTTACAAAGAAACCTGCATCTGTGAGACGATATATAAAAAATATATTTTAAATCCTGTTACTCATAAATGTAATCCTTTTTTCTTTTCCCCTCACTGTTTTTTGTTTGACCTGTTTTTTTTTCAGGTGAGAGCAGCATATGTCCTCCAGGTCAGCAGTGGACGCAGTGTTTGCTGGGTCCTGTCACCTGTACGGATCTCACATTGGACCTAAGCAGGAACTGTACCGCAGGTTGCCAGTGTCCACATGGGACCGTACTGCAGGTCTGTCAAGCCTTCTCTGTAAAGCCAGTTTTAAACATCTCACTTGTCATGAAACGGACAGATTGACCCAGTATTCAAGGTGAAACAGCCAGTTGGAAAGTTCTAAACATTTATTAAAACAAAAACATTACAGGAATAAAAACTGATCCTCCCCACGTTCCAAGCCAAAAACCCTGAGGACCCCGCAGGCGAAGAACAGCGCACGATCAGTAGACGAGACAGACAGAAAACCCTCTTTCCACTGGCTGCCGAGATCCAGGACACGAACCGTGGAATAAACTGAACAAACTCAACAGACAGACTAAATCAAATGATCTGGCCCCAAATGCTCAGACCGATGTGAAGGATGCTTTTAAAGAAATTCTATTAGAGGTCACAACCTGGAGCTATTAGGTGTGATTGAGCGATTGATTTATTTTTTGTCCTTTATATATTTTTTTTTACATTTCTGCCTTCCCTTTCTCAGGAGGAAATGAGGGCAGGCAGAAATGTAAAAAGGGAAGGCAGAAATGAGGGCAGTAAAAAAAAATAAAAAGGACAAAAAATATAAAGGACAAAAAATAAATAAGGTAAATATTACAAAGGCAAATAAATAAAGAAGCTAATTAAAAGACTTATATACAGTTATGTCTCACTGTATAATTTAATTTCTACTTACATTTATTTGTTGATTGTATTTTTGTTGGCAATTAATTGTATGCTTATATATTTATTGAGCATTTATGTATTTCTGTATTTATTTTTAAATGTGGCAGAGTTGGTCCTCCATATATGGACGGACTCGTGGAGGGAGAAATATCTTATACACCTTAAAACCTCAGTAGTTAATTTCTTGGTCATTAACAGTCAGGAATCTGAGATGTATTAATGAGGAAGGACATTGACCAAAAGAAAATTCTCCAAGACAAGGTTTGGTGTATGTAAATAATTGAACACTTACTCAAAAAGATAAGATTTAAAAAAAATCTTATTGGGTTCCAAAAATTAGTCATGAAATTAAAAAGTAAATAAATAAAAGCAGTTAAAAGTAGCTGCTGCTAGCACTAGAAATGACCACGATAACAACTCATGAATGGTTTCTCACATCTGTTGCCTCCCTCTGTTTTACCTGGACTGAGGGAGCCTCAGCTCAGCAGAGAGCTGACCTCTGACCCCGGGCAGTATCAGTATAGCGTGATTCTTTGTTTAAAGTTCGACATGTTGAGATTCATACCAGTAATCATGAACGTTTAGCTCAGAATCTTTTATATTTTCTAGGACGGCAGCTGTGTGCCTCAGTCAGACTGTCGCTGTGATATCAACAGAGAGCCAACCGAAGATGGAGACACTCTGCCCAGGAACTGCAAGAACTGGTGGGACAATCCACAATAAACCAACTCAAACATCCTGTTTTAGATTAACTTTCTTCATAAACACAGAAAGAGGAGAAACTATTGTTTTTTCCTAATATTTCAGTACCTGTGAAAGAGGAAAGCTTGTCAACTGTTCTCAAGTTAGCTGCAACGGTAGGAAGAACACCTTTGAATTGGAAACTTCAACATGTACAATGTTTACATACACATGTTAACATTGTGTGATTCATATCAAGTGGACGGCCACTGGTCAAACTGGACCCCCTGGGGTCAGTGCTCAGTATCCTGTGGAGCGGGTCTCCAGTCTCGGTACCGGTTTTGTTCCAGTCCCCAGCAGTCTGGCAGTGGACTTCCATGTCTTGGTTCCCGCCGCGAGGATCGAGTCTGCATCAGTTCTCCATGTGATGGTGAGGAAATATTCAGTGGCCTTTGTGCCACTATGCAGCAAAGATGTTTTGTAGTTGGAAATATAAAAAAAGCAAAAATGCAATCCAGCAGAAAACTGTGCAAATAGTTTTTTGAGAAAATTTGACATTTTCTCAATTTTTTTTTCCAGTTTGTTGTGTTTCATGCTTTCAAGATTTGTTAAATGCATTTTTATATTTTTAAATTTCTCTCTTTCAGATAGTTTTATGAATTGCATTATTTTCAGATTGCATTTTCAAGATCACAATCCCTTTAGTGCTGTGGATTGTCTTTTTCTGGAGTAAAACAAATAAATATGAAAAATAATAAAATATGCAAAGAACAGGACAAAAAATAATTTGAAGCAAGTTTAATTTCTGGATTATTTTCTCAAATTACAAATTTTTTTTTTTCTACATTTCATTTTTTAATTCATTTTCCAAAACTTTTTTTTTTTCGATTTGGAAAATGTGTTTTCTTTGGATTTCAAAGAAAAAAAAAATTTTTTTTTTTTTACTGTAAGATTTTCAAGGTTTCATTCCTGGATTAGTTCTTTTTTTTCTAATTTCCATTTGAAAGAACTGTTTTTATTGAATTTAGCACTAACAAAATGTTTTTTTTTTCTTGCATTTACAAAACATATTTTCTTGTTACTATTTACAAAACCTTACTTTTCTCAGATTTACATTTAGAAAACTCGCTCTTTGCATGCAACAAAAGTAAAGCAACATTCGCTCTGTAGGTAAACGATGTGTTAACTCCTTGACACTCATTGTTTCAAATATTCGACAAACCGTCTGTAAACACCCAGAATAGCATGTGACAGTTATTATACATCTAGTGTTGAACCAGTGCAAAACTCTTCAAAACTGGTTCCTAATGGTGTTTGTTATCATCTATCATTATATTATTATACCTACATTTCAATTTATTTTGAAAATAAATAGAAAATTAAAAAATTTCATTTTGGCAACTAGTTAAAGGCAAAAAACTTTTTTATAAATATATTAATTAATTAAGTATATGAATTTGGATGCATCAGAAATTCGGTTCATATTCAGACCACTGGGTTTATGGCTGCATTGGAGAAAACAATGTTCTTTCTGCCTTCCAATTAGGATCTTTTGTTTTTATCATGAAATTATTATTTTTTTTTTTTAGTTGATGGGGGTTGGAGTCAGTGGACTGACTGGACAGAGTGCACCAAGTCATGTGGAGGGGGGATTCAAAGCCGGAGGAGACAGTGTGACAGCCCCCCTCCAGAGGGGGATGGGGACTACTGCGAGGGGCTGGGTACAGAAGTCAGAGGCTGTAACACAGACCACTGTCCAGGTACTCAGACACACTACAGTAGCAGGGATCTAGCTGTTTTATATCTAGGTCTATAACTCCATGAGGTTTACTGTATCTATTTGCTTTAGTCCCGCCTTGTTGGAAGGTCCCAGGGACAGTTTTCAGCAGCTGTGGGCCCTCCTGCCCTCGCTCCTGTGACGACCTGTCAGTAAGTGAAGTCAAGCAGCATTTTGATCCACACCTACAACATCGATGATGTATCCTACAAAGCCTGATGTTTACGTTTTACTTCAGGTTCATAGATGGATTCAGGTCTGGATTTGACTAGGCCGTTCTAATACATCTGTTTGCTTTATATAAACCATGAATTGACTTTTTTTGGCCCTCCACAAAAAGTGTTATATACATGTATTGTCCTTTTATTTTCCTCATATCAAAAACATAAAAAAGGCCAATCTAAGTCCTGTTCTTGGACTAGAAATAGAAATAAAATCAGTAAAGCCTAAAGGAAAAAATGTAGAAGCTATACTATATTCTTTTTAGTTACAAAGACAAGCTTTAAAAAATGGTTTCATTTATTGTACAATGAGAACAGATCCCTTAATTAGATCAGTTTGCAAAGAGGTAATTTGACCCTTCTATCTTCACAGCAACTTGCAAAATTTAGAAGTAGGTCTAAAAACTTGGTCTAGAATATGTATTGCGATTCGGCCTAAATATATACCGCTTCCTGTCATTATGTCAGGTAATGAGGGGAAGCGGTATGTATGAACCGCTTCCGTGTTAACTTAAGATCCAAATGCAGAGAAGGAGCAACATTATGGGAATAAATTAGCTCCCATCAAATGTCAAATTTAATATGGAGAGTAGATTATGTGTGTGTTTGAAATAAAACTGCTAATACGAGTATTTATTGTGATTCAATAGAAATCCTCTAACTCAGTCCAATCTCTCCCAGCACTGTGAGTGGCATTGTGAGCCTGGTTGCTACTGCACAGAAGGGAAGGTCCTGTCGGCCAATGGGACGGTCTGTGTAGCGAGGGAAGACTGTCCTTGTCTGGACATAAATTCTGGCCAGCGAATAGAACCAGGAGAATCCACTGAGGCCTCTGATGGATGCAACAACTGGTCAGAATCATTTTATGTAATTAAATGATTTATTGAAGACGAATGCCTCTAAAAGACAAATAATAAAACATGTAAAAAACAGGAAAAAAAGTTGAAACACATAAAATTTCAAAAAGGTTCATTTGTGTCTTATTTTTGAGGATTTTTATCCAGATTTCCATTTTTTTATTCAGTTTCCAAAACTTTATCCATATCCCATTTGCAAAACTTTTTTTTTCATTTTTTTTTTATTTCCATTTGGAAAATGTGCTTTCTTTGGATTTCAAAGAAAAGAAAAGGTGTTTTTTTATTTTTTTTATATAACTATAAGATTTTCAAGGTTTCATTCCTGGATTAGTTTTTTTTTTTTTTTATTTCCATTTGCAAAAACTGTTTTTATTGAATTTTAACACTAACAAAATGTGTTTTTTTCTTACAAATTTGCATTTACAAAACATATTTTCTTGTTACTATTTACAAAACCTTACTTTTCTCAGATTTAAATTTAGAAAACTCGCTCTTTGCATGCAACAAAAGTAAAGCAACATTCGCTCTGTAGGTAAATGATGTGTTAACTGCTTGACACTCAAATATTCAACAAACCCTCTGTAAACAACCAGAATAGCATGTGCCAGTTATTGTACATCTAGTGTTGAACCAGTGCAAAACTTTTCAAAAACTGGTTCCTAATGGTGTTTGTTATCATCTATCATTATGTTGCATGTTTGTAATATACCTACGAATTCCTCTAAAAGCCTCAGCTCCGTTTCTCTTGCAGCACATGTGAGGGTGGCAAGTTCAACTGTACCAGAGAGCCATGTCCAGGTGGGTAAAATCGCCAAAAATGTTCCCATATACGATGAAGTCACATCAAGATTCCTGATACTGATTGGTACATCCCTGTTTTCCAGTGTCTGGTGGGTGGTGTGAGTGGTCAGAGTGGACTCCCTGCTCCAGAACCTGTGGGGCAGAGTCTGTGTCCCGCTACAGGAGCTGTAACTGTCCTGAACCTAAAGCTGGGGGAGAACCTTGTCCTGGAGAACAGGAAACGCACAACGGGATGGGCGTTCAGATCCAGAGGAAGGCCTGCCCCGTAATCACCTTCTGCCCCAGTAAGATCCAGTCTGTAACAGCTGTTTTAAATAGCTGCAAGTAAAAAATTAGATTAGTTACAAAGCTCCCCAGAAGAAGAGTTTCTTTTAGAGCCAAATGAAATGTTAAAATAACAAGAATTGACAAGGAAGCTAACATATAGTTTTTCAGCCTTATTTGGTGTTACTTATTTAGTGGGAAAAGGTATTCAACTATTCACCCCAGTTAAATACACAGAGTTAGATGGATTTCACTCAGTCTGCACTTTATTTTCATATTTTTGCAAAAAGAGAACAGTTCATCATACGGCCCTTATTGCTTGGTAATCAGCCCTGTTCTGCCTGAGCAGAGTTCGTTCCCCTTACTTACAATAACAGAAAGTTGTGAAAGTCAAAGCAAATTAGACACTTTGGTTAAACAGTAACATGTTATGATTAAACCATGAGAAAGAATCTGGCTTGTTATGGGAAGAAGGCGTGTCTTGTCTAAAAAAAAAAAAATATATATATATATATATATATATATATATATATTAAGCCCAATATCTCCTTTTTTCTTCATGAAAAGGACCAGAATAATTTTTACTTTAGCTTAAAATAAAATAAATGTAGGTAATTTTTTTTATTTTTTTTACTTTTAGACTGCTATGTTTTCTAGTATTTAAGTCAAAGTTTTTTCAAAGTTACTGTACTTTTACTTATATTATTTTCACACTTTCAACCTCTGCTGACCAACTAGTATATGGAGTTTTGCTCTATTATTGTTTTAAACAAAAACATAGTTTATAAATAGAAATTTGAAAAGGATACAATCCTTAAAGTAAACTTTAAAAAGCCTTTTATTCAAAAAAAGATTAATGTTACTGTTTAGTCAGATTTCATTTTTGTATATGTTTCATTTTTTTGACATTTTTTTTTTACTGATTTTCAAAATTTTTTTAATATATATATATATATTTCTTCTCTTTGATCATGTTAAATGAACTGTGTTTTTTTTTTACTGCATATTTCACATCACAGTGTCTTCCCTTCTGGCGTAAACCTTTCTCTAAAATAAGGAGTGATGATGCAAGTTTCTCTGGTCTGCAGGAACGTAGCAGCAACATTTTTACTGGTTAAAAGCGAACATTTCTATTGCGCTTGAAGTGCAGACAATATGATCTGTTAACACAATTTGAAAAGAATGCACTTCATAAAATACAATCAGTAAAAGAGAAACTTCCAAAAATTCAAGTTAAAGATAATATAAGATCTGTAAAATTACATTTTGGAAAAATATGATATAAAAACTATACAATCAGAGAAAACAACAAATTATTAAACAATTCTGATACAAAGTTCCTCCAGGCCAGTCAGATTCAAGAGGGGGTCCAGTTCTCACCCTTGTCCCCTCCTCATTTTGACCCTTCTATTTAAAAGTTTTGCTCCTACAAATCTTTTTTTTCTTCTTTTCTGTGTGTCAAAAAAAAACCTTGATAGTTCATGGTTCATGGAGTTCCTGGTCGTCCTGGTCAGAGTGCGATATCTGCGCCGGGTCATCTGTTCGTACCAGACAGTGTAACAGTCCTCCCGCCAGATTTGGCGGTCTGCCCTGCCTGGGAGAGAGTCGCCAGAGTCGGCGATGCCACAACAACCTCACTGTCTGCTCAGGTCAGCTGACTCCTTCATGGGTGTGAATAAAGTCAGAGAATCTGTCTGTATCGCCCTGTTAGTTATCATTCCACATCTGAGTAAAAAGTAACACTCATTTACATCTTTCAGAATGCGGCGGTGGTCAGGAAGAATGGCCGTGTGGGAAGCCCTGTGCTCGATCCTGTTCAGATCTCCATGGCGACACAGAGTGCTTGGACTCCCCCCCTTGCATCCAGACCTGCGGTTGTCCGGGTGACATGCTCCTGCAGGATGGAGCATGTGTGACCAGAGAGGAGTGCCGCTGCAAATATCACAACAGCTCTGTCACCGGTTGGTCTCCTGCTTATATTAAATTAGCAGAGATGGGAAGTAACGAAGTACAAATACTTCGTTACTGTACTCAAGTAGATTTTTCTGATATTTTTACTTTACTTTACTACTTATTTTTATGGCGACTTTTTACTTCTACTCCTTACATTTTTACACAAATATCTGTACTTTCTACTCCTTATATTTTAAAAATTGTCTCGTTACTTTAGTTTTGAATCATTTCAATGGAGTTACCGTTATTATTTTTCACGTCATCAATACCAAATTCAATCTAATTGGATGGGAATCTACGTTGCATTTGACGCACCGCTACAAGATGAATCGACAGATTCGGCGGTATTCATTGGCGGCAAATCATTGCAGCTTGGTGGCGGTGGCGTTAGCATAGTAGCATGGACGACGAGATGATTGAAAATGAACACAACGGAGATCTAGTCCTATTGGCAGACATCCATTTAAAATGTAGGCAACGGCATGAAAAAAGTGGTTTCTACTTTTACTTTTATACTTTAAGTAAATTTACAAGCCTGTAATTTGTTACTTTAACTTGAGTAAAGAAGTTTAATCAGTACTTCCACTTTTACCAGAGTATTTTTTAACACATGTATCTGTACTTTTACTCAACTACGGAAAGTGAGTACTTTTGCCATCTCTGTAAATTAGTGGGAACTGTCAAATATCAAACTGTTTTTAATTTTTCTCTGCTAAGATGGAGATTTAGATTCCAGTAATGCATCATGGGTTTGGCCGGGCGGATACGATTGGCAGTTTGCAAATCCAGGAGATATAATCATCACCGAATGTAAAAACTGGTAAAGCCTTTCTGAAAAATCTTTAGATTTTCAATCCAGTCAGTTTTTTAATCTACCCAGTGTCCTGAAAAGAAAGAAATCCTCGTCTTTATGTTTCAGCTCATGTGAGGCTGGGGTCCTGCAGTGTCAGTCTGTCCCTGGTTGCCATGTGGACGGGGGCTGGGGCCAATGGGGAGCCTGGACCCAGTGCTCTCGTACTTGTGGCGGCGGAGTTACGTTCAGGAGGCGCCTGTGCAACAACCCAGCTCCTCAGAACAGTGGCAGAGGCTGTGTGGGTGAAGCTGAGCAGCAAAAGGACTGCAACCTGCAGATGTGCACAGGTAGCCACCTGTTTCCAGTCAACATTAGGCCCCTTAAATAAAAAACCTCATGCTGCATTTATTCTATTTAGGCTTTAACCCTTTATAGGGCACTCAGTGAAATTCTTTGAAAATCAAAATTTCAAGCCAGCAGTGTTACTGGAATCAGGGACAAGAGCTTATTATCTTTGTAACATTCCAAAAATTTGGATATTTTATTGGCAAAATTTAATTTCAATGTAAGAACAACAAAGACCAACTTGCCTGAATATATTAAGAAAAATAAAAGTTCTTCTATAAGAAATTCATGAAAAACACTCTTAGAGTGCAAAAAATTAAATTCTTTTGGTACAAAATAACCTTAGAGGCATTAATGCTGATACTGGCACTTACATTTTTTAGTTTATAAACCTAAATATAATTATTTGCTAGGCTTATTAACTTTTTAATTTAACTTTTACATTTTTTTTATTAATTTTTTAACTTTTTTCTTGACTTGTCAGCTTTTTTTAACTTAATTTACAGTAGATAATATAGCATTCAAGGGCTCATCTAATTGATAGATCTTGTGCTTCTAGACCTCACGGGGGGGGGGGGGGTCCATTTGTAAGGGGTATTCAAGTGATCAAAAAAGGTAACTTGCCCTAAAAAGGGTTAAGCTACAACAGTTTAATAACCTATTAGGATCTTTTTTAATATATTTTGTCTCATTTTTTCTGTCCTAACGTCTCCAGACTCGGTCGGCCCTTGGTTGCCCTGGTCACAGTGGTCTGCCTGCTCGGTCACCTGCGGTGGAGGGCAGCAGTCCCGTTCTCGTGTCTGCACCTCTCCACCTTGCCACGGCGTCAGTCGCCAAAGCAAAATGTGCAACACGCAAGTCTGCCTTGGTGGGTTTTGTTTTACATGGTCTAAACCTTCATTCTTAAGTAGAAATCCTTCAAAATTTCCTTGGCTGGTCTTTGGCTGGTCCCCTACAATTCCTTTTTTAACACCAATCTTTGTACTAAAGTATTCTTTCTGTCATGATTTGTGGACATTAAGATCTAAAGAGAGCGCCATCTCCTGGTCAGACCCTGTAATTCAGTAAAAGGGTGGAGTCAAAGTGAAAAATATGCAAGAGGGGGTCACTCCAGTGGTTGGAAGTTGGTGGGGATTTTCCTGGGAGTTGCAGGGAAATAGGCTGCCGTCCGGTAGCCGTTTGACTGGGAAGGGCCATTTTGAATCGCTGCTACTGTAACATGTTTTCGGTAGGTTGGATATGAACAACACTTTACAGCAAAATAGGCAAAATCATGAGGTTAAATGTGGCTGCCGGGTCTGTAAGGTCCTCCTCTGCCTTAAAGCTCCACAGAACCAATGTAGGACAAGAAACTGTAGAAAGTAACTATAGTCAACTAGTTACTTCCCTCAAAAAAGTAATTAACTGAAAGTTACTTACGTACGTAATTATGCAGTTTTATGACCTAAAGCATCAGATAATTTAGAAACCTTTCCTGTTGGAATTGTGAAATACAACTAGACACCTTATATCATGGAATATAAAGTGTTTGTTATATATTAATGAATGAAATAATTAATTAAAAGTCCACACGTCTAAAAACATTGAAAACTACTCTGCACTATTTTGGTGTGTGTGGTTTGACAGGTGAGTTGAACTGTAATTATGTAGATTTGATAATATTTCTTGTTTATAACTACATAAGATGTTTTTTAATTCCTTTTTCTGCACATTGACAATCTTCAATTGGCTATAAAATAGGTATGATTAAAATAGATATATAATTTAACAAAAATAAAATATGTACTTTGCAGTAGAATTAAACAAGTGTTACACAAGTAGAGAGAAACAGGAGTGTATGATCCCAGGATGTCATGATTTTATTCTAAGATCTGACCCACATGCAGAAAAAAACAAACAGAGAGACCATGGGAAGGTTTAACAGGTTTATTGTGAACTGGTATAGAAGGGTCCAGTGCTGCTCTGAACACGGGCGAACCAGGACTGAAAAGTGAAGCGGAAGTTCCTGTGGTTAGTTCAGGCTCAGTGGGAAATTTGAGCTTCGATTTGCAAAGGGAATAAAGACAACAGGACTCATGTTTCCAGAAAAGGTGTCTTTCTCTGAATCCAGTCGGTGTGGGTTGTTCTAGTAATTGACTTGCTCATTGGAGGGCGGACAGGGTTTACCAAGGTTGAAGTGTTTCTTTAAGGAACGGAGGAACTGACTGCAACTTAGTTTCCCAATGGTACTTGAACGGTTTCTTGTGGAGATGAATCCCCTGCTCAGTGAGAAGCTCAAACAATCCTTTGGGGAAAAGTAGATCCAAACCTCCAGTTTGAATCCCCAGCTCAGTTTGAAGCTCAGACGATCCTTCCAGGGGGAGAAGGTCCAAAACATCCAGTTAGCAGGATGACTTCCTGCCGAGAGGCAAAGACAAAAACAACAAGATTAGGCTCAGGTTGACAAAAACTCAGAGTGACTCAGCAAAACTCAGCTTGGCTTCGAGGTAGTGGCAGTCAGCAGCTTAAGAGTCCTCCGGTAATGAGGCAACCATCCGCCGGTGTGTGAGAGGGCCAACAAGAACCAGGCGCCACCTGGTGGTGGAGGGAGAAAACACAAAAACACAACCCACACAAACTGGATTCCTAACGCAGGATTTTTGTGTAAGAAAATGTAAAATTATTATTTTATACAAGTTCCAGTTTCAAACCAACGTTTGTTTATAAAATCTTTTTTTTCCTGCACATAATGATCCAATCCCAGCAATATTTAGCCTTCAGTAGCTCTTTTTCTGTAGTAACGCTGATATTGAAGCCGTGGCTCTGTGCCATCGACTCTCCATGTTGATGTTGAAGTTGCGCATATCTGTTTCGTACGACACGTGCACGTACATGTGCACATTGCTGACACGTGTGGTTACACCAGGAAACTCCCATCTACTGGATCGCCCATATTAAGACTTTTAATATAAACAAACCTTCAGAATAATAGCTTAATTTCCAGCATTGAACATTATAAAATAACTAAGTTTTCTGCTTTTTAAATAAGATTTTTATTTAGAATTTGGTTTTAGAGATTTTATCCTGTTGTATTGTCTCTTGATCTTTAGAAAGTGAGCAGCTCGTGTTATTGTCTGTGTTTTTGCCTGGTTTTTCTGCAGATGTCGGCTGCCCTCCAGGCAAGCTGTACAGGGAGTGTGAGCGTGGAGAGGGCTGTCCCTTCAGCTGCGCTCAGCTCAGCAGCAGAGAGGGCTGCTACTCTGACAGCTGTGAGGAGGGCTGCCACTGCCCCCCGCACACCTACCAACACCGTGGAAGGTGCACACCGGTGGGTCCTGAGCCACTTCAGGCGGTGCAGTTTTAAAGACAGATAAAAACTAAAGTAAGGTTACAGAAATGACCCATCTCTGTGTTTCAGGAGTGTCCATGTCTGGTGGATAAAGAGTTCCTGGCCTCCCTGCGGACCGTGTCTGTCACACCTGAACCGTTGCTCTCCAATATCTCAGAAGGGATGGAACTCATGTCTGGAGAGACTTTAACTCATGACTGCAGCACCTGGTAGGCTAATTAGGGAATAACTGCTGATTTACATTAAATCGACCCTAAAAGTATGTAACAACATTCCAACTTATCCTGGGATCATCTTTTTTTTTTTCTAATAGTGACTGTGAGCATGGCAGGTGGAACTGCTCCCTGGAGTTCTGCCCAGTGGATGGTGGTTTGTCACCATGGGGCCCCTGGAGCCCCTGCTCACTCTCCTGTGGAGGTTTGGGAGTGAAGACTCGATTCAGGAGCTGCACACAGCCTGTCCCAGCCCATGGTGGGAGACACTGTCAGGGTCCCCGACAGGAGACCACCTACTGCCAGGCCCCTGACTGTCCAGGTGGGGGTTATACTGAGAGAGAAGAGCTTCTGGATGCAGATGTAATTAATCCCAGATGGTTAAAATTATCATTTATTTTTCTTTTTTTTCAGCTACTATTGTTCCAACAGTAGAACCATCTATTCCAGGTAGAATATTAATTATTTTTTACTTACTTTGAATCTGATTCAGCAACAGCTTTCCCTGAAGTATGTTGTCTTTAATGATCTGATGCTGATGATATTTTTGACTGACCCATTAAAGCTCAGCATCACCTGCTGATTGAAGTCATTTCATCCTCTTTTCCACCCTGTTTTCATTTAGAGGATGATTCAGGCTTCTCTCCGTGGTCCCTGTGGAGTTCCTGCACCAAAACCTGCACCGATGTCCAAAGCCCTGCTACAAAGTCTCGTCATCGACAGTGTGCCAAACCTCCCTGCTCTGGGATCTCTCACCAGGAGAAAGCCTGCAACCTGCCCCAGTGTCCAGGTTTGATGCTATGCTTCCCTAGCCTCGTGAGACCATCCTGATCTCGCGAGCTTTCAAGGTTTCACTCGCAGATCAGACTGGAGACTCTCCGTTAAAGAAAATTTGGAGCCGTTCACCAAACGAACATCCAATCAGCGTTGGCTTTGAGGCGGGTTGAGGTGTGACGCAACGAGAAGCGTGACAGTTCAGTCTAAAGAACATGGCGGCTTCAGCCGATGAAATTAGCGTTAGCGTGGCTATCGAGGAAGTTTTATCGGAATTACAGAGTATTTCTTCACTGAAAGAAGAGCAAAACACTGCTCTGGAGGCTTTTCTCAGAGGAAAAGATGTTTCTGCTCTTCTCCCAACTGGTTTCGGCAAGAGTTTGATCTATCAATTGGCTCCTCTTCGTCGTCGCTCTGTTAGTACGTCATATGCTTCGTTGATCTGATTGGTGTATTTGGCCCGTCTATCACCAACATAGGCCAATCAGCTAACCAGTATTTTCGCCCCTTCCCAAAATTACTTCAACGGAAGGTTTCCAGATGGATATGCAGAGAAAATCCATCTGGCGGAGTCAGGTTAATGCTTCCCCGTGTCAGTCAGTTGAGGCGGAAATAATAAAACAGGACATTTTTTTTATTAATACGTTGGTTTTTAGGCTAAATCTGGTTGGTCCTTCATAATCTTGATTTAATCCAGAAAACTGGGCTGTGTGTGGTTGGTTCCATTTGTAGATGTTGTAAAAACATTTTTCAATGTCTTTTCAGCAATCTGAAAATTAGGGCTTTTCCCCTTGTCACTTTTAATCCAAATATAGACATTGCTGGGACATAAATCATGTCGTCTTTCAACCGATTTTTGCTCGATGGGCAACTAGAACCACTAAATCAGACATGATTAGTTCCAAAGATTAAATACAGATACAGTAGCAGCCATTCAAAATGGCCCCTCACAGTAAAACGCTCCCCTCCAACTTCCTGCAGTGACCCCCTCTTGCATATTTTTTTTTACTCTGACTCGTCCCTTTCACTGAATTACAGGTGCTGATGAAGAATCTCAGTCATCCAGGTCATAGTCACTCTGTAAAAGTTCAAAAAAATCCACTGGACTTGGTTTCCAAGATTTGAAGACGTTTCGCCACGTCTCCAGGAAGCTTTCTCAATTTAAATGTCTGGATCCGCAGTGAGTTTGAGTCTTGTATTGCTTGCATTTGCATGTTTCCAAGCAATACAAGGCCTTGTCTATATATAGACTCAAACTCACTCCAGATCCAGACATTTAAATTGAGAAAGCTTCCTGGAGAGGTGGCGAAACGTCTTCAAATCTTGGAAACCAAGTCCAGTGGATATTTTTTTTTAACTTTTACGGAATAACTGAATTACAGGGTTTGACCAGGACATGACGCTTCTCTTTAGACCTTAATGTATACAAATGATGACAGAATTTTGTAGTACAAATATTGATGTTTAAAAAGAAATTGCAGGGGACCAACCAAGGACACATGAAGGAAAGTGAGGAGACTTTGAATGGCTACTACTGTAGGTGAATACTGGAGGATGGTAAAAACCCAACTCATCTGGTGCTTAAGAGCCAAAAAAACATGTCATAAAGTAGTCATATGCAATACTGTGTAACATTTAGCCACTAAGGGGCGCTTAGCTCTATAACTGACAGGGTTAGCTCCCCTGAAAGCAGCTGGCAATATTAAACAATGGCAATTAAAATTTTCCCTCTGTTTAATGGACCGGGGTCAGCGTTCCAAGTGTGTGTGATGAGTAGTTTACCTGTGTGTGTTTTTAAATAAAACTTAGTAATTATTAAGCACCGTGGCCAGAATTCAATCTGAAAAACTCACAGAGAGAGAAAGATGCAATTAGAAGAGTTTATTGATACAATAGTTTGAACTTTGGCGCTCAGGCCTCGGCAGGAAACATAAACGCTGATTTATACTTTAATGCAGATAAACTGATGTATGAGAAAAAGGATATTCCCCCCGGGCCTGAAACTGGTGGTGGAGTTTAGATAGATGAAGTTTGGTTAATCCATAGAGGCTGGTATACAGGGTGATGCTTGAGTTAGATGTCACTGAATGAACAAAGTTTGCATAAACTGTCCATGAAGAGCAAGCATGAAGCGACTGTGGAGAGAAAAACTCCCCTTTGGGAAGAAATCTCTGGCAGAACCAGGCTCAACATGGCGGTCTTCTGCCGGACCGTTTAAAGTGACAGGGAACTCCATGAAAGTCTGGAGGGAGTACGCACTGGAGGTGAGGTTGAAGGAGCATCGAGGAGGAGTCGGATGAGCTTACAATGGTGGAGAAGGGGATGGAGGTGGGTTGTCTGAATCAAAGTCCGACATAGGAGCGACGGATCTTGCGCTTGTTGAAGAGCAGGCCTAGAGATGATTTGGAATGGCTTTTAAGTAGAGTGCTGGAAGATGATTGGGCATTGAGGAAATGTAGCTTGAAGCGGATTGGCTGCATTGGAGGCGGATCAGCCTCAGATTGAATGGAAGTAATCAGAGTTTCTTCAGTTGAATTTCCGCCTTAGCTTCATTTCTGACTTCATACCTGTGTGAAGGACCGAGCCGGCCAAGCATGAGGACACAGTGGTGATTGTCAAAAAAACTGGGTTTTATTTCCCCAAAGTAACAATAATCCAAACAAAATTTCAGGGCCCTTAAAAGAGGTCAAATGAAGAAATTAACTAAGGGCAAAAAGTTTTAAGTTCAAACATATGAAACCTCAAACTAACTGAACAAACAAAAAACTGACCTGACACACAGCAAACAAAGGGGACTTAAATACTGGCTGATCAGACCAGACTGACACACTGAGGAAGAGGTAGGGAGAACATCTACAACAAATTAACAAAAAAAAATAACTAAACAGTTAGCTTAAGGATTAAACTTAAATAACAATCAATATACAAATTAACAAAATGAGCAAATCACAAAAGTAAGAAGAAGAAATCATGCAACATATTTTAAAATGTGGAGTCCATGGTCTTCCCCCATAGTGGAACTCTAGATGGTACCACCCAATCAGTCCATGATGTCAGCCACATTCCCCCAGTTGATTGCACTCCATGTGACCATCACAACCGGATTCCTGAGTAGGGTGAATGGTGCAGGAACAGGAAATAGGATATAATAACAGCCTGACTTATCAATGAAAACATGTTTGCTGCAAACAAATTAAGCACAATTCAATTCAAACCAATCTGTCAATCACTCTCACGATTGTCCAGGGGAGCTGTGCGTCAGAGCCGACTGTGTAGAAAGGAACTGCTCATGGATGGAGTGGGGGCAGTGGGGGTCCTGTTCTCGCTCCTGTGGAGTAGGCCAACAGCAGAGGATCCGGACCTTCTTCCCACCAGCTGGAAACGGCTCGTGGTGCGCAGACATTGTTGGAGGGAACCTGGAGAATCGGTTCTGCAACATCAGGCCCTGCAGAGGTCAGTGCTGTGTGGAACGGAGCTGTCTGTGACTCCGAGGTTTCACCCCAACGACTGACGCTGTCTTTCTGAACCAGTGGATGGAGGCTGGTCCAGGTGGAGCCCCTGGTCCCGCTGCGATCAGCGCTGTGGAGGGGGGCGCTCCATCCGCACGCGCTCCTGCTCCAGCCCCCCGCCAAAGAACGGAGGGAAGAAATGTGTGGGGGAGAAGAACCAGGTTAAACCCTGCAACACCAAACCCTGCGGTGAGGCTGGGCTGAACCTGTGTGTCGAACCCACTGACAGTCTAGATGAGTCTGACCTCTCAGCGCCCTCATCCTGTCCATGAATTAATCCTCATTAATTCAGAATAACGCTCTGATGTTTGTCGCCTTTGTTGTTCTCTGGGAGCCTCGTTATGTAGAAACTGCCTGCAGCATCCTGAAGAAACTAATTCATGACCATCTGTCTGTGTACCGTAGATGACTCCGGGTGTCCAGCGGGCCAGGAGTTTGTGGCGTGTGCCAACCAGTGTCCTCAGCGCTGCTCAGATCTCCAGCAGGGAATAGAGTGCCAGGACAGCAGCGAATGTCAGCCGGGCTGCCGCTGCCCTAAAGGTACAGAACCTGCTTCACATTTATTCCCTCCGTCTGACTTTATGTCTGTTCTTTGCTTTTATTCCACCAATCAAACTTGTAAAAGACTGTTTGCTTTAGAGGACATCAGTCAGTCATTTTGTTCAAACGCGTTTTTAAATATTTGATGGCTGCTTTAACTGACATTTGTATGGAAAATAAAGCAAACGACAAACTGGTCCAAAAAGCTGTTATGAGTGGTTTGTTTTTCAGGGAAAGGACTTTATTCATAATATAAAAGGACTTTATATAAAAAGACTTAATTTCTAATATAAAAAGAAACAAATAAAAAATCCACGTTATTCCCAACTTTAATGTTACCCTTTAAATTTCTAACTTCATTAAAATATATCTAAACAAAAGTCTCGATTAATGAATCGATGAATGTAATAATAAGGGAGCAAATAAAAATTTTAAACAAATATTTTCTTCTTCTTCTTACATTTCTCATAGCAAGAATAATTTTTGGTTGATAAAAAGATAAAATAAATTGATGTGTTTGGAAAATGGGTATCTATATATATCAAACAATAGCAAATACTTAGTGTTTTAATTAGTGTTTTAATTATTTTTTTAATTAATTTGATGCAGACCAATGAAGTTATATTGATATGTTCACATTTAAAAATCAAAATATTTCCCTCTTTTACTCTAATTAATTTGTGGCACTTTGGTGTCTCCATACAGTCTGCAGTTCGATTGATCCCATTTATAGACTTCTGCCTTTGTGACATTTTTAGATTTGAGCTCAAATGTTATGGTTAAAAACTATTCTTTAGCAGCTGAGGTTTCTCAGGATCTTTTTTTTTATGCCTTCACATCATTCTGGAGCAAACTGGAAACTAGGAAGCCTTTACTGAACCGGTCCTGATTAGAACTTCATTTAGCAAAGATACACAGTAGATCTCTGACAGAAACTCCTGCTGTTATTAGTGCTATAATAATGGGGAAAATATTTCATGAAAATTTCAAAAATGTATACCTTTTTTTAACAGTTTTTTATGTGAATAATAATTAGTTGAATGCTTATTTAAAAAACAAATTGAAATAAACTGTAACAGTTATTCTCAAATAAAATAGTTTGCAGATGTGACCAAAGTTTCTAGTCACTAACATAGATTATCTGATCTATCTTTTAGGCAACACAGCAGGTTGTGCTATCTGGGTTTGTTTATCTGCAATGTGGGGACAATGTTTGTAAAATATTCTACATGTTGGAGGTTACAGGTACTAATGCGGACATTCAACTGGTCCCCATATGGTAAAGTTCTCTTCATTGGTTTGGGGTTAGGTTTAGAACTAAGGTGTGAATTTAGTTTAGTGTAGGTAACGTATATATTAGCTAATAAACACCCTGTGCAATAAGGCTGTGTAATAATCCTGCTATAAAAAACAAAAAATAAACAAAAGCTGTCATATGTGGATGCATTGTATATGCTGTATATATCCCATGCACCTTTTCTTCATTTGGCACATTCTTTTTCTTCTCTTTTTTGACTATTTGAGCTGCTGTAATGAGTAAATTTTCTCTACTGTGAGATCAATAAAGTCAGTCAATGTTTAGGGTGTGGGTTAGGTCGTATAATCTTGATATACTGCATATACCTTGATATACTGTATATATATTGTTTATTCTTAATGCATCTTTTTCCTCCTTGTTTGCACCTTCTTTAATTACTATGCCAATATGTGACCAGTGAATTTCTCCGCCGTGAGATCAATAAAGCTCATCTGATCTAATCTAATCTAATCTATAAAATCAATGTAAACAAACAGGTTTGTGTGTCCAGGTCAGTTGCACCAGGACGGTGTGTGTGTGGATCCGTGGCAGTGCGACTGTGTGGACTCTCTGGGCCACACGTGGGCGGCCGGCAGCTGGCACCAGGTGGACTGCAACAACTGCAGCTGCTCTGACGGAAAGCTCCTCTGCACCAATCACAGCTGTCTCCCCGCCTGCGCCTGGAGCCCCTGGTCCAGCTGGGCAGAGTGCAGTGTGTCCTGTGACCAGGGCCGCAGAACCAGATACAGGTGAGGGAAACAAATACATAACCAACACGTTCTAACTAATATTTAGCATTTAAAGGTCAGGAGTTCCGTCTAACTGATCCTTATTGATAGCCTGACGTAGTCCGACTCAATTCTAGTCAGAATATGAGTCTGATGCTGCTCCATAGAGCTGTGATTATGGGGCGTGTTTCGAACGAACCAGGAAAAAAAATGCCTCTGCATTCAATTGGATAGACCTACAACCAATAAGAGCAACGGAGCGCGTGACGTATGTTAAGCGAGGCATAGTTGTTGTCAACAAAAATCAAAGCGTGCAGTTGCACGCCTAGAATAAGAAGATGAGACTTGATCGCGTTTCTCTGTTCCTCTTTTAAAATTAATTTGCTGTCGATATCTTCTAGAACAGACCTAATAGCAGAATCTAATCACCTCAACTCTCCAGCGGCAGCCATTATTGTTGTCACCCAAGCGGGCTTTGGTGACGTGGTTGATTACGTTACTGTTGATCATCCGTCCATCATCGTATAAAGCCCGCCCTGACAATTTGATTGGATCGCCTGACAGTGGGCTATAATACTCGCGCTACTATGGAGCAGAGCCAGACCGAACTTCCCCGAACTCAAACCTTGTGGGCGGGACTAAGTTCGGACTGGCACCCAGGCTACCTTATTGAACAGATTTCCTTGTTTGTAGAAAAAAAGTTTTACCCTCCTCATTAAAGAAGACTTGCACCTTTATAGAAGACCTAATCGACAAAAAACTCTTCGTAAGAGATAACTTGAACAACAGGAATAAAAAAATAAAAAATATATAGAATATCAAATCTGCAAAAACATTTAAAAAATAAATTAAATATAAAATCTGTTTAAAAATGGTTATGGAAATATGCATTTTGAAAAATAAATGTACAAAAATCATTAAAAAGCATAAAATAAAATAAAAAACAGCAAAAAACAATTTTCTTAATTCTTCTTGCAACAATAATAGAAATAAATTCCCTCCACTGGCCATCAAACTCTTTATACTCTTTCCTCACCCGTGACATTTTGGCAACGCTCTACATGCCTGATTGAAAATATTTAATGTAATAAATTATATAATAGATTTTTTTTTCTTTTCTTTTTTTAGCCAAGCCATCCAGAGCAGCATTTACTCATAATTGTGGAATAATTGTTTTACTCAAACATCTCTAAAACTCTACAAGGATTAAAGTTGTTGGTTAACCGTAGTTGTTGGTTTTGTATCGTATCGGTAAAATAGTTTTATTTGGTTCAGTTTAGTTAGTTTTAGTCTGTTGACTTGAAGTGGAAATGAGACATTAGTGTACACTGCAAAAAAAATTAAATCTCAATAAGTCATTTTTTTTCTTAAAATTATGGATTAAGGAGGTCAGTGAGAAATTTTGTCAATGGAACAAGACAAATTATGTCTAAAATAAGAAAAAAACAATGATATTGTCTTATTTCAGGTGCATATTATCTAATTATCTTATTTTAAGAGTAAAAAAACTCATTCCATTGGTAAATCATCTTATTTACCTGCTCAAATTAAAGGAATAGTACACCCAAAACATGATTAGCCTTCATTTTCTACTCACCCCCATGCTGAACAACACTCTGGAGTACTTTTTTGATATCTCAAATGCATCTGGAGATCTGGGAGGCTTCTTGCTGTCTGCTGACATTCAAATAATGGAGGTCCATGGTGCCTGAGACAGAAAGGTCCATAAAAGTCCACAAAAAACGTGTCAATATTCCTCCATACTGCTCGTCCAATGTATTCCAAGTGTCCTGAGTGGGTAGCATCCAGAATTTACTCGAAACGAAGTCATTTAGAATGTTTTTAGAGCATAAACAGTAGTGTATAGGATTTCCTAAAAGCGCGTTCACGACGCTACGGAAGCCGGCACACCAAACCAGATGAAAGTGCGCATTCAGCGTCTGCTCTGCCAATAATGCAAGCGTAGAAGAAGAAATGTGCTGTTTACCTGTGCAAAGAAAGAAACAACGAAAGAAAAATGTCTGAGGACTTCAGTGTTGAGGAAGAGCATGAGTTCTTTGCCGAGCTGAATGCGCACTTTCATCTGGTTTGGTCTGCCGCGGTTTCCGTATACATTGGACGAGCAGTATGGAGGAATATTGACACGTTTTTTGTGGACTTTTATGGACCTTTCTGCCTCGGGCGCCATAGACCTCCATTATTTGAATGTCAGCAGACAGCAAGAAGCCTCCCAGATCTCCAGATGCATTTGAGATATCAAAAAAGTACTCCAGAGTGTTGTTCAGCATGGGGGTGAGTAGAAAATGAAGGCTAATCATGTTTTGGGTGTACTATTCCTTTAAGGGTGAAAACACTTCATTTAAGACATTTTTACCAATTTTTGGATTGTTTTTGCAGTGTAGCCTGTTTCTACACTGGAAAAACAACCTAGAAATAAGTAAACATTTATTAAATTAGGTGTATTTACCCTTAATTTGAGTAGGTAAATGAGATTTTGTTTTTTTTTACTCTTAAAATAGGATAAGTTGATAACATGCATTTAAAATAAGACAATGCAATCGTGTTTTCTTACTTTAAATTTAAATTATCTTAAGCAAAATGTCTCTTTTATCTCCTTAATCCAAGAAAAATGCAGTTATTTTAAGAAAAAATTACTAATCTAGATTTCGATTTTTTTCCAGTGTAATGAAGAGTGATGTGTTCATCCTTCACAATTTTTGCGTATCTGTTGCTTAGATACTCGCTATCTTTCTGTTAGACAGAGAAGGTAGAAAATGTTTAAATGTTCTGGTGTCAGATCCATGATCCCAGAGAGTGAAGGAGCAGACTGCAGCTTTGAGCAGGTTCAGCACAAACCTTGCAACCCTGGACCCTGCCCCCCCCTCTGCCTTCACCACCACCAAGAGCTGCGAGTGGGAGACACCTGGCTGCAGGGGGAGTGCCAGCAATGGTGAGACAGAAAAATAAATAAACTGATTAAAAATGTTAAACATTGAGTGAGGAAACTTCTGCAAAAGTGTCTTAATTTTATTTAAGTATCGTTTTGCTTTGCAGCACATGCACCCCAGAGGGAGTCTACTGCCAAGATGTGGACTGCAGAGGTAGGTCCTTATGTTCCCTGTAGTGAGAGAGTGTGCAAAAGTTGGACTAAAGATGAAGAATCAATTAAAGCATTTTAAAATGTAGCCTGATTAGTCTGGTCAGTGTATAGATGGTGCTCCCTGATAGCCTTAAATTCTAAAAACTCAGTTTTAAACATTTCATGTATAAAGCTTTTCAGATTGCCTTTTAATGTTGGTGGTTCTCATGTAAAAAAAAACAACAACAAAAAAAACTACAAAATTTCTCATTTTTTGTTTTTATAAATAGAACCACAGGTTTCCCTCTAAGATTTTTTTTTAACCATGGTGAATTACTATAACGCAGTGCTTTTCAACCCTGGTCCTCAAGGCAAACTGCTCTGCATGTTTTTGATGTTTCTGAGCTTTAGCAAACCTGATTCAGATGATTGCAGTTCAGCAAAGCCTGATAATCTGCTATCAATTGATAACAGTTGTGTGAAAGCTGGGAAACATCTAAAACATGCAGGGCAGGGTGCCTTTAGGACCAGGGTTGAAAAACACTGCTATAACGTCACTGTTGCCAAAACTTTGTTAAGGCACAACAAACCTTAACCTTAGGTTATGAAATAATCTATGATTTTTTTTTGCCTGAATCCACAGAATACATCTAATTTAACCAAACAGACAGTAATCTGAGGCAGACGCATTACTCCAAGGTTCCTTTTTGGTATTCCTGGAGGTTTGATGTCCTGCACCTATCGGACGTGTCTCTGGCCACACACCTCCTCAGCATGTAGTTAGGTCCTCCAAAGTCCTGCTAACGACCTAAATATTTGACTCAGGTGCATTAAAGCTACAGTGTGTAATAATTACAGGGATATACAGTCAGAAATGTAATATATTATACATAACTATGTTATTTATCATCATCTACGAGCTCAGCCTCTTAACCTTAATATTTGCGTTGCCTTAGAATTCGTTATTTATAATTACATAGGAGCGGCTCTCGCAGCCATGGAGGCAGACATCTTTGCGCTACGGCAGCGCAGAGCCAACAAACTAGCGATTGCGAGATCGCCCATTACAATAACATGCTGCGTGATGATGCTGTTACTCTCCAGTATACTTATTCAGCAACGTCCCTGACGTTTCACAGGTAATGATTCAGTAATTTTCTGTAAAATAATTTTCTGGATATATACCTCGGTTACTTCTCTCCGGCTCCTTTGGAGATCTTCAAGCCTTTCCTCCTCTGCTCTAGTCACCCCGCTGGTACCTCTCCCTCGCCTGGCCCTGGCTGCACGCCCACCCCGGCCTCTCTGCCCTCTTCCTCTCCCTCTTCCTCGCCTTGTAACCCCCGTGCCACAAACAAGACTTGGACTCTGTAAACGGGGAATATATATTCTTCCAGCGAACACAATCTCGCTGTTAAACTAATGACTACAATTACTTCGTCTGTTTATATCACCATGCAAAGCAGCTCACCAAAACGTCACAACGACGTAGAAAAAATAACGGGTATATTTATTATCTTAAGTCTACATGAAATCTATACCCTACACAGACTAATGAAATACTATCTGTAAAATTATCTATGTAAACAAACCTCATCACTTGAGAAGGTAGGTGATGCGGACGTCGTGGAAGACATTTTGTCCCGTAACGCTCGCCGTACTGTTGGGGGGGAGAAGCGGTGGGGGGGAGATGTTCATGTTGCTGCGGTCTGCAGTCTGGACGTTAGATGTCGCTGAAAGTTACACACTGTAGCTTTAAAAAAGAGAAATTAATCTCAAAGTTACAGGACAACAGACCTTGAAGAATGTAACTCAGGACGGCTGTTTTGTCTGGAACTTGTGATTCAAATTTGTGGTAATCAGGTAATTATTGTAGTGCAACAGTTTCAGAGGGAAAAAAGACTTAATTAAAAACTATATTTACTATACAGTATATTTATATTAGTGGTGGGCATGGATTATTTTTTAAATGTAGATTAATCTCACTGTAATCTTGGAATTAATCTAGATTAAAATCTCTCATTTGAATTCTGCCAAAGGCATTCATGATGTGTGTGCTACCTCCAGAATTTAAGAGAAAAGGTTTTGTTTTTTTGTGTCTGCAAAATCACACCTAATTTCTTTGTAAGTTATAAATACTTTTTTTGCTAAATTTTTACAGTGTTAGCTGCAAAAAAATAGAGAGTCCCATTTCAAATGATAGATTCCCCATTTTAACAATAGACTGTCTCCAAAAATCTCACACAAACGTTGCCTCAATCAACTTCTCATCTTTCGCAGCTTCCCCCGCGGCGTGCTGGTCATGAATTCTCCTCATGATAGCTCGCCTAGCAGGTAGATTGTAAGATGGGTCACATGTGGCTGACCAGAGCACGAGCTGGAGCCCAGCAGCCATGCTGATGGGCTGGCAGCTTGTGGCTATCCACTGAGCGACGTGCTTGGTTTGCTTGGCTGATAGAGCTGTGCTTATAGCTGCATCCATGTCAGCACGTCACGTTTGATGTGGTTATTTCACAGGAGGCTACAAAGCTTGGAAGACTGATTCCTTCTCACCCCTAGATATACTTCCGGGCTAAAATATCAAGGTGGAAGTATTTTTTTATCATCCGATAAGAGTCTGCTGTTAACATCCCACCACTAGCTTATATCCTGCTTCCTGCACTGGGTCGGGCACTCGTATAAAACGTACATCAATAGGTGGAAAAAAACGCATTATTTAGCAGGTGGAGCACTACCACTGTGCAGCACCCAGGGAGCAGTCTGGGGTCAAGGGTCCTACTCAAGGACCCAGAGTGGCAGTCTGTGGGAGATGAACTCAAACCCTCCAGGACCCAGGCGCCATGCTCTTTTATCGCTAATACAGAAACACTTCTGGTTGCCATTTGTTACCAGGGGGGGATTTACCATTAGGCAATACTAGGCAGTTGCCTAGGGCCCCAAGTTGCTGGGGGCCCCATAAAACTCTGTTTATATGTATGGTTAATACAACTATTACTTATTTGTGCACATTAATTATGTCTTTGATAAACTCCTTTTACTTAAATGCATCAGAACATTGGAACGCTTATAATATTAAGTGTGTCTGAGGACTGGATTATTTACTTTGGCCTTTTTGGAAACACAGGAAGGAGCAATCAGCTAAGTGAGCTTAGTGCTTGGAAAAAATCTTTCATTCCTTTAGAGACAGCATGAAAAGTCAGCTGAGTACAAAACATAGAGAGGAAAACAAGAAGAAAAGGGACAAAACATAGAGCAAACAATGGATGTCTGTTCTATTAACATTTCTCTATCTGTAGAATGGGGCTGTTTTATGTGTTGTCTTCTCAATTCAGAGGGCCCCCTGCCTGTCTTTGCCTAGGGCCCCAAATTTCCTAACTCCGCCCCTGTTTGTTACATTTTACACATTAGTATAACAGAATCATTTTACAAGTTCTTAGTTTTGTCACAGTAACATATTGTCAGAACAATGTGAGATTAAAATCATTTTAAATCTTTTTCTGTAACTTTATTTCTCTGTTTCCAGGTGAGATTGTTACCTTCTGATGGAGCTGCACCCTTGTTAGGTTGTCATATCAACCACTGATCTAATTGTGGTGTTTGCAGTTGATGGTTCCTGGACCCCCTGGTCGGTGTGGTCTGACTGCTCAGTGACCTGTGGTCGGGGCACACATGTTCGAACTCGAGCCTGCATCAACCCCCCACCTCGAAACAACGGCTCTCACTGCAGCGGACCAGAGAGGGAGACACAGAGCTGTCTGACCCCCCCATGTTTGGGTCTGTATGCATTATTTTAACTCATTAATCTCTGAATTTATACCAGTTGGTCAAAAAATGCAGTGTTTTTACTTTCATTTGGATTTCAAATTAAATTGGTATAATTTGGGGGAAATAAGGGACATTAGGCAGCTAAGGAATAACAAAAATTTGAATCTCCATATGTTGACTTTTTCATTCTTTATGTTTTTGTTCAGAGAAAACACATGATTTACATAGAAAAAAAAATGTATTTGAACAAACTTGACTTTTTAAAATCATCTTGGCCAATAAAAGTGTCCTGAATTGTAAAAAATCGACCCGCTGCACAGTTCCATTAGCTGCTCGGCCTTTCTTTGAAATAAGAAAATATTGTCTTAATTTAAAATCTTGGACATTGATCTACAACAGAATTGCATTTTTTATCATAAAAGTTTTTTTTATGTAGTTCAATAATCAGTAAGACGTCGTTGTGTTTTCCCATTAGCTGCCAGAAGGTTTTTCAGTAATAACACATCAGTGTTAGAAATGTAACCAAATAATTTTTTAACAACTATTGATTTTTTGTAATCAACTTTTTTCAGATTTGGCTGTTTATCAAAAAATCACTCTCCTGCACGGTCCAAGTAGCTTTTATCTCATTGTTCCATAACTCAATTTTGTAATATTGTATTGAATTATTCATTCATATTATTTTTTTATAACTTAAATTGTATTATTGAATAAATATTTCTGACCAGTGAAGCTAAATTTCTTTAAACCCAAAATCAGAAATAACTTCCACTTTTTTTATTTTTTATTTTTTATTTGCTCATATTTAGATAATTGTCTGATTTTATCAGCTAATTTTTATACGGTCTCCAACTGCACTTTAGCTCTGAAAAGGATCATGTTCCTCATGTTCTGGATCTTTCCTATATTATGGTATCCTAAGTACCAGAGATGGATGGATGGATGGATGGATGGATGGATGGATGGATGGATGGATGGATGGATGGATGGATGGATGGATGGATGGATGGATGGATGGATGGATGGATGGATGGATAGATGGGTGGGTGCATGAGTGGATGGAGGGAGGGATACACTGGAAAAACGATCTAGAAATAAGTAAAAATGTCTTAAATTAAGTGTATTTACCATTAATATGAGTAGGTAAATGAGACAGTTTTCCAATGGGATGAGTATTTTTACTCTTAAAATAAAATATTTAGCTCATATGCACTTGAAATAAGACAATGCAACTGTGTTTTCTTATTTTTAAGTGTAAATTGTCTTGTTCCATTGGCAAAATGTCTCTTTTACCTCCTCAATCCAAGAACAAATGCACTTATTTTAAGAAAAAATTACTTATCTAGATTTCATTTTTTTCCAGTGTAGGTGGCGTGCATATGGCACTGATGGTAAATGTCATCATCTGTCACACATTGCCCAGATATCTACATTCATTAGAGACTCATCGTATAATGTCAGATTGCTTAAAGTTATGAAAATGTTCTTCTTTTATCCTCTTTAGTAAGACAGATCAGAATAACAGTTTTTGATTAGTTAAATTTAACATCATCATTCGAATATTCGAATAGAAAAAAGATCAAGAAACCGCTGAATCGTCAGCATACATTAAGAGGTTTTTGCTGCCATGCAGCCACTTCTACACAAGTTTAACTGTTTAGAAAGATCAATCATATATTGTGAAATATATGATTGACCCTTAGGGTCCAGATACACATTAAAGGGACGGGAGCTAATTAGCTTCACCCCTCCATCAGTGTAGCGGCTAAAATCCTATATTTTAGGCTACTGGTGGTTGTTGTTGGAAGGCATTGGTTTTACGTGCGCTCAATTAAGATTCAGAATACCGATCTTCCGTTTGACATTAAATAAAGTCAGTTATTTTCAGCACCATATCCATTGTCTTACTGTTTCCTTCAAGATCCACATACATAACCCTAACCCTAACCCTAACCAAGCACAGTAGAAAACTGTTTGCCTCAGCCTATTAACAACACCTGAACAGAATTGATGGTTGACCTTAAATAACCCATCCCCCATAAGACACTCAGAACTCAAAATTAAATACGCCCCCTGGTGGCGACAAAGGACAAAGGATAAATGGCTCCTACAATCTGAGGTGAAAGCTCTAAAATCTTTTAATCTCCTGTTTCTGTTGGTAAATCTTCCCCCAGCTGATAGATGTTTGCAGAGCTCCTGTTTTTATCGTTTACTTTCTTTGACCCTCCAGATGACCTTTGCCCATGGTCGCCATGGTCACCGTGCTCCCGGAGCTGCGGTGCCGGGTCCGTGTTCCGGCGCCGGGTGTGCGTGTGTGAGGAGGAAGGGGACGCCGCGTGCCCCCCTGAGGTTGATGCTGTGAGGAACAGTGAGGAGACCCAGCTGTGCTACCACCAACCATGCCCAGGTAAACACTGGAAGAACCCAACATAACAGAATCAGCTTTAGTTTTCCTTCATTTGGTCACATCATGAATATAAAATAGACTTTATTAAACAGTCTGAGGAAAACCCACAGATGTGTGTGAATGAGCTGCTCTGTTTTCCAGTGTGCCCCATGTCAGCGTGGAGCATTTGGTCCCACTGCTCCTGTGAGACTCAGAGGCAGCAGCGTTATCGTGTAGCTCTCACTTCAGCCACCGGAGGGCAGCAGTGCACTCCTGTAGAAACCCAGAGCCGGGCCTGCACCCTCAGCCAGTGTGAGGGTGAGAACTTCACTTTTACTTTCTTCCCAAACTCTCTCTGAATGATTTTTTGTCTCTGTATTAACCTGCCGGGTCTCCCTGTCTTGTAGCCTGTGAAGCTCCGTTTGTTTACTCGGCATGCGGAGCTCCCTGTGAGAAGCAGTGTGCGCTGATAGGCAACCAGGATCTATGCCTGGGGGTGAGGGAGTGCACACCTGGCTGCTACTGCCCTGAGGTGAACCTCCTGTGTCTGATCTGCCTTATTTCTGCTCTATAATTTCTGTTTGACGCACATACTGATGTATTTGACAAAAAACAACTAAACTAGTTTCAATTACATTAGACTGACTTCTTTATAAACAAACAGGGAAACATATATCTGTAAATAATGCTCAATTATTAGCATCCCAACTTAGAGCTGATCTACTTTGTTTTGCATGTTAGTTTCTACAGTTTATATATATATATATATATATATATAAAAAAAAAAAATTACCCATCTCTTTTTGTTTACATGTATGTCAAACATCAATATTTCTGCGTTAAATCTTGAATGTTTACATTAATAATATATTTGTTCTGAGAAACTTTTTCTCTATAAGCACCACCTCACACTATCATGACATCTTAGAGTACCACCATAATACAGTCCAATAAAATACAGCAATATGTTTCTACTTTACTACAGAAATTGTTTCCAAAGGAAACACAGCTGTTTATTATGTAGAGTTTTTATAGATTTTTATGTTTTTCTTCCAAAGCTTCACAAAATGTTACATTTGAAGTATAAAAATTAAATATATATAGTTCATATTAGTACTTTATCACAACCAAAAAAGATAATCGTTTTTCCAAAATTATTAAAAATGAGGCCGGTGCATGCCCGCCACAGCAGACATAATAAGAGATATTTTAATAATAATTACCTAAGTTATAATTAATACAAATATTGTGAGATCTTGTCAAAGCAGACCACCAACAAATTAGAAAATGTTCATGTGATTAAACACAAATTTGAATTTGAATATTTAAGTTTTTACTCAAAAAAAAAAAAAAAAAAAAACTTAAAAAGAAAAGTTTTATAAGATTTGGTCCAAATGGACTGAGTACGTGAAACCAATTAGATCCGACTTTATTTGATTGTTATTCTGAAATATGTCTTGCCCTCTAATGTCTTTGTGGTTTTTATTACTTGAGGTGGTGCAATCCCCATTACTGTTTAATTCTGTTAATTTTTTGTTATCTTTACAACTAAGTTAGTGATATTCTGTTAAAAATAACAGAAAGGCAACATGGACAAAATCACTTGGACTTTCTGCCTATATCTTTAGTTATAATCTTGAACGCATGAAGCTGTGATTACTGACGTAATGGAAATCTGTCTTTCTAAATAAAAAATTATAAAAAAATAAAAATAAAAAACTTATGGTCCCTACATACCACCAGGGGGCACTATAACACTGTTTGAGAAGAAATGTTCTTAGATAATAGATTGGTAAAATAAGTTTTTCCTTAAACAAAAATGAGAATATTAACACAAAACGGAGGAGAAATAGAAAGATTCAAGTTATATTCCTATAGCCATAAGTGTTTTTATGTAAATTTTTATTTTCATGATTTTCTTCTCAGTGTTTAGATCTACATCATTAAATCAATCAGAAAATTGCAAAGATAGGATAAATAATTTGAGGAAAAGGACGAGTCAAAGACTTGAGGATATATAGGATTTTAGAAGTGTTATTTTCTCACTGCACTGGTAGATTATTGCACTAATTATTCAGTAGAATCATATCAAAAGCTGAATCTCTCAGAATCTGCTGTTGCTTAGTATATCAATATCAAAACAAGATCATATTTCTTTTCTTTTTTTGATAGAGCTAAGATTGTAAGGCTTGGTTGAATTGACAATATTTGCAGTGAAAAGCATCAACTAGAAAAAGGAAATACACTAAGTTCATTTTTGATTTAAGTGTATTTTCCCTTCATTTCAGCAGGTAAGATAATTCAATTGAGTTTATTTTATAGCGCCAATTCACAACTTGTCGTCTCAAGGCACTTTACAGTTCAGCTGATCAAAGTTCTAAGTTTTCTATCTAAGGAAAACCAGTTGATCGACTCATTGACTCTTCAGCAATCCTTCACACTAAGCATGCTTGATAATTTGCAAATATAATAAGATTGAGATTTACATTAAGGAAAAAAACAAATATTATCTTTTTTCAAGTTAGTAATATCTAATAAATCACATTTAAGGGCAGAAATCCTCATTTCATTGTCATATCATCTTATTTACCTGCTCATATTATGGGAAAAGAAACTTTTTCAAGACACTTTTACTTGATTTTAGATCCGTTTTTGCACAAAATGAATTCTAAAAACAAAACTTTCAACATCATAACTAAAAAAAAAGGTTTTTAAAGTAGCATTACTGTTATTTTAAATAATTGTTTTAATTTAAATGTTCAACTTTCTCTTTTTTAAATTGAATTTTACAAATTTAATCCTTTTCAAATTGCGTTTTTCATTTCACATTAGATACTTTCAAGATGAGTTTACCTTTTTGTTAGATTTTGAAGTTTTAACAAAAAAAACAAAAAAACCTCTGTATGAAATGTTAGCTAAAAAAACAAAGGTGCCATTTCCTTTTTTCCTCCCAGGGCTTCCTGCAGAAGAACGGCAGCTGTGTTCCTCAGCAGGACTGCGGCTGCATCTACCTGCAGCACCAGGATTCAGGAGAACCTCCCACACCTTTCACGGTCCCTCAGGGCGCCACCGTCACCATAGACTGCAGCTCCTGGTTAGAGACGACCGCTTAAAGCAACATTTTTGTTTCATTGTGTTGGATTCAACAGTTGAGCACAAAAAGCCAGTTTTATAGATCTGTTCAATTCAGTTTATTTCTATAGCAACAATTCACATCATGTCATCTCAAGGCACTTTACAGTTCACTAACCTGACTCCGCCAGCAGGATTTACTCCGCATATCCATCTGGAAACCTTCCGTTGAAGTAATTTTGGGAAGGGGCGAAAATACTGGTTAGCTGATTGGCCTATGTTGGTGATAGACGGGCCAAATAAACCAATCAGATCAACGAAGCATATGACGTACTAACAGAGCGACGACGAAGAGGAGCCAATTGATAGATCAAACTCTTGCCGAAACCAGTCGGGAGAAGAGCAAAAACATCTTTTCCTTTGAGAAAAGCCTCCAGAGCAGTGTTTTGCTCTTCTTTCAGTGAAGAAATACTCTGTAATTCCGATAAAACTTGCTCGATAGCCACGCTAACGCTAGTTTTATCGGCTGAAGCCGCCATGTTCTTTAGACTGAACTGTCGCGCTTCTCGTTGCGTCACACCTCAACCCGCCTCAAAGCCAACGCTGATTGGACGTTCGTTTGGTGAACGGCTCCAAATTTTCTTCAACGGAGAGTCTCCAGACTGATCTGCGAGTGAAATCTTGAAAGCTCGCGAGATCAGGATGGTCTCACGAGGCTAACAGTTCAACCAGATCATCCAGTCAAATTGATTCAAAGTTTTCTATCTAAGAAAAAAAGCAGCTGATTGCATCGACTCATTGACTCTTCAGCAATCCCTCACACTAAGCATGCATGAAGCGACAGTGGAGAGGAAAAACTCCCTTTTAACAGGAAGAAACCTCCAGCAGAACCAGGCTCAGTGTGAGCGGCCATCTGCTGAGGCCGACTGGGGTTCAAGGAGACAGAAGCAGACATAGAAAAAGCAGCTGTAAAAGGCGGTTCTGTCCAGGAAACCAGGCAGACGAACTCCTAAATCCCATGTTCTCTGTTCTACTAGATCAGTGACGTTTTAGCCTGCAGGTTTTCTGACGTCTCTTTTTATCATTTTCTGTCTCCCAGCCTTTGTCATGATGGGACTTTACACTGTGACAGCAGAGAGTGTGACGGTAAGAGTAGAGAGGAAACAGTTGATCCTTCCGATTCCTCTGCCCTCCGACCCTGACCCGATTCCTCCCCTTTCAGTAATCCTCAGCGAGTGGTCAGAGTGGACCGCCTGCTCTCCGTGCATTCCCCAAAACTCCCTGGAAGGGCAGAGCAACAGCAGTGAAATGGTCTCCATCCAGAGACGTTTCCGGGCCTGTTTGGACGTAGATTCTGGTCTTCCTGTCAGAGGCGAGGAGGGGAGCCAATGTCCTGGACCGTTGGTGGAGGAGAGGCGGTGTTCAGATGCCAGTGTCTTTAGAGGTGATGGTATTCTCTCAACAGGACATCTTTTATTGCAGACACATTTATTTATTTTTCTGCGATGCCAGATCTTTTTTTAACTCTACATTGAAGGAAAAAAAGGTTGTTTTTTTTTCTCCATCTGACTTCTCCTCAGCAGGATGCAGCAGTCTGACACTTAGCTCACTTCAAAAAGGCTTCCTGTTGATGACTTTGTAAACGTGATGGAGTCTGACAAGCATAACACCCAGAAAAATAGAATTTCATGAAGAGAAAGTGTTGTTTAAAAGCAGCGGTTTGTTTCTGTTGTGTGAAACAAAGCTGTGTTTTTGATCTCAGCTTCCAACAAAGGCACTTAAAAATCCTTCCTTAGAGAGGCGTTAAGGTTCCAATATAATAAAACAGATGCAGCATCAAGGTTTAAATCCATGCAGAGATTTAAAGATTAATTGGTTTAGTTTGTAGAAATGATTCCTGTTAATTTCCTTGCAAAGTCTTTATGTTTATCTCTTGTTGGACTTAAACTTTTGGTCACTTAAATATTCATTCTGAATTTTTTTTGACTGAAAGTCTACAAATAAGCTTTGCATTATGATCAGTGCAGTAAATATATCTGGACCTAAATCACATGTTGTCAGCATAAAGACCCTAAAATCATTTATCCAGATTGTTTTATGAAGAGCCGTTCATTACAGATTCAAGCCTTTTGGCGTTTCTCTCTACAAGCTTTAAAGCAAAAGTCCGGTCAGCAAGGAATGATCCATGGATCATTATTTATACCTAAAACTAATATGTTCGCGGCGCTTTATTAATTATTATTTAGTGTTAATCAGTAAAGAAATAAAAACAATAAATTCCGCCACGATCACTGAGTCGGGAAGCGGCCATTTTGACCCAAATATAGTAACCCCTCCCTCCTGCCATCTTCCAGCAGTGACGTCACGGTGCGGTTAGCCTAGCGCCATTCTCCCCGCTTTACAAGCTAAATCAATGGGAACTACTAGACACATCTGCAATCAACAACAATTATTGAAGATTTCCAGAGGACTTCACCATTGAAATTCACAAGAGCTATAGTGAAACTGACAATGCCCACGTGCATGGCAGCTGGATGCTGGAATACATCGCGTAAAAGTGGAAAAAAAAAAGTGATATTTCACCTTTCCGATTTATGATCCTGTCAGGATTTGGTTGAGGTTTGTGGACCCAAATGCAGAGGAAGGGAGGCTGAGGAGAGTTTCTTGATGATTTAATGAAGAGTAAACAAACAACTGAGGCAGGAATCCAAAATCCAAAAAATCAAAACAAAAACAAAGTCAAACAAACACGAAACTATGGAGACATCTGGGGAAAAACAATCACGAGGAGGAGGACTAAGAGAGACGGAGTTGGAGGAAGTTAGACGTGGAACCAGCACTGAGAAACTGAACAGAGAGGGTATTTATGGGAGACTGAAACAAAGAGAGGACTATGGAGCAGATTGGGAGCAGGTGTGAACAGAGCAGAACAGGAAAAGAGCTAGGGAAAAAGAAGACCACAAGAGGGCAGCAGAGGGCAATAAATAAAAACATGAAAACTGAAAATAACCAAAAAACACAACAAAATAAGAAAAATTTTCTAAAAATAGAAAACAAGCAGCAAAGTAAAACTTCAATCCTTCATGGACGGATTCGTCGCTGGATTGCCAACTTGAAGAGGACACCAGTGTACTTTGCATAGTGCACTGGTCGTAACCATCATGTAAAATAGCACATTGTGACAAACACCAGATACAGCACTGGGACTTGATCAACACCCAATACCGCACCGTGACGTCACAAACCAGTAGGTGGCAGTAGTGTTCTTTGACAAACATGGATGCCTCCAGGAAAGCACATTCAAATGAAAATTACTCTTAATTAAAAACACTGATCATTTATTGAACAGGATGGAATCATTTCATACTTAAAGTACTTTTAGAAGTTTGTATTTTTTTTTCCTTTAAACATCTCTAGTTTCTGCTTTTTTACATTCTAAAACATACATATGCTGGGATCTAAATTATTCGATCATAGCTCAATATCCAGCGGGAAAATTAACTCCTACCCTAGTTTGGGGTCTTTTGCAACCTCAACCACCTATCCTTTTAAATCATTTAAAAAAAGAATAGATCGATTAATTGATCACTGAAGTAATCGACAAGTGAAATCATAGTTTTATTTTGGTTAAATGCTTGAAAAGTTCAGTTTAGGCAACTGGACTGAAGTTTCCTAGAAGGCGTTTCATCTCTCATCTCAGAGGCCTCTTCAGTTCCAAATGGACCTTTAAAACATGTAAAAAAAAAAGCACTGATTAATGGCTTTATTCAAGCTAGATGTATTGAATGTGTTTTTGGTAAATCTGAACCAGTTCATATAATGCAAACTATTACTGCTGGGATGATGAGCTGCATTTACGCTCCAGCTTCCACAGCAGCAGTTATGTCTGATATTGCAGAGGGTGTAATTAGGCTCCAAACAGGGCTCATTAATGGGTGTTTTGTTCCAGATCTGTGCAACTGGAGCGCGTGGAGTGTTTGGACGGCCTGTGCACAGCCATGCAGCGGTGGAGTCAGGCAGCGCTACAGACGACCCCTGGCCTCTCCTGCAGGGCCTCGTTGTAAGAGTCAGCAGACGCAGAGTCAGAGCTGCAACACTGGACTATGTCCTGGTACGGTTGCTTTATTCTTTTATCTTCTCCACCTGAAAAGTTTTACTCAATACTCTACTTTCACTCTTTTAAAAAATACACTTCAGGTATAATCTTGTTCTTTAAAAGCTTATGTGCATCAAAACTTGCCAAATTAATATAAATGCAAAAGCAGAAAATAAAACATCAGTTCAATCTGAAAAACTCACATGAAGAGAAAAGACAATTAGAAGAAATGTATATATGCAATTACTTTGTCTTTGGCACTCAGACTTCAGCAGGAAACTTAGCGCTGAATATTGATAGATATGCATGAACAGGAGCAGAGAACAGGGCTGTTTCCCCCCAGGTCTGAAACTGGTGGTGGAGTGGCTATAGATGAAGGTAGTCAGTCTGTAGACTGCTGGTTAGCGAGACGGTCTGCTGAGCTTTATGGGGAGATCCAGTGGACTGCGTCATCTGATACTAGAGCTTCACTCAGGGACCTGGAAGATGGAAGTCCAGTTGGATAACACAGGTGGAGAGAACCTGTCCAAGATGAACAAGCATGGAGCCACAGTGGAGAGGAAAAACTACCCTTTGAGAAGAAACCTCTGGCAGAACCAGGCTCAAAATGGCGGTCTTTTGCTGGACCGGTTGAAATGAGACGCAGATTGCAGTAAGAGTACATTCCTTTTGATTTCAAGCTTATGTATTTAGGCATAATTCCTCAAGACGCCACAAAAAGAAACAAATATTTGATGACTATTTTATTAACGGCAAGCAAGAAAAACATTACAAGAAAATGGTTGTCACATGACAAACCAACATTAGATGACTGGCTTAACATAACATTTAACATATATGAAATGGGAAAAATAACTCAATCACAGAACTGAAAAATTTAATCAGCGTTGGAGGATTTGGGTAGATTATGTAAAACCTAAAAGACCTGATTTAATCTTTAAAGACCAAACTTATTAAATCTCCTGGACAATCCACTCTCCTATGATAGCCATACCTTAGAGTTATTCTATATTATATTTTTTGTTGCTGTATTTCCTTTTCTTCCTTAATTATTTTATTTTTTATTTTATTTATTTATTTTTTCCCTTAGTTTCTCCCTTCATATTTTTTTTTTCCTTTATGATTACTGTATAATCTTTCTCAGAGAAGTATAGTTATATTTTTGATTTGACTGTTATAAGGCAATGGTCTACATGTGAATCTTATTTCAAATGTGAAAGTTAGTTTGGTGATGCCTAATGCCATGTAAATGATACACTCTCGAGAATCAATAAAGATATAATAAAAAAAAAAAGAATGCAGTAAGAGTCCGGGAGGAATGACGCTCTGATGAAGCTTTAGCTACGATGGTGGAGGAGGGGCTGGAGGGGGGTTGAAATGGTGTCATCTGAATGAAGTCACAGCGCATCCATAGCCTGCACACTAGGTAGCAGCATATTGGAGGCCTTTTAAGATGAACTTTGGATGCTGATTGGCTTTCATGTAGGCGCGGTTCAAAGTTGATTGGCTGTGTCGTAGGCGAATGAAGGCGAATAATTAGTTTATTCAGTTGAACTTCCGTCAAGGCTCCATTTAAAAACTACTTTATTGATCCTAAATGAAATTCACTGTTGTAACTCCTACAGTATAAGGTTTTTCTCAACGAGTTGTTGTAGATGTTGATGCCTGTGGGCAGGAAGGATCTCCTGTAGTGATCCGTCATACAGGACTGAAGAAGACACTCTGTTCGACAGTCTTATGAAGAGGATGTTCAAACAGCTTTCACCTCTCTGTCTTCTGTAGATGGAAGGGAGGGAGGGGGAGGCAAAGGGAGCAACAACATCTTTAGTTGAAAATGAACATATAGAAGATGGGAGGTGAAGGATAAAGCCTGGACTGTAACGTACAGGATATTGGACGCAGGAAACAGCTCAGACAGGTCAGTGGAATGCAACAGATTTTATTAGTAATGCGAGGCGCAGGGAGCGTGCAGGTGGCTCTCATTCAGGAAATCCCCTGTGGCGGAGACAACAGGTTAGTGATCAGCAATAGCAGAACTAGAGAGGGACTGAGGCTGAATCACTAACCTTTTAATGGGTCCCAGAGTGGGCGACTGGCACCGTTTTGGGTCCGGGGCAGGAGTCCGTACGATGAAGGGGCTTGTGAAAGCGGTGGCCGTTGAGCGGCGGATGGTTAGCTGAGGACTGAGGCCGATGAGCTCCAGAGACAGTTCGTTTATAGATTCAGAGATGGGGTCCAAGCGAAGGTACAGAGAGGCAATCCAGAAGAGAGGTCCAGGTCCGTTCGAGTGTCCGTTTACTGGCAGGTTGAGAGAAGCAAAACAGTTAGGCAGACTCGGTTACTCACTGACTGAGTGGGGTTCAGGCTCAGAGGCAGGCAATCCAAGGCAGAACTGATGCAGGGGTCCAGAGGCGGATCTGGTTTGGATTCAGGGCAGGCAGACAGGATCAGATAAGGGATCAGGCAGGCTCGGTGAAAAAAGGCAAAAACAGGTCAGGTAACAGGTAGGCAGGCAAAATATAGAAAAGCTGGATAGTAATCAATAGTTGGTTTGAGACGATCTGGCACTGGGAACAGATCCAAATGAGCTATATATAGAGGTGGGACCAATTAGTGATAATAGCAGGCAGGGTGGAGTTAGCAGGTGTGAGGAGTTGGAGATTAAGCCAGCACCAGTGCCGAGATCGTCACATGGACAGTGGAGAGGAAGGGGCTTCGGAACTGAAGCTAATGAGGAAGGCGTGTGAATCCTAACAATCATCTAGTTGTAAGGCTAATTTTAAACTTGAACGATGAGGAAAACAACTCAAATGCATGTTTAAGAACCTTGTTTGAGTATGAGCTGCATTTAAACCTGGAATATAAGGAGAAGAAACGTTAAGGGCTGAAAATGAAAATCAGTTTACTAGAATGAATTTCAAAATTATAAACCAGTATTTTAAACCTTGTGTACAGCTCAAATATTTTCCAAGTGGCGTAGGACTCAATCGCCTGAATTTACTCCAGGATCAAAGAGTCAAACTATGCAAAACAATATATTCACATTCACTGTGACAATTTTTCCAGGGAAGAGATTCCTGACAGAAATCCATTTGGAACTTGGAGTGTAAAAATATATCCTCTGTACATTTCCTGGGCATTGAACATTGTTCTCTTCCCAACTAGACTTAAAGGATAGTGTCAGCACTTCCAACAGTAATGTAATTTCTCCTTTAAATTTTGTTACAATAATAAGACTAATATCACTACTATAGCAAACAGTTACTCTAAATTAAATTATTTAAATCCTTTCTTTAACATCAGCATTATTGGGGAATGTTCCTCTGCACCTCCAGAGCTTTAAGCTGTGATGAACAATTACATTTTTAAGTTTGTCTGTGTGCAAAATATTCCAGAGCAGAGATTTATCTCCTTTGTCTTTAAATCTGTTTTTTAGCTCCATTTTAAATGAGCTTATGATTTGTTTAAATGCATATATTTGCTTTCTACAAGCAAATTATTGCATCCCTGCTGTTGTCATGGATACCCTCATTAAAATGAGGCACTGAGGCCAATATGGCTGGTAACAATATTACACCAGTTTAGTCATAAATGAAATAACAGGCTGGAGTCACCATGCATGCACATTAGCCCACAGCATTGTGGCTTGATGGTTCATTTCACAGAAGGTGCAGTCACTCATGGCTTCGTCATGTTGTGACAATATCTGTACCCAGGGAATCTTTTTATTCTTTTATTTCTTTAGAACCAACTGGTGCTGCTCAAAAAGCACTAGTTGAATATTTTTTTTGTAATATGTCATATTTTAAGACTGTACTTTTTTATCTTGGACTCTGGGTTTATAAGAAAAAGCTCCTATCCCTTCGATTTAAGTTTACAGCGTTAAAAGCAAAACATCTTAGAAAATTAAACAATAGATAAACATTATAATAAAAAAACAGGACAAATGTAATGTTATTGGTAAATGAAAACATCAAAATATGAAGTGTCTGTCAAAAGGAGCAATCAACAAAATCCTGATAAACAAACATTGTGATGTTCTTTTTTTAAGGGATCTGACCCACATGCAGGAAACCACTCAGAGAACCAGAGAAAAGGTTTTAACATGTTTATTGTAAGCACGATGAGTTGGATCCAGTGTTACTGAGAACGCTGGTGAACCAGAACTGGAAGTGAGAAGGAAAGTTCAGAGTTTAGTTCAGGCTCAGTGGGAAACTTGAGCGACGACTTGCAAAAACAAAGACTGAAACGGGACTCACATTTCCAGAAAAAAGGTGTCCTCTCCAGAATCCAGTCGGTGTGGGTTATTCCAGAATTTGGTTGACTCGTTGGAGGGCGGACAGAATTTACTCGAGTTTGGTTGGTGCCTTGAGGTGCAATGGAGCTGACTGCGACTGAAATTTCCTGAAGTACTTGAATGGTTTGCGTGGAGATTTATCCCCTGCTCTGTGTGAAGCTCAAACGATCCTTCCAGGGGGAGAAGGTCCAAACATCCAGTTTGCAGGATGACTTCCTGCCGAGAGGCAAAGACAAAAAAAACAAGGTTAGGCTCAGGGAGAAAAGACTCAGATAGACTCTGCTAAACTCAGCTTGGCTAGAGTACCCAAAACTGGCAAACACTCTGGCGTCGAGGTAGTGGCAGTCAGCTGCTTAAGAGTCCTCAGATAATGAGGCAACCATCTACAGGTGTCTGGAAGGGCCAACGAGAACCGGGCGCCACCTGGTGGTGGAGGGAGAAAACACAAACAAAACACAACCCACACAAACTGGATTCCTAACAAACACGTCTCCCACTACAAAAGTTAAGTATTTGTATAATATACATATATATTTAAAGTAAGTCTTCCTCATCCGCCGCGGGTGGTCTCCCTTTTTTCCCAAACTGGGGTCATCTATCAGAGGCCTGGGATCTTGACATTCCTGCTCAGTATCTTTGTTGTCCCTAGAACTCCACTCCTCTGGACCGAGATGTCTGATGTATCTCCAGGGATCTGCTATAACCACTCTTCCAGTTTGGGGGTCACTGCCTTGAGGACCCCAATGACCATGGGTACCACTTATGCCTTGTCCTCCAGGCTCTTCTTTGAGCTTCTGGTGTTTCTCTAGTTTCTCGTGTTCTTTTGTTGCTGATGTTGCCGTCGCTTGGTATTACTATGTCAACCACAATGGCTTTCCTCTGCTTTATGTCACCACCGCAATGTCGGGTTGGTTTGCCATTACCGTTCGGTCCGTCTGTATCTGGAAGTCCCAGAGTATCTTGGCTTGATCATCTCTACCATCTTTGGAGGTGTTTTCCACTATGATCTTGGGGTTTCCAGCCAATACTCTGCACAGATGTTCCTGTACACTATTCCAGCCACTTGGTTATGGTTTCCCGGCCAGCATCTAACACCCTGCAGTTATGTGCTGGATTGTCTCAGTTAAGTTAGTTAAGTATAAACCAGTATTAGTTACTTCCAACACTGCCATCAGTGTCTTTTCTAGTTATGGTGGCTCAAAAATGGTTCCTGACTAAGTTCAACAGCTTCTAATCAGCACTTGATGTAAGTACGGCATATGTGAAGATGGAAAAAACACAACTTTAAATATTACCAATTGTTTTTTAGTTTCTACAGTAGTAGGCCTGCATGAATAACAGCATTATTTGCCACCAGGCAGAACATTTGGTGGGCTTTGTTCATCAATGAGACATTTAGAGTTTGCAGACGGAGATCTGTGGGTTAAGCTATTTCAGTCAGACTGTGGGGCAGCTGTTCTATTCAGCTCAACTGTTCTCCAGCAGGGAAAATGTTTATCAGTTAAAAGACTAACAGAAACGTCAAACAAAAAGGCCTGTTTAGTGATGTGCTGAACAGTATGGAAACAAATCAAAACATGCTTTTTGTCTTTTGCAGATCAAAAATCTCTTGGTGATCAAATTTCAATAGAATTTAAATGGATTATCTCTAAAAGAGACTGGATAGTCTCTTTTAGCTGTTAAAGATTGGCCTGATAAAATAAATATAAGTTGATTCTGATTACTCTTTTAGATACCCTAAAAAAGGAAATATACATACGACAGTCAGAGCATTTTCTGTCCTTCCTGCTGCTAGCAAACATAATTTCCATCCATTTTGGAGCAAAAGTGACCAGAGTGACAGAGCAGATCCTGTAACAGGGTTTTACTATTTTAAAACTGATGCTGCGTTCACACCGGACGCAGCAGGCGCGGCAGAAGCAGCTAGTTTACATGAAAAGTCAATGGTTGACGCACGTCAAGGCGCAGCAAAATGTCCAGCAGCCCGTTTTGAGCAGCAGGTGCAATGCGTCGGGCGCGTTTAAGCATCTAACGCGCCGCAAACGCTCTGCTGCTCGAGATGGAAAAACTGAACTTTTGCTGCTCGACGCGCCGCGTCAACCAATCAGAGAAGCTGATCTGGGAGCTGGCAGAGAGACAGACACATCGCTGATAACACAGAGCGCTGTGATCACTCCTCTGAAACAGTTTATTGACGCATAAATTAACTTAAAATGCAGAAATCTGCCGGCAGAATATGTTGGCTTTTATTATCCTGCTGCCTGCAGTTTGGATTATTTAGATGAAAAACCCCTACCAGCCGCCGCGGTGAACCGCGAGGAGGCGACTTGGCCAGAGGCTGCTATTGAATGGGATTCCTACTGTCGGCGCACCGCTGTAAGTGGGGATCTGAGCGGCTCCCACAGAACTAATATTGGAAGGCAGGATGGTAATCTGGATGAACTGACTGCACTGATTAAGTTTTCAGGTGGACTTTCTCACTTAAAAACATATTAAAACTACTTTATTCCCACTGATCACAGCAAATATAGCTGCAGGGCAAAGAAAGTGTGTCTGATGCCCAACGCGCGTCAGACACACTTTTGCACCGCGCAGCCAGAGCAGTAAAGCTGCTTCAGCCGCGCGTCAGAACTAAACTGGTACAAGCAGCAAAAAGGAAGCAGCAGACGCGATTTTACTGCTCCTGCTGCATCCGGTCTGAACATAGCATGATGCTACGTTCAGACCGCAAGCAGCAGGCGCAGCAAAAATGTGCGTGCTGCTTCATTTTTTATGCTTGTACAAGTTTAGTTCTGACGCGCAGCTTTGCTGCTCTAGCTGCACGGTCGAAAAGTGGTTCTGATGCGCGTTGGGCGGAGCTACTCTATCCTTTCTTTGCCCTGCAGCTATATTTGCTGTGATCAGTGGGAATAAAGTAGTTTTAATATGTTTTTAAGTGAGAAAGTCCACCTGAAGTCTTCACCTGTGCAGTCAGTTCATCCAGATTACAATTCTGTCTTCAAATAGTATTTCCCTATCAGTGCCGCTCAGACCCCAACATACAGGCGGTATGTCACTGGGAATCCCATTGAACAGCAGCCTCAGGCCCGGTCGCCTCTTTGTGGTTTGCCGCGGAGGCTGGAAGATGGTTTTCATGTACGTAATCCAAACTGCAACCATGAGGATAATAAAAGTGAACATGTTTTAAGTTAATTTAGGTGGGGTGAGCTATTGACTTACACAAATTGGGTTTCTGCAGAGTTGTTTCAATTTTGAAAGGTAGTAGGTTATGTCTGTAAGCCTTTTAGGACGCACTGAAAACACATTAAAAACCAAAACTAAACGCATTGGTTTATTTACAAATGCTGTGTGGTGAAGACCAGGATCTGGACCCACCTGCTGGCTAATCCGGACCCAACCTGATTTAAAACATTTATAAATTACGGCATATTGTCTGACGACAGTGTCTAAACATCACTTGCGTCGCTTCCCCTGTTACCCCGAAATCCCACATCCTCCATCTCCGCTCCGCCCCCGCAGCGCTTCAGACCGCCTGCGCAAAGCAAAGCCTACAGCCTCCGCTGTTTCTCCCATCTTGCTGCGGTCCGAGTTCCTCGGAGCTCGGGGAGAGCATCTGTGATATTATCATTAAATACGTAGGAGCAAAACATGCGGAAATGAACGCTTAATTTAATATGACATATTAAAAAACATCCCCATCAGCATCCGGCATAGGTGCGGTTTCTGATGGGTATGAGAAATCTGCTTCTTGGTATGTTGAAGTACCAATAGTTTGCATCCAATCAATAAACGGCGTTAATTAACTGTTTCAGAGGAGTGACCATAGTTCTGCTGCTCCTGCTGCTCAAAACGAGCTGCTGGACGTTTTACTGCACCTTGATGCGCGTCAAGCATTGACTTTGCATGTGAACTAGCTGCTCCTGCTGCCTCTGCTGCTTTAGGTGTGAACGTAGCATAAGACAAAATTATGACAAAGTTTAAATGTTTTTCTGTTAACACTCCTTTGTGTTGTTATTCAGGTTAATAAAGAAGTTGGTTCGATCAGAATGATCTGATCTTTGGCTTAACTTTGGGGTTGTTGCTCTTATCCTTCCAGGAATCTTAAAACAGTTGCCTATTTGTCATGTTGTTCTAAAACGATGAAAGATGATGAAGTTCTTGGCTTGTCGCAGGTGAGCGCTGTGAGGACAGAGAGCGGATCTACCAGGACAGCTGTGCTAACCAGTGTCCTCGGAGCTGTGCAGACTTGTGGGAACATGTTCAGTGTCTGCAAGGAAACTGTCACCCAGGTGGACATCATCAATCAATGCTGACCTGATCCTAACAACAGGGTACAGTTATAAGTTTCACTGATTCTTCGTCATGTTTCGTCTTTCTCAGGCTGTCGGTGTCCGGATGGAGAGCTGCTGCAGGACAGCCGCTGCGTACCGGTGACAGAGTGTCGCTGTGGGATCCCATCAGGGAACGGGACGTTAGAGTTCAGCCCTAAAGAGGAGCTAATTGTTGAATGTAACACTTGGTGAGGGCAGTTTAAGCAGAAACTGCTTTTAGGGTACTGTATTTCCTTTTTTTAAGTTTTCAATACAACATTTTTAACTTTTCAATTCTTCCAAACCTCTGTATTGGCAGTGTGTGTGAAAATGGCAGCCTGGTGTGCACCACGCGTCCCTGCCCGGTTTACGAGCCCTGGAGCCCGTGGAGTTCCTGCTCCGTCTCCTGTGGACACGGACACAGAACACGGACACGCAGCTGCCAGGACACGGAGGGCGGCCCCCCCTGTGCTAACACCACCCAGACAGAGAGCTGTGATCTACCATCTTGTCCAGGTCTGTAAATTAAAAGTCCCACACTCTCATGATTCACCACTGGTGTTGGAGCGAGCTGCTTCAACCTGATCCGCTGTTCCTGCAGAGGGCTGTTTGGTGAGTGAGTGGTCGTCCTGGAGCGAGTGCAGCACCACGTGCGGCGGAGGCGTGACAATGCGAAACAAGACGATCCTTCAAGAACCAGAGCCCGGTGGGGCAGAGTGTGTTGGACCTCTGAAACAGCACAGCATCTGTAACACCAACCGCTGCCTGCCTGGTAACACAACTACACTGAGACTGGAATGGAAAACATTTAGCAATGAACTGTATGAGACACTGTCAATACAAATGCATGTGTTCGGATTCAGAAATTCATTCAGAAATAACTTCAGATGTTTCATCTGTAAGGACTAAGTAATTACAAGGATACAACTTTGCATTAATGCAAGTAAAGTTCATAAATTCAAGAATATGAAAGGAATTAATGAGGATGAATCTAGAATCCTTAATGAAGCTGTTACACTTTTCACCAGTCGGTGGCAGTATTGCACCTGAAGGTTGTTCTCCATCCAATAAGAACCATTTAAAGGAATAGTACACCCAAAACATGATTAGCCTTCATTTTCTACTCACCCCCATGCTGAACAACACTCTGGAGTACTTTTTTGATATCTCAAATGCATCTGGAGATCTGGGAGGCTTCTTGCTGTCTGCTGACATTTAAATAATGGAGGTCTATGGCGCCCGAGGCAGAAAAGTCCATAAAAGTCCACAAAAAACGTGTCAATATTCCTCCATACTGCTCGTCCAATGTATTCCAAGTGTCCTGAGTGGGTAGCATCCAGAATTTACTCGAAACAAAGTCATTTAGAATGTTTTTAGAGCATAAACAGTAGTGTATAGGATTTCCTGAAAGCGCGCGCCTGCGAGTTCACGAGTCTACGGAAACCGCGGCAGACCAAACCAGATGAAAGTGCGCATTCAGCGTCTGCTCTGCCGATAATGCAAGCGTAGAAGAAGAAATGTGCTGTTTACCTGTGCAAAGAAAGAAACAACGAAAGAAAAATGTCTGAGGACTTCAGTGTTGAGGAAGAGCATGAGTTCTTTGCCGAGCTGAATGCGCTGGTTTGGTCTGCCGGCTTCCGTAGCGTCGTGATCGCGCAGGTGCGCGCTTTCAGGAAATACTATACACTACTGTTTATGCTCTAAAAACATTCTAAATGACTTCGTTTCGAGTAAATTATGGACGCTACCCACTCAGGACACTTGGAATACATTGGACGAGCAGTATGGAGGAATATTGACACGTTTTTTGTGGACTTTTATGGACCTTTCTGTCTCAGGCACCATGGACCTCCATTATTTGAATGTCAGCAGACAGCAAGAAGCCTCCCAGATCTCCAGATGCATTTGAGATATCAAAAAAGTACTCCAGAGTGTTGTTCAGCATGGGGGTGAGTAGAAAATGAAGGCTAATCATGTTTTGGGTGTACTATTCCTTTAAGTAATATGGCCGTGGGAACCTCACGGATGCGTCGAGCATAAACCAAGCTTTAAGGCCATCCTAAACCATGTAGTGGGTAGGGCGAGTCCAAATGTGGCCCTCAGATCATTAGTCTGCATAACTGCAGATGTAACGGTGTAACGGCGACCCAATGGCGGAGGAAACACGTACGTTTAGTTTTAAGTTCCACTAATTTCCACTAATTAGCTGCATCTTTGTCACACTGACAGAAAATAACTAATTAGGAAAAAGAAAACAGACGTCATTAATTCCAAAAGGGAAGGTCCTCTATGAACAACTTATATTCGACTATATAAATATATTTTTAAGAAATAAACAAATGTTTGATTTCCTGTGAAGCTGTGGCTCAGAAGTTTTATACTACACCAGCGCTGAAAACAACTATATAGCAAAGACATGTTGACAGGTCCTCTTCTTCCTGTTTAAAGTAAATGTATTTTTACTGGATTCTTTAGACTGTAAAAAGGGAAAAATAAGTTTTCTTTTCAAATAAATATAATTACACTTTATTTTCATTGGTACTCTACGTAGAATGATCTATAGGTGGAATAAGATTTCTATATTTACATTAGGAAAAAACCTTGCCATAATCTCAAAAAAAATGCTTTATATATAATTATCTGTTTTAGCGGCTAAAACAATCATTCCAAAGACAGATAATTTGACTAATCTGCTAAAAAAAAAAGCCAATTATACTAATTTCAAGAAATGTATCGTATATTTAGATCAGTTTTGCAGTAGGTGAAGGACCAATAAGGATTCACATATTTTTTAATGTCAAGGGTGATCATTTTTGAATTTGAATTTTTTTTTTATTAAGAATTAAACTGGAAGGAAGCAACCTGCTTTCATGTTTCCTAACCTGTAGAAAAGGTCAACTCACCCTGAACTTGTTGTTGTCACGATTTGGTTTTAAGTAGTGATGTTATGAGATGAGCCGAGGCTTCGAGGCGTGTGTCGAGTAATGGAGGGGGCGTTTCCCCGAAGCGCGTGTTGAGGCGTGATTCATTTAGAGGAGGGGCCAAAATGGATGACGGCCGAGGCCTCGCTACCGTGATACCATGTGACCGCTTCGTTAAGTGGTTTGGGAAGCGCAAGAATTTTGACAGGCATCTAAACAGCCTCAGTGTTCAGTCAAGATGTGGGAGTTTGGAGGAGAGTTTCTGTCAGCTGGATGGAATTTGGATAGATTCTAAGAATAAATTTGTTGTTTTTCCAACCAATCTAGTTGCTTAAAGCTAATTTGGTTTGAATAAACAATGTAATTATAAAAATTTGAGCAAACCACCGGACAAAGCCAGTGTTAATACATCAGTGTTAAGTATTTTCTCCCAGTTCAGACTATCTACATGAGTGGCGTCTGTAAGAGACAGGTTCTCACTCTAGAGGTTGATGGTTCAAGTCCTGTCTTTGTCTTTTGAAAGTTGGGATTACACTTAATATTTTGGCTGATGAGACTAATTTGCATTGTTTTGCCCCAGTAAAAATATAGATTGGGTCGGTTTAGCAAAAAGATTAGTTGAACACAACTTCCACCCTGATTAAAACCAAAAAACGTGGAAAAACTATCATGTTTGAATAAAAATGACTAACACCTTTCATTTGGCTCATCATTGCCCAATTTGTGCAAACACTTTCACTGTCTGCTTGAGTTTATTTCACTAAAATGACAGAAAAACGGTGCGCCTTAAATGATTGTTCTAAGAAATTTTACACTTAAAAAAAAACTTACAAAAGATTTTATTATACACACCAACCATTAACAATTTCAAGGGAACTTTAAAGGGGAAGAAAAAGAAAAACAGATTTTATTTCAAACTGTAGTTCTGCTGTCCACCAGTAGGTGGTGAAATGTTCACATGAAGCCTCATGAACTGTGGGGATCGTTGAAGCAATTTGGCCAAACGGTTCAATGCCTCATGAGGCTTCATCTCACCATCACTAGTTTTAAGGTTTTTGTTAGGACCCAAAAGCAGAAGCTGAGAGGCAGGGGGTGAGATCTTGGAAGGTTTAATGAAAAATCAGGCAGCAAAAACAGGAATCCAAAAATCCAACTTAAGAATTGAACACTAACCAGGACCATGGAGACATCAGGGGAAAAGTCATGAGGAGCCAGGGTAGGATGAAATAAGACGAGGAACCAGCAAAGAGGGACTGCAGAGGGAGTGTATTTATGGCTGACTGAACAAAGGTAGGGCTAATGACCTGATAGGGAGCAGGTGTGAGCAGAGCTGAGGAGGAAGCCAAGGGAAAAGAACACAAGGGGCCAGCAGAGGACAGACAGAAAAACCTAAGCAACTTAAATGAATCCAGACAACAACAAAGCTAGAAAACAAGGAAAAACCTGAAACTGAAAACTTAGAGAAAAACAACAGAACCAAGATCGTTACAGTTGTATCCACTGTGAAACACAGAGGTGGTAGCATCATGCTGTGGGGATGTTTATGCTGATCTTTTCAAATAGATATAATGATTCACAATAAAATAGTGTGAATCTTTCTCCAAGGCTTCTCCATCCGGTTATAAACAACTAAACTCAGCTACACTTGCTGTCCTGTTTTGTGCGTTGCAGAGTGTCCCAGCAGGCAGGTGTTCACCAACTGTTCAGCTTCTTGTCCTTACACATGCGAGGACCTGTGGCCACACACCCAGTGTTTACCTGCACCCTGCTCTCCAGGCTGTTCCTGTCCTCCTGGGCAGGTGTGGACATCCCTCTCTTTGTGTGTTTTATCCAACTCCTTTGTCTCCGTCTGCAGCCGTCTCACTGTGTCCTCCGTAGGTCTTGTACGAAGGCTCCTGTGTGCCTCACACTGACTGCCCCTGTTCATCACTGTCTCTGCCGACTGAGTTCCAGAGCGGGAACATGAGCAGTGAGGTTGTCCTGCAGCCTGGAACCTCCATTCAGCACCAGTGCAACACATGGTAAGCTAATTGTTTTAAAACAAGGATATAACAGCGTTCCAAAAAGGAACCTTTACAGTCACGTGAAAAAATTAAGACACTATTAAATATAAAGATTATTGTTCACACCTTCATGTTGGATTTCTTTTTATCTATGAAAGAAAATAAATCCATTTAAATCCTTTATGTTTTATCACTTGTCTCTGACGGAAATAGGATCCTACGCTTCTTCCGGGAGCTAACTTTTTCTGCTTTAGATATGTTAATATAAATCTAGTCTTTTCTGTTAAACTTATAGTGTATATTGCATAAAGAAAGAAACAACAAATTATTTATATATTTTGCACCCATCAGCATTTATAAAAACATTTTTTTATAATTACTTTTTTCCCACAAAAGTTCTACTTTTATTTTGCATCAAACTAGACGATCTGTGGATTTATTATTTTAGAAAAATTAAGTGTTTTAAATAAAACATTTTCATTATGACCTCTAAAAATAAATAATCTTCTTAGAAAAGAGGACTTTTAGTTATTTTTTTTTTAAGGAGTAGGTGAATATTTAAAGAAAAACATTAACTGCAAACATGGATTCTGAGAAGACATGTTTTCTTACATCACTGCATTAAAATATCTTTTATTTGCCTTTAGGTAAAAAAAAACAGCATTTTCATCTCCATCTTTAAGCAACAACTTTATCACTGTTGCCTTAAAGCCCATTAAACTCCAAATTACTTTAGACTGAAGCAATAGCTGCAATCTCATGTTTTAGGCCATGATAAATGCATTAAAAGAATCATTCAGTTCTTTAGTCTAGTAAATAGAGCGTAATGTAAAGAAAGAAATAACATAACTTATTTATTTTGCACCCATCAGAATTTATAAAACATTTTTTACAATTATTTTTCTTCCACAAAATTTCTACTTCTATTTTGCACCAATCTAGACACTCTGTGGATTTATTTTTTATTAGAAACATGAAGAGTTTTGATTAAAAAAGTTTTATTTACAACCTTTAAAAATAATCTTGGAAACGAGGACTTTTAGTTTATTTTTCAGGAGAAGGCGAATATTTAAAGAAAATCATTAACTGCAAACATTAATTCTGAGAAGAAATACTGTCTTACATCACTGCTTTAAAATGTTCTCTGTTTTCCTTTAGGTTAACAAAAAAAACAACATATTTTACTGTTGTCTTAAAGCAAATTCAGCTCCAAACTGCTGAGGAATATAACTGCAATCACATCTTTTAGGTCATGCACTGGAAAAATTATCTATAATGAAGTAAAAATTTCTCAAATTAATTGTATTTACCCTTAATTTGAGTAGGTAAATGAGATGATTTGCCAATGGAATGAGTATTTTTACTCCTAAAATAAGATATTTAGATCAAATGCACTTGAAATAAGACAATGCAATTGTTTTTTCTTATTTTAAGGCCAAATTGTCTTGTTCCATTGGCAAAATGTCCCTTTTACCATCTCAATTCAAGAACAAATGCACTTATTTTAAGAAATAATGACTTATCCAGATTTGGATTTTTTCCAGTGTGATAAATGCACTAAAGAATCATTTAGTTCTGTATATAAACTAAGGAGTAAATGAGGTTGACTTCTCCTGTGTTTAGTCACTAACATGTTTTTAACCCCTGCAGCGTTTGCCGAGGCGGCGCGTTCAGCTGCACCTCAGAGACCTGCGACGGTGAGTGAAGCTCTGCAGCAGCTGCATCTCTTTCATTTTGCATCGCTGAACCACCGTAGGAAAAAAGTATTAAAATATGCAATCCAGTTAAACAAGGCACTTCTTCCTGTCAGCATTTTATTTGTCTTCGCAAAAATGAGAACGAGACAATCGTAGCACACAGCTCGATGTTCTGCCCTTATGAGGGACCGAGCCAAAAAATATCAGAAGCACAGGGAAGTCATTAATGAAAAAATGGTAACAAATTTATTTTGCAAAAATAACGTTCAAAAGTCCAAACAAGACTGGGTCCATCAAGGAAAACAAAAGACAAAAATCAGCATAATCCAAACCTGACTCAGAAAAGACCTCCCTAACTGACACACGAGGGAAACATATATATACACTGGTTGATCAGACAACTTTGAAACCAGAGGGAAACATAAAATACATTTTCCTAAACAAAAACTACAACAAAAGACAAAACTAATCAGCAACCTATGAGGAAGAGGACTTCAATATTAAACTTTCTAAATGTTATTATAGAAAACAAAACCAAATACAGAAACCTAAACCCTTGCTACACCCCTTCTAAATGTAAGTGGAAGAGTCCAACTAGGCCTCCATGTCAATGAGGAGATCCTTTGCAGCTGGGGCCTCCTTTCCTTTACTGGCTTCACTCACAAAGGCCTCCAAGGAACTGGCAACTCAAATGAAAAATATATTAATGTACAGAAAACCAAACAAGAAATTACTAAATGAGTCAACTAAATGTGTGCACCGCAAATAGTTAAAGGTATACTATGCAACCGGTGTTGATTTTCCAGCGAGGCTCCCCCCAGAGGGCGAAAATAAAAGTGCACTGTCGTAAATATGCTCAGCTGTTCTCCTGGTTTCTCCGTCAAGCCAGGCGCGGTTGTTTTGAGCTTAGCAGACAGGCGAACGCAACGAATGACTAACACAGTGAAAGTATGAACATGCACAGAGAGAGAGAAACCATTCCTATGTTACTTACAATCACATCAGCAGAAACGCGAGGTCCGCGTCAGCCTTCAATTCAATTCAGTTTATTTATATAGCGCCAAATTCACAACACATGTCATCTCAAGGCACTTTACAGTTCAACCAGATCATACAGTCAAATTGATACAAAGTTTTCTATCTAAGGAAAACCAGTTGATTGCATCGACCCAAATACAATCCCTCACACTAAGCATGCTTGTAGTGACAGTGGAGAGGAAAAACTCCCTTTTAACAGGAAGAAACCTCCAGCAGAACCAGGCTCAGTGTGAGCGGCCATCTGCCGAGGCCGACTGGGGTTCAAGGAGACAGAAGCAGAGATACAAAAAGCAGCTGTAAAAGGCGGCCCCGTCCAGGAAACACGCAGCCAGGCAGACGAGCTCCAAGGCAGCTCCCATGCCAGAGGACGAAGAGAGCACATCCACTCAGTCACGGTCAGAGAAACAGGACCACACTGGAAAACAGGCCGATCTCCAACATCTATTAACAAGGGTGTTGATAGAAGCAGCACAGCTGATGTTTTTTTCCAGGATGACGTCACAGCCAAACAGGAACAGACGAGGCAAAGCTACTCTGAGGAAAAGCAGAGAGAGCAGAAGGTTAGAGATTGAACTAACAGATTCTGCAGTTATGAGAACAGAGAGAGAATGAAGCAGAATGATGAAATGGGGGTCCCTATGTCCTCCAAAAGTCTAAGCCTATAGCAGCATAACTATAGAGATAGCTCAGGATAACCTGAGCCACTCTAACTATAAGCGTTATCAAAAAGGAAAGTTTTAAGCCTAGCCTTAAAAGTAGACAGGGTGTCTGCCTCACGGACTAAAACTGGTAGTTGGTTCCAAAGGAGAGGAGCCTGATAACTAAAGGACCTGCCTCCCATTCTACTTTTAGAAATTCTAGGAACCACTAGTAAACCTGCAGATTGAGAGCGAAGTGCTCTGTTAGGAACATAAGGAACAATCAGATCTCTGATATCAGATGGAGCTTGGCCATTTAAGGCTTTATATGTGAGAAGGAGGATTTTAAATTCTATTCTTGATTTAACAGGAAGCCAATGAAGAGAAGCCAGGATAGGCGAGATATGATCTCTCTTTTTAATTTTCATTAGAACTCTGGCTGCAGCATTTTGGATCAGCTGAAGGCTTTTAACTACAGTTTGTGGACTTCCTGATAGTAAAGAATTACAATAGTCCAGCCTTGAAGTAACAAATGCATGGACTAGTTTCTCAGCATCACCCCTGGACAGGAGATTGCTCATTTTTGCAATGTTCCTCAGATGAAAGAAGGAAATTCTAGAAACCTCTTTGATATGGGATTTAAATGACAGGTCCTGATCAAAAATAACACCAAGATTTTTTACTTTATTATCTGAAATCAGTTTAATCCCATCCAAATGAAGTGACTGGCTAATCAGTTTCTTTTTCAGAGACTCTGGTCCAAAGACTATAACTTCTGTTTTATCTGCATTCAGAAGCAGAAAGTTAAGAGTCATCCAGGTTTTTATGTCTTCAAGACATGCCTGTAATCTATGTAATGGGTTAGCTTCATCTGGATTTATAGCCAGATATAGCTGGGTATCTTCAGCATAACAGTGGAAATTAATCCCATGCTGTCTAATAACTCTACCAATTGGGAGCATGTATAAAGTAAAGAGAATTGGTCCTAGCACTGATCCCTGTGGTACTCCACAGGTAACCTTTGAGCGTGTTGAAGATCTATCATTAACATGAACAAACTGAATTCGATCAGATAGATCAGATT